CATCTACGTGCAAATGACAGCCGTAGTTAAAAAACATGGTAGCCTTGTGTGCAATTTTTTTTGTCATAGTAATGAGTCCATCAATTTTTATAAAATTTACATGAATTTAACTTACAAGAATAAATTTAAACTTGTTTTGATTATTTTACCTAATCAAAGTTAAGAAAATTCATATCGATCACAGTGGTTGTGGTGTAAATTATACAGTCTTATAAGTTCGGGGTATAAAGTTTGAACACTGCCAGCCAAAATAACTTTTTTTGCATTTTTTTCTAAATTTTTTTTTTGAGGTGGAAAACAAAATTCAACACGAAAAATTGAATAATAAAAGTATATTTTTGACTGATGAAATTTATTTATAGATCATTTATTTATAATTAACCACAAATTATTTTCTGAAAAATTTAATACTTTTAAATATATTACACTTATAAATCATAAAACTTGTAATCAAGACATAAATAAGGAAATAGGAGATCTTGTTGCTTTTGGATTAATACATAATTTTTTTTTAATTAAATACTTTCTACACATTACATCGAAGCGTTTCTTATGATAGTGATTTTAATCACTGTCAGATATCATCTATACTTATCCTAACTATGCCATGTCGGCACTGTGCCGCGACCCCACTGGGCTACTGTTTTTTTAGCTTCGATGCGAAGCTGAGAAGGTATTAATTTTACTATGATGTGTTTTTTTATTTTTTTATCTTTTATTTTTTTTGTGACTGTGAACGCTCAATCTCAGCTCTAACGGGACTGATTTTGATGAAAAATATGTCAAAAGATCACAAATCGTATCTAGCCGAAGACATTACCCTCAAAATTAAAAAAAAATTAACTCGTTTTCCGTAAACGGAGGAAATACCCCGAAAAATTACAAATTTAAAAATCGTTAATTTTCGACATTTTTTTTTTACTTAAAATTGCCGGAACTATTTTAAAAATAACCAAATGATTATACAGGGTGTTCAGTAAGTCAGGAAACGGGTTTCTATTTTTTTCATTGTTACAAACAATGAGAACAATAGAAACCCGTTTCCTGACTTACTGAACACCCTGTATATATATATATATATATATATTTTTTTTTTAGATATCTTAGGTATTTACCTAACATTTTATATATTTTTGTGAACATTTGATCCTTTACCAGGCCACAGGAAGGGTTTCAAAATGGTAACTTTTTTACAAAAAATTAACTTTTTCAACTTAACTTTTGAAAATGTTCCAGAAAGACTGAAACTTTTATATATATCTTAAATTAAAGTTAATGTAATATAATTTATTATGGTAAAAAAAAATTTCTGACTTTATTTTATCTTCATGATGAAAACAGACTTCCGGAACACTTTCAAAAGTTATGTTGAAAAAGTTATACTTTCTAAATGCATTTTTTAAATTTGAAGCCCCCCCCCGTATATAGGGAAATGGTCTGATTTAAAAAAAAAGTATGTCAAATGAAAGATGTATATAAATACTACTTCTCATGAAAAAATTGTATTGATCCATACATTTTTTAAAAAGTTATAGCATTTTAAAGTAAAAAAAATTAAGCACAGTGGGGTCGTGACATAGTTGGGTCCAGTATGGATGATATCTGACAGTGAATAAAATCACTATCATAAAAAACGCTTCTATGCAAATCTGTAGATAGTGTTTAATTAAAAAAAAAAAATTGTTAAAATAGCATATTTTTAATATGGTAGCCATTTGCGCATAGAAGATAGGTCGTTGAGACAAATTTTTTTTTTCATTTTATATTACATAAAAAAAGCTTTAATTTGATATTTGTTTAAAGGACGCAGTATTTCCCGAACATTTTCAAAAATTAAGTTGAAAAAGATCAATGTTTTTTACAATATTTCAAGTTTTGGTCGCCCCCTATATAAGGGGAAATTGTCCAATTTTAATAAAAAGTATGTCAAATGAAAGATGTACTTATAATGTATTTAAAAAAAAAAAATTTGTGCTGATATATACATTTTTCAAAAAGTTATAGCATTTTTAAGTTGAAAATTTAAAATCGAAAATTTTAACACAAAAATAATGTATTTTTAACTACGGCAGCCGTTTCAATGTAGAAGAAAAAGTGTCGGGACAAAATTTTTTTTTCATTTTATAGTACATAAAATAAGCTTTGATTTGATATATGTTTAAAGGACGCAGTATTTCCCGAACATTTTCAAAAATTAAGTTGAAAAAGATCTATGTTTTTTACAATATTTCAAGTTTTGGTCGCCCCCTATATAAGGGGAAATTGTCCAATTTTAATAAAAAGTATGTCAAATGAAAGATGTACTTATAATGTATTTAGAAAAAAAAAATTTGTGCTGATATATACATTNAAAAATTTGTGCTGTGTGCTGATATATACATTTTTCAAAAAGTTATAGCATTTTTAAGTTGAAAATTTAAAATCGAAAATTTTAACACAAAAATAATGTATTTTTAACTACGGCAGCCGTTTCCCGTTTAAATGTAGAAAAAAAAGTGTCGGGACAAATTTTTTTTTTTCATTTTGTAGTACATAAAATAAGCTTTAATTTGATATATGTTTAAAGGACGCAGTCTTTCCGGAACATTTTCAAAAATTAAGTTGAAAAAATTAATTTTTGTAAAAAAGTTGCCATTTTAAATCCCCCCCAATGAGCAGGTTAAGTGATAGATTTTCAAAAAAATGATATTAAATGAAAGGTAATAACTAAGGTTTTAGTATAAAAAAAAATTATGTAGATTGGTGATTTTTCAAAAAGTTATGGAAGTTTTAAGAAAAAAAAGTGAAAAAATTTCGAAAATTAGCGATTTTTAAATTTTTAATTTTTTTGGATATTTCCCCCATTTGCGGGGAACGAGGAAATTTTTTTCAATTTTTAAGGGTAATGACTTCAACTAGATATGATTTGTGATCTTTTGGCGTATTTTTGAAAGAAATCGGTCCAGTGAGAGCTGAGAAAAAGTGGCAACAGACATAAAAAAAAAAAAACACATCATGGTAAAATTAATACCTTCTCAGCTTCGTATCGAAGCTAAAAAAAGAATTGTTGTTATTTTTATATAATACATTTATTTCATAATAATAATAATAATTACAAGTTTTATAATAAATATTTACATAAACGTGAAAAAATTAATATTAAATTATACGGACTATTCCGTCAAAATGTGTATAAGTAAATACATAGTCTAAAATTACTAGATTTGCATCGAAGCGTTTCTTATGATAGTGATTTTAATCTCTGTCAGATTAAATTTATACATTATGCCACGTCTCCATTGTGTCGCGACCCCACTGTGTCTGCTTTTTGNATAATTGGAGAATTCTGTCACATTCTCTCTTATTTTGCTCTGAGAGGCGAGAAAGAGAGAGAAAATATATGTAAAAATGGGCAGAATCAGGCAGACTATAAGTTTGAGTAGTGACCAACCATGCCATCATACGGCACTGGAATAACTAGCTTTTAATATAACTACTGTGTAAGCATGCAGTAAGTACTGTATGGTTACTGCAACTGTAAGATGTAAGTATATCGTTATCTTATTGTTATTATTATATATGTCATGTCTGCAGAGCAGCTGTTATTTACATTTACCGCATTTACCAGCATTTACGTGAATGTCGTTAGTAAATCAAGATCAAACATTTCCAAATGGAAAAACAATTCCAGAACCGAAACAGTAAAAAACTTCCAAGGCCAAGGAAAAAAGAAAATGTCAATTCACCTGATCGGTAGCTTACGATATTTTAAACTTTGAATAAAAACACTTTATTTTTATTCTATAATATGGACTGTATTTTTTATTTTATATCTTTTACATTTTATATACGAAAAACTATAGGTGCGCGTAAGTGAGCCGGACTCATCATTCGCTGTCCGGTTTTCGACTAACTTACAAACAAAAACCTACGCTGCACCGCCCCCCACCTATTCTATAACAAATATATCTAGCGTTTTTTCCCCAATATCAAACATCACCAGTGAGCTAAAGAAAAAATGTCTGTGCTTTCAACATGGTAGAAATGTGCATGAAGCATTGTGTACAAAAATGCGCATCACCTAACACGCAACCAAATTAAAATATTTTTTTTTAATTTGATTATTTCTTCAACTTTTTGAAAATTAAAAAAAAAATGTATTTTCCAATTATCAATAGGGGGAGGGGTAGGTTTTGATATGTCCGTATTTTTACTCGGAACATCTGGTAGCCCTAATTTTAATAAGTATTTCTCTGGGTGTGTGTATAAGATAATAACAATGTGTTATAATTATTAATTATTAATATATATGCTTAGCATCAAATATTGTATATTTTGCAAGTATTGGATACTTTTAAAGAGTTATAAAATACAAAAATATTATACTACTTATTTCAATAATTTTAAAAATTAGATAATTAAAACAACTTCAGTCGTTTTAATATTATATGTTTAAATTGTTAAATATTATGTTTATAATGTTTAAATTTGTTTTTTTAAAAATTTTCACATTTAAAATAAACTATTGAAACAATTATAATGATACGTATGCATATTGATTCGTATGGATGCAAATATTGCAAGATATTTTATTATTTTGTGAAAGATATTTTGTTTAACAATAAATAAAAGTTTGAGAATGGTGAATTGAGGTAATTTTTGTTTTAAGAATACAACAATTAATTACTTTGTAAATTTTCAATTTTTTGTCAGACTTTATCTTTCAAAAATATTCTATGATAATAACCTAGATAATAATATAACAAAAATAGTATCATCAACAATGAACTAATATAAATTTTATCTTATAGTCGGAATTAATTAAACGATTATTTTTTATTTATTTGTTCTATGATAGAATTGATTGATTGATAAAAAATAATTACATTTATAAAAAACTTTTAAAATATCTTCTGCTTTAAATTCCTAAATCTTCAATTTCAATTGTGCAAGCTCTAGTTTATAAGATTAAAGTGATAATTTTAATGAAGTGATAATACTGATAACAATTCTTTATTATCTATGCGTATAATATTCTCGTTATTATTGTAAAATTAACTGCATCAAAAATATTTATTTACTTATAAACGTAAACTTTTAGAGTAAATCGTGTTCAAGTCATTTTAAATAAATCATGTAAAATAAAAATTGAGTGCTTAGAATTTTAAATTTTCACTATTTAGACTTATTAAAGTTGGTTTACCTTTGTATTTTACGGTTCTTAAATGATCATTTATTGTATATTTAATTAATTCTTTTTCTTGTTATTAATAGAATGGACAGTTTATCTAGAAGCTAATGTAATTAGTTAAAAATGGACGGTAGAAATTCATATATCCAGGCTCAACCTATAGAGTGGGTGCCTCTATCTTTGACTTTTGTCGAGTATCCAAATGGTAGGATAATACACAACAATTTCTGTAATTATTTTCCAAATATTGATTTGATAATTTTTTTGGAAAGCAAAACTCAAATTTTTATTAAAAATTGAAACATAATTGCTAGGTAAAGTAGCATATTTTTTCATGCAAATCATAAATAATCATTTTTGTACATGAACAATTTTGGATATTTTACAAGTTACATTAAACATTTCAAAAAATATTAAACATTTTTTTTTGTAAAATTAATACATTTATTCAGTTGCATAAGGACTTGTAGCCAAACATTTTTTTTAATTTTGCTTTTTTCTATCTAATTGCAAGCTAATTTTTCAATAAAAAGCAAAAATACAAAACTTCAAATACAAATTCAAACATTTTTTGTCTTTTTGTATCTTGATAACTCAATTATAGATTAATTTGAAGTATAATAATTGCATGAGTTATAAATATATAGTATAGTATTGTATAGTAAATTTACCTATAAAAAGATTTATTGTAGTGGATTAACACATTTAACATTTTTTCTTTTTCAGGAAATATATTTGGTAAATTGCTTGCGCTCTTCAGTATGATGCCATTTGTTATTCTTTCCGGTTTTATGACATTGATATTATTTCGGAGGGACTTGCATACAGTAAGATATTTGCTTATATATTATGTAAATGTGCTATCAAGAATAAGCTCGGTGTAACAATGAGAACTAACTTTTTCATACATAATAATTAAATAAATATAACAAAACTGTTAAATTTAAATTATGAAAAAACTACTACATATTTTATTCATATACTATTACATACTATTTATCATATACTATATTTAATATAGTAAGTGACGAGTAAGGGTAAAGACTTTTAGTTCCAAAAATATTAAATATGTTTGCTTTTATGCAATTTTAAAACTCTAAGTTATATAAATTATTTCACAACAAAGTTAACTCGTTTATCTATTGAAAAAATTAAGAATTCATTGAACTCCAAAATTATATATCAGATAATTATTATTGTTACAAATTAACTTCTAATATTTTAAAATAAAATTAATAATTTAATCTGCTGTTAAATACTTTTACTGATATCAAATAAAAATCAAACCTACTATATTGAATTTAAATTCAACAAACCAAGAAGGCCCTGTAAATAAATCAAATTTAGAGTGCTCATAATTTATTTAAATATCAACATGTGTTTTAAATTTTGATAATAATGGCATGCACTACAAATAAAAAAAAATTTGATGCTTAATTGTTAATATTCAAGTAATACCAATGATGTTCATTTATTGGGCTAATTTAGTTACTAAACCAGTTAGGTGTAAACCTGTATAGGATTAATCAAATTTCTGAATTAATCAAATTTCAAAATAATAATAATTTTTAAAATAGTTTTTTCAATTTAGTTAAGTATTATTTCTAAATTTATAAGTGGTTGAATATTTTTTAGGTTTATTCCTTCTCTCTTATTAGTGCTATTTTTATTTTTTTAAGTAGTAAAATTTTTATATTAATAGATAAAATATTAGAAAATAATCCAGCTAAGAAAATGACTGGTCCATAACAACTTTTAAACTAGTATTTTGGAAGGTATTAACATTTTTAAATGTAGACAGAGGCTAAAACAGGTTGTTTTTTTTATTATCACATATTCGTCTGCCACATTTCTCTTACTCAGCTATAAAAATGTTCATAATTTTTAAAATACTGGTACATAGGTTGATATTTACTAGTCAATATATATATAATTACAAATCTACAACAAGAACAATTTGGCCACAAACTGGCTAAGTGTTAAGCGAAACAAATAAATGAGGAATATTGCTCATTGAAGTATGTGTGAATAAGTTTATAAATTAAAAAAAGAAAACACTCAACTATAATATAGATATCACTACATTGATAGCCAGAAGATGTTGGAACTTGGTTCTTTTTTACAGTTAGATTTTTACTGGCTCAAGCCAGAAAAATAAATCATTTTTATGACCCATTAAAAAATTAGAACAGTGACACCCGCTTTTTCTCCCTCAAATAACACCCCTGTTTGTTTACTAAAGCTTAAGCTATATTTAAAATTTCAAAAGCCTATCTTTTTGGAAACCAAGATATTTGGTTTCAAAGAACCCGATGAATTTTTTTAGAGTAAAGATAAACTATCAATGCTAGAACATAATCTACAGCACTATCAAATGGCTTGACTCATTGTTTTAAACATTAGTTTTAAGAAAATATTAGATATAACTTAAGTAACAATCATAATCATATTTACTACACAATTTATATTAAAAACGAACGGAAGAAAAATTTAAGTAATCTTTATTAAAGTTGGATAGTTAAAAGATTGCATGATGTATATTTTTTGTTTTATTAAAGTTTTTAACTCCTTGGAGAATCAAATTAGAAATTTAGAACTAAAGTAATTCTTTTTTGGAATAAATGTATGAATAGTAAAATATAAAACAGAATATAATACTTGTAACAAAACAGAGATATCATTACTTTTTTTAAAAATAGTGAGCTAATCAATATTACCTAAATAAAATAATATGGATTGAAAATTACCTTTAGTACAATTATAAGAGAGTTCCGAAAAAGTAAGTTGAGAAAAAACATTTTGACATATATACATATATAGAGGGATAATAGGGGTCTATAGGAACAATTGTATCATTATACAAAGAAACAAGAACAGAAGGAGAATTCAATAATACAAGATAATGCATAGACCTTTCTGCATTAAATATTGTATTAATTTGAAACATTAAGAAAAGATACATTATGTAGAAATATCGATTGTGAAAAAGAAGAGTTTAAATTCAAGCTTAACATAGAATAATTTAAATAAAAAAAGTTATAGTCATCAAATAGTAATATTTGTGTCTGTATATGTATCTGGATATAAAACAATTGTATTATTAATAATATCAAAAAAAAACCTTGTTATAACGAAGGGTTAGAATTTGTAGTAAAATAAACACAACCCAGTATTATTTTCTTATTTTAATTAATTTTAACTTTAACTAATATTAATTCTAAATATCAAACATCTAAGTTGATTTTTTATGAGATAAAAGTATTATTGGCAGCAATTAGAACACCCCCACCTTTTGCTAAGAAACTTAAGGCAGTGGATCTGTTTATTCTAAAAATAGAATAATTAAAAAAGCCAAGTTTAGATGTGTTAAAATATTCATTTAACCATGTTTCCAAGAAAATAGACCAATTGTATATGGATATAGGGATAATAGCAATGAGAAGATTAGTTTTTGTATTTAAACCAAATAATATCATTAAAATGAACAATAATATTTTAATTGATTGGAAATTTTTTATGGTAAAAAATCTTATTATGACTAAGTAAAAAAACTTTTTATACTTATTCTTTATAAATTTTATTTGAAAAAAAAACTACTAATGAAAGAAATTGATTAAAAAACAGAAAATATGTCAATTATACCTTAAAATCATAATATACCTTGACATTTAATATGTAATATCAAATTTGTATTTTTAGTATGAAACAAATTCGTTTCTATATGACGCAACAATAGAGTTCTTTTTTTAAATGAACATAAAAAATATATACAAATGCTTAAGTTTTCTAGTCTAGTAATGAGACACAAGGATTGTATAGTTTAAATAACAAGAACTGTTTGATTTTCATCAAGCTCTGTTTATTGAGCACACAGTAAAAAGTTACCTAAGTGTAAATGACAATAATTGCACTAAACTCGATGTAATTGTTTAATTTATGAGTTTTATGAAAATCACTTTGAATGTAGTAATTGATTTATCTATGAGCATTTAAAATTAGCTAGTTGAAATTTTGCTAAAGGTGATAAGTTGATTTAAATTTATATTTAGTATTACAGATACTTCATCCAAGGTAAATAATCTATGATTATAATGCTAATATTAAAGGTTTAAAATGTTTGACCAATTTACACAAATTAAATGAATAATTCAAAGCTATTAAAATCTCTTATAATTATATAAACTTAAATGTATTGGTAAAAATAAAATTGACCATTTGACTTTTTTTATTTATTTTATGTGGTTAACCTAAGTCAATCAAAAATAAAAAAATAAAATTTTTAAAGAAAAACTTATAAAATTTCAAAAATGATCCTTTAAAGTATTTTATTACTTATTGTTATACCTATATTATGAAGTAATTATATAATGATAAATATTTTTTTTTAGATATCGTTTTTCTTTGGAGTTATTGTAAATGAATTCTTTAACAAAATATTGAAACATATATTATGTGAACCAAGACCTATGATTAGGAATCCTAATTTTGTATATTCAGAATATGGTATGCCATCAGCTCACTCACAATTCATGTGGTTCTTTGCTTCATATATGATATATTTTACTTTTATTAGGTAACATTAATTATTAATTATAACAAAATTTATTGTTTTATATCTTAACTACTGAACTTTTTAAATGTTTTATTTTTGTGTTAGTCATAGAAATGTTTTCATTATGTCAGAATTGTTAATCAGATTAGTTTTAACCAAAAATGAAGTTACCTTGTTTTCTCATGAACCATTAATTTTTAGCTATAAAAGTAATTATGAAAATTATTTCAAAGAATTTTAAATATTTTTTCAGATTACAATATGCTAATAACAAAGCATTTAAGGAATTTTTTTGGAAAGTTACTGCTGTAGCTGTTTGTATAACTGTTGCTTTTATTGTATCATACAGCAGGTATTTAAATGATTTTTTTATTTTGCACATTGTTATCTTATTTATGTTTTTATAGAGTTTTTCTTCAATATCATACATGGAGTCAAGTAATTTATGGTGCTTTTTTTGGTATTATTATGGGTACTATTTGGTTTTATATTACCAATGTTATATTAACTCCACTTTTTCCAAAAGTTATGTCTTGGTGAGTATTTAATTCAAGTTTAATATCAAAATAACTTTCAAAATTTCAAAAGTTGTTTATTAAAAAAATTTGACCTCTAAAATTAATTGTTTATAACTTGTCTCCATTTACATAACTTATACCTTACAACAGATTTTTTATTTCTACAATTTTGCTAGTATCTAGAAAATATGAAAAGAAAACTACATAGATGTACACTAATATTTGCTAAAACAAAATTATACCATTTACATTGTTAATTTTTTCAAAGTTATAATCAATTAACATTCCAAACACAGATCAATGCCCATCTTAGATAAAATTTAATGAAAAAATACTCAAAACCAACAGAAAAAATCCAATAGCGGCTCAAAACATGATGGAAAAGCAACCGCAATAATTTACAATATTTGAACCTAAAAATAGCCAATGATCTTAACAAAACGAATAGTGCAATAAAATTTTGTAACTATAATTACTCTAGACTGTAACAAAACTAATGATGAAATACCTGACAAATTTAACTGCTCAAAACTAACTTAATCTACAAAAATTGTATGCAATGTCAACTCTTTTTTTTGTATAAGAAAAGACTAATTAACTGATTAATAATAATAAACAAAGAAATATTGTTCAGAAATGCTCATAATATATATATTACATTAATAATAAAGTTTAAAGTTGGTTTTCGCATAAAAATCTAAACATTTCAAAATTTAAAAACAATTTTTGTTTCGTACTTCTTTTTAAATTTTAAATGTCCTCTTCTAAAGGCTATTATTTGCGCCCAAGAGGATAGGTATATCTACATAGCCTAACACAATGGAATCAAACCCCAGTATCTAGGCACCAAGGCACAGCTAGTTATGGACTGAGCTAGGTAGACCATCTTATATTTTAATAGTTGAATTAATATAATTTTTTCTCTTACAGGAAAATATCAGAGCTATTTTTGTTAAGAGATTCAACATTAATTCCCAATATACTATGGTTTGAATATACTAATATTCGACAAGAAGCAAGAGCTAGAGCAAGGCGCCGCAAATCAGTATCAATTAAATAGCAATGACTTGCATAAAAAGATCAAATTAGTAAAAATTATGCAAATGGAAAATTTTATTATAGTTTGATTATTAATTGTTATAATTATAATAATAATTGTTTTTCCCATCTTCTTTACCACAAGCAATAGCTTCTAAAAGAGAGTTTTAAGTTTAAATAGTATAATAGTTTGAACATTGATAAATTATTTCATCAATGCTCAATGCTGAATGATATATATATATATATATATTATTTGCTTTGTTAAAAAATATACAACAATATATTACTGTTATAAAAAATTTAACAGTTTTCCAAAATATTATGTACATTCTAAAAATTCAATAAAATTAGTTTTAGAGATAATATTTTTTATAAGTAATACTTATTACTTAATTATAAATATATAAAATGTATGGTATAATTATATAAGGTGGATTAGTTTTTTTAGACTATATCCACAGTAAAAAAAAAATGTAGGTCTATTATGATGTAATTAAAAATAAATGAATGTTCTGTTATATTGTTATAACAGATCTGATATTGAGTGTTCAGCGATAAAACAATATTCCTGTATATATATAAATAAATTTAATTAGATAATCATGGTATTAAAATTGTTTATAAAATGTTATTGCTTTTTAGGAGACCAAAAAAAAAAACAATAATTTAAGTATTGGTCAATGGAATTTTCAAATTATAACCACAGTTGAAAAATTACTCAACTACCTATGAAATCAACAGTAATATCAATGAAAAATTTTATTACTAAAAATTAAATTTCTCAAAAAAAATTTGATTTTACCAATTTCTTATGAAAACTTACCATTTATTACAAGTACATTTAACAGAATTTTACAAGACAGATTGTCTTGAATTTTGAGTAAAATTTGTAGTTATACAATAAATAATTTATATGTTTCCATTTGATTTTTCAAATTCGACCCTCTAAAACTTCTTACTCTTCAATGATTATTGTAGTTATATTATTTAAGTTACTAAATTATTTTAGTAACTACTTATATTGGTTAATTTTATTACTTATAATTTATATATTACCAAACAATTGTAATAAATATTGTAACTTGTTAGTCATGAAATATTTATACTTGCATTAATTACTTTTGTATATTTAGAATTTCAAATTTTGTTACAATGTATTATTTTGGACTTAAAATAATAAATAACATAACATGACATGTATACCAATATAAAAAAAATCTATCTATATATTCTTGAATGTTTAAAAATATACCAATGTAATTTTGTATAAAAAATTAATAACAGGAAATAATAAACAATATGTGTTAGATATAAGATCATAAATAATGTGTAAGATATTATGGTACAGTAGATCATTATTGGCGAAAATGTAATAAGTTATTACAAAGTGATTAATAAAGAAAAAAGCTCATATATTGAGATTTAATATTATTGAAATAATAAAAATAGCATCTCACAACCTATCCATTCTTTTACTTTTATTTTCTTTCTTTGTAAGTTACTACAATAAGTAATTTTGAATTATATAGATTAACTATTATTATTTTTTTATAATTGAGCAAAAGTAAGCAACCGAAAATATTTTCAATTAAACTTTTCATACTCATTAGTTAATTATTAGATACTTTTTTATTATTCAGAAGTTGAGAAAAAAAAAATTAATTTTCAATATTTACTCTTAATCAGCAAATATTATCTACATTTATAAATTAAAATTTACTATAATACCAAAAATCGATTTATCATTAATAAAATTGTAAATCTTGTCTAGGAAATAAATAATCATTCATATTGTTTAGAAAAAAACTTTTTTTTTATTTAAAGATACTATTTCAATATTTGAAATAACCAAGCTTCTTCAATTACATTTAGTTTACATATTTTTATTTTTAATAAAGCATTTAAAAACTCAATTCATTCGGATTTTAACATAGTTGGGATAGTATAGGTAATATCTTGAAGTGATTAAAATTACTATGATATAAAATGCTTCTATGCAAATCAGTAGATAATGTTTAATCTTAAGAGTAATTGTTAGATTTTTCCAAAAGCAACATAAAATCTATTTCCGATTACGAGAATTTATAAGTATAATTTTAAACAATTTTATAATTTATTATTATTATTAATTTATTAACGCCCTTTCGGGCAAAGTGTGTACATTCGTAATACATGTTTATAAACAATTTACATAATAAGAATGAATAAAACATACAACAGAATACATAGAATATAAAAGATATTAAATTAAAATTAATATATACATATAATATATTTATACAGAATTTAGACTTAAATAACGAAGTTTAGTTTCATTGTCATAATTGAAATCGACATCTATACTATTACATTCTCTTAACATGCGACTTAAAGGCTCGTTGAAACTGTAAGATTGAGAATGAAAAGGAATATTAAATGTAGTCGTGGAACGAGCATTGAAAACGGGAACATGCCAACTTATTTTTCTGAGTATTTGAGGACAACTTATTTTATTATTTAATAATTTATATATAAATGATGTATCATTGAATTTACGTCTGGACGTAAGAGAATTCAAACCTAGTTCATGTTCTAAGTTATCAATCGAAACGTTTAATTTAAACTTAAGTGACAAGTATTTTAAGAAGTTGTGTTGAACATTATTTAAACGTTGAATCAAAATATTTTGGTAAGGGTTCCAAATTATGGATCCGTATTCAATACCTGAACGGACAAGTGCGCAATTCAAAGTTTTTAGACAAATAATATTATTAAAATCACAGCACTGCCGTCTGACAAATCCCAGCATACGCATGGCTTTTGAATATATAAAATATATGTGTTTATTAAATGAGAGATCATCAGAGAGTATAATACCAAGATCTTTAATAGAAGAAACTAACTTTATTGTATGTCCATCTAAGGTATAATTATAAATTAAAGGGTTTTTACGTCTGGAAAACGATATTACAGCGCATTTATCAATATTAATTTTTAATTTATTTATGGTACACCAATTTGAAAATTTTACAAGATCTGACTGTAGTTTTTCTTGGTCATTAACAGAGTTAATATTGATATACATTTTCAAGTCATCGGCAAACAGCGAAAATGTACAAAAGTTGAATATATGTTTAACATCGTTTATAAATAATAAGAGTAGCAATGGTGACAAGTGTCCTCCTTGCGGGACACTTGAAGGTGTAGCGAAAGGACACGAAATTTTAACTGAAACTATTACTTGTTGTGTCCATCCAGTTAGATAGGAGCTAAACCAGGAAAGTAACTGACTATTAATACCAAAAATACTAAGCTTTTTAATTAAAGTTTTGTGATCAACTGAGTCGAATGCTTTACTAAGGTCTGTATAGATGGCGTCTACTTGTCCATGATTTTCAACGACATTAAGTACCTCTGTATAGTATATTAATAAGTTAGTTGAAGTCGATTTTTGAGATCGAAAACCGTGCTGCTCATCTATTAATATTTTATCAAATAATTTAGAAAGTTTGGGTTCTATTAATTTTTCAAAAAATTTAGATACTGCACATAATTTAGATATAGGACGATAATTATTCACAAAAGCCCGATTGTTTGATTTAAAAATTGGTAGCACAAAACTTAATTTCCATAAATGTGGGAAAACGCCATCAAATAATGATTTGTTAAAAAGCAAATATATGGGATAAGCTAGTGCGTAACGACATTGAAATAAAATGATTGGAGGCAGTTGATCGGGACCATATGTCTTATCTACACTTAGGTTACTAAGACCCTCAAATACCTCTGCTAATGAAATATTTAAAGAAGATAAATTTATATATGAATTTTGGTTTATGTTAGTTAGATCGAGAGCAATTATAAATATAATACACGAATAATATACTTATATCAATTAATTTTAGTATGAAATTGATATTCATTAATTTCATATTACAACTTATACGGAAAAATTATAAAAAGTTATATAGTTGTTGTATATTACGTTACTTCTGTGGCAAAGTTTATAAAAAAAATAAAAGAAAGTTACTTTCTTAATTTGTTTATTATGACCTTAGTAAGTTATTTATTATTTTAGTTAAAAAATTGAATTTGTAATTTATCAGAAGCTATTGTTAGCTAGCACATTTTTGTTAGCTTACAATATATAACATAAGTTTTAATTTAACATATGTTTGAAGCTTGTAGAATGGGTGGTATTTTTTTTTATCTCCATTTATGCTGAGACCAATTTCTTTCCCTGTCCTTATTAGCTCTTTTGTGAATTGTTTCAGGTTCTCTTAATTTCGGTTATAATCACTAGATCATCAGCATATGCTACAATTGAAAGTTGTTGGTCATCGCTAAGTTTTATTCCTACCGCCTTACTAAGAACTTGTTCCACCACTGATTCCAAGGAAATGTTAAACAAAGCCGGTAACAACGCATTTCCTTGTCTGAGACCTTTCATTTAGAGACTTATACGCTCACTTTGATTAATCTAGTAAGTTTTTCTGGTATACCCATTCGGGATATTACGTTACACAGTTTCTTTCTATTCACTGAGTCGTATGCCGCTTTAAAATCTACAAATAGCATATGTATATCTTTATTAAATTAATGGTTTTTTCTGCAATTTGTTTTATTATATCAATTTGATCTATAGTGGATTCACCTACCATAAAACCTGCCTGATATTCACCAATAATTTGTTTAATAAATGGTCTCAATCTATTAAATAGGAGGTTAGATAATATTTTGTACGAAGTGCTATTAGAAAAATTCCTGTATAGTTCTATGGGTCCATTTTATCTCCCTTTTTATACATCGGACATTGGACAGACATTTTTCATGATTCTGGGATCTACTCCTTCTCCCAAATATCGGTGATTAGTTTGTGAAGTTGTTGAATCAGCTTCTTTCCTCCTTTTTTTAGGCATTCAGAAACTACTTCATCAATCCCAGGGGCCTTTCCATTTTTTAGCATTTCTATTCCCCTTTCTACTTCTTGTATCGTTGATTTGTCCAATAATTCTTCCACTGTTTCACTTACTTCTATTGTGGTCCTATTTTCTGGTTGATTCAACATTTCCTCAAACATATTTTGAATTTCGATTGCTATTTTACCTTTATCTGTTATAATAGTTCCATCATCCTTTCTTATCATAGTTGTTATCGGCAAGTAATTTGTTTTTACGTTCTTCACTTTTTTAAAGAAAGCTTTTATGTTATTTTTGTTATTGTTTTCTATTTCCGTAAATATTTTTTTTTTTCAATTGTCTCTTAGCCATTTTTATAGTTCTTTTTGCCTCTCTTTGTTTACTTGCTAGAGTTTGTTTGTTTTCATTACTTGGGTTTTGTATCACCTTCAGACATGATTTATCCCTTACATCTAAAGATTTTTTGCAATTTTCATCAAACCACCTTTCCTTTTTTTCATTTTGTGTGTTTCCCAATATTTTTTCGGATGTACCTTTAATTACTTGTGCTATTTTTTCTCAATTTGTGTTATATACGTCTGCTTCCTGGTTTATTTGCTGTATATTTTTATTTAATATTTCCTGGTACACCCTTATTATATTAGTTTACAGTATGTCTCTGTTAATTCTTTATTTTCCCGCATTTCTATCCTGATTTTCCACTGACATCCTAAAGTATATTTTGACTCTTACCAGGAAGCGGTCAGATATTGCACTACAATTTCTCATGCTTATCACATATATGACATTTGGACATTTGACCTTATCCGTTTATCTACAAGTACATGATCTATTTGGTTTCTTATCTTCCCACACGATGATATCTATGTCTGTTTATGGATATCCTTATGTAGGAACATTGTACTACTTATGACCATATTTCGGTTTGACGCGAAAGTAACAAGCATAGTGCCATTTTTGTTCGTTTCTCTGTGTAAGCTCTCTTTACCAATTGTCGGTCTAAAAATTGTCTCTTTGCCTATTTTTGCGTTGAAACCTCCTATTATTATTTTTGGTTTCCAGTTTGGTAAACTATCATATAACATTTCCAATTTATCGTAAAAGGCAATTTTGATGTCGTCATGTTTGTCCTCCGTTGGTGCGTAACAATTAATCACAATCGCACTGTACCACTTATATCTGATCTTCAAGATACATAACCGGTCTGTAACTCACTATACTTGGCATAATTTTATCACTCATTTTGAAGCCTACTCTCCTTTCATGTTTCGTACCACCACTATATAACATTATCATCCCCTAAAACGTAATACTGCCCAAGTCTTCCCATCTCACTTCTTAAATTGCAGTAATATCTAACTTATACCGTTCATGGCACGATATAATTGTCGTCAAAGCTGCGGACCTATATAGAGAGCGCACATTCCAGGTTCCCATTGTTAAATTCGATAACTCCAATTTCCGAGGCCTTTGTTGTTGTTGTTGTTTCGTAATCGGTGTGTTTTCTATATAAGGTGATTGACCTTATGACAACCCCCAAAAACTGGAGGATCATCCTAATTCAACCAATTTAGGTCAGAGTAGAATGTGACTGAACCAACTAACTGAAGTCAGTTCATAGCTCGGGGCCCCGGGTTCGCAATACCCGTCGCACTAATTAGTGCTCCCCTGGGGGTAATATATAGATATATATACAAAATAAAAGGAAAGTACCTAACTTATTCATAAGAAAAATTAGTTTTTTCAATCATTTGTAAAAATTTATGACAGTTAAAACTAAAAAAAAATTTCAAAAATGTAAAAATTTACTGATTTTAAAAATCGTACTTTTATGAAAATATTTTCCAATTATAGGGAACGTGGGAAATGTTTTCAATATTTGAGAGTAATGTCTCTAATTAAATGCGATTTGTTCTTTCGATCATAGTGAGAGATGAAAATAACTGGCCACAGGGACACACAATAAAAATAAATATATTAATAAATACATCATAGTAAGATGTAAAGTAATATAAAAAAAATGATTATATTTTTATCACTATTTATTTATATGATCAACTTATAATATGTAAACATATTTGTTAAAAATACTATAATATATTTAAAAAATGTGTTATAATACTATATTACAGTATTTTTTAAAGAATAAATATTCTTGTGATTATATTTGAAAATGAAATTATTTAAGAAGTTCTTTAAGCCTTTGTAGTTTTCTTGAAAATAAAACTCGAACGTACGATTGAATTACATTAAAGTCAATATTTTGGAAAATTGTACATAAATATAATATAAAATTACTCATTTTAGTAGCTAATAACTTTAGTGATGAAATTGGTCTAAACATTTTTACTTTATTGGTATTAGTGTAATATTCAATATCCTTAAATAAAATTGGACTCATAGTATATAATGTTTTTAATATGAATTTTTCGTCTTTCTGTGAAATGTTATTTGATATAAAAGTATTTATTGGTTGATTTAATAATTTTTCAGCAATAATTATCATGACTTTGTTTTTTATTTAAAAAAAATTTATTATTCGAATAAAATTAGTGTAATATGTAATGTTTTTGGTTTCTAAAAATGATTTAACTTCGACGTCTTTCACAATAGGATTGTATATAATTAAATGTGCGATTCTAACATACTGTAATGAAATTATTTGGACCAGTATAAATAAATTTCCTTGGAGTGTACTTAGTTTATTTATACATTCATATAACATAGTATTATTGCAATTGTCTTGAATATCAAAGCCTTGAAATTCTTTATTGATGGTCATATTTTGCATACTTTTAAATAACTCTTTCGTGATACGGTTTAAGTTATTTTTTTTCGCCAACACATCATTTAAGCGAAGCATTTTCATTGATAAATAATTGTATGTGGTTGTTTCAAAGTTGTTTTTTACGTCATATTGTCTGCGTTCCAATTCTTTTATTTCCTCGTCAATTATACTTTTCCAATAAGAACCATCGTCATCATAAGTTTTTTGTGTAACCCGAAGAAATATTTTTTTATTATTGAGATGTATTTGGTAATAATTTTTACATTTGCGTGATTCCAAGTATTCTATGAAAAATGTGATAATTGTTTGATGAGTGGTTTTTTTCGATGCACATATTATTACGATTTTCTTCCTAGTATTTTTCAAATGCTTGCATATGTGTAAAAAAGATCCACATTAAATCATTAGTAGGAGATATTTCTAAGACATCATACACAATTTTTTTATAAAATTGTTTGAACAACGCGAAGTACCTGTCAAGTTTTTGGTATTCTACCTCATCGAATTGAATTCTAAATCTAAGCATAGTTTTAAAAATGTCAATATGTACTAATACTTGATATGTGTACCTACAAGGAATTTCAGCATCTAGTTTTTTAACATACTCTTTTACTTCTAATATGGACATTTGTTGTAGATATGACGTTGGAATTTTTTCTAATATTCGATATTTGTTGTCAAGTTACTCCAATTTTTGGAGTTTTGTCATTAAATTTTGCCTTTCATTTTTTTCTTGAGAGACTACTAAGAGAATTAAAACAAGTTCAATAAGTAACCTTGCAAACATAATCATATACAGTAATTTTAAGTACAATAAATATGATTTTCATACTATTCAAATACTTTAAGTTAAGTATAAAAATAATAATTTAGCATTAATCTTATATAGATTTAATAATATCTCCTACAAATTTCTATAATTCATATTCAATATTTGCAGGTGTACAAACAAAAAATTTGTTAAATATTTTTAATTAGATTTAAAATTAAACATATTTTTTAGTTATATATTAATATTTCAAATATATATTTTTAATTAAAATAATATTAGCCACAAGTAATCAATTCTTATTTTATAAATAAGATATTTTATACATTTGTAACAGTTATAAATAAAAGAATAAGGTTTCTATTTCATAGGCGAATTTTGAGAAGAAGACAACTTGGAATCCTTTTCGATTTATATTACACCATATATTATGGAATTGCTATTTATGTTGTATGTCAAAAGATTTTACTTTATAGTCATAATTTTATTTTTTGGATAAGTATCGAGTAGAAATATAGTCAACAGCTATAGTATGATCTATGTTAATATAAATGAGTTAAGTAATTAAACTCTTCTAAAAAAAATAAATTGGGTTTAAAAAATTTAATGAATTGTAATGTAATATTAAAATATATTTAAGGCAGAGGGAGACTGAAATTAATCCTCACATTTTTTTCCCGAACCCTGCTTGATATTATATGTTAATCATTTTAAAAAATGAATATGTTTTACTACAAATATAAATAAAACTTTTTACCCTACTAATCCGATACGATAAAAATTTGATGAGTTTTATTTACGATTGATAAAGTTAATACATAAAAAAATTATCTCTTACATTATTTTTTTTCGTCAAAAGTTAAATGATGAACAAAAAAATTTAAAATTATTTTTAATTTTTAAAAATATTGTTCAAGTATACAACTATGATTTTTGTTTCACAAATCAATAATAATTATTGAAATTTATTATTACTTTAATTAATTAAAAAAAATTATGTTTTATCACCATCTTTTCTAAAATAAGATTACTAAAAGGAAAATTAGTATTGACATAACCACCCAGGTCCATTAATTTTACAAATAATTTTCCAACGCAGAGCTTTTAATTATTATTTGTTTAAGTGCTAAAAATATAAAGTTGTATGATTTTAATTAAAGATTTCATGTTACAAAAGTTACATCAAGTTTATTGGAATTCATAACAACTGTTAATATGTAAAGTTTAATGTTAATATCATCATTGTTGTTGTTTTTATGAAGACCGATAAGAATGGAAGTTAGTCGTTAAACTCTTGGTTTACATGTCTCTAAATTTAGAGTACAGGTAATTTCCCTTACCGATAATCGAATTTCTGCATTCAATCATATAGGTTTTATTATAGTGTCATTATTACACAATTGTCCGTACTCTGTATAATATTGTAGTTACAGCCGCCACCCAGTTGGCAACGAGCTTTGTTAGTACTTTGACACAAAACATTACTAATTAAATGTATCTTTTTGGAGTTATTATATTTTAAGAAAATTACAAAAATATTGACAAAGTTCGACAATCCGCGTATTTAGTTCGAGTACTTATAAAACCCATTTTTTTAACTGAAAAATACTAATCTTCGAAATAATCATTGAAATATAATTGGCCAACAATATAATGGCCAAAGATCATTCGACCGATACTATGCTGATGTACGATGAAGACATCTCGTCATTTTGCCAACAGGTAATACCTAAAATTATTGTCATCCGATAGTTAAACGTTAATTTTAAATCGTTTTATTTGTTTGGATTATCATAATTTGATTTGGAAATGGAGTAATGATGCCAGTCATTGGCACACAAACTGTTTTTCGGCAATTGTAATTAATACTTAATAAATAATTTATTAAAATCTTAAACAATATTTTGATTTTTGAATCAATTATAAGACNTTAATAAATAATTTATTAAAATCTTAAACAATATTTTGATTTTTGAATCAATTATCAAGATTTCCAATGAGCAGTATAATAATTAATACATTTTTTTTTAAATTGTTTTATTTCCGTACATATAGTCCATAGAACAAGTATTCAATTGATTAGAGTATTAATACATTTTTTATTCAATATCGTATTTAAATGTATACATAGTAAAAATAAATGTATTTTAACGTCCTATAAAGAGGAGGTTTCTAAGTAATATACAGGGAGTCAAGTAAATATTTGGACATAAAATTAATTCTAGAAAATTAATTTGCCTGACGAATCGTAATCGTCTTATACTATCTTTATGTATGATCAACACCATTAGAAAAAGTTTGAATAAGTATTAAACCATCCTTAAAAATCTGTAAAGTGATGACAGCTCAACAGCAAATTATTATTTCTAGACGATTTCCGAATATTTACTTGATTCATTGTATATAAAAATTTAAAATTTAATAAAATAACAATTATAGTTTTCTATGGACAACTGTAATAACTCCGATATGACGGAGTTATCATCATAATGTTATCTTAAAAATTAAATTACTATCTAATGGCGTACGCAGAATTTTTTTAAAGGGGGCTAAAAATTTTTTTTTTAATATATATTTATACTACATACTTTTGCAAGCGCCAAAGTCATATACCGTTAAAAGTCATAATTGGCCAATGGAGAAGGTGCTATAGCCCTTCTTTCAGCCTTTTAGGTAAGCCACTGCTGCTATCAATAAAAATATTCTAATTGTTCATTTATTAGGCTAAAAATTTATAATTTTCCACTCGTCTTATATGAATAATTGACTGTAAACAAAATTGTTTAAATTTAAACAATTTGAACTAATTTAAAATTAATATTTTTTAATACAAATTCTATTTTTAGTTTAATTTAATTTAGTTATTTTTAATTTCAATTTCTTGCTTTATTAACGATTCATTATAAACATACTGTATTTAATTATTCGATGTATCATGCGGTGTTGTTTATTATAGACGCAGACAAAAATAGTAAAAAAAAAAAATGAAATAAAAAATGTTGAGTTATACTAACAGCTTGATTTTTAATATCTTGTAAAATATTACCCATAAAATAATCTAATGTTACACAATTATTATCTACATAATATGTAATATAAGATGTTAGATATATTGATTTATATATATTTTAAGATAAGATGAAAGAAAATAGACTTACATGATTAAGTCATGTTATAAGGAGAGAGGAAACTTTAAGAATAGTTATGGAAATTAATGTTGAGGAAAAAAGAAGTAGATGAAGACCTAAAGAGTTGGAGGAATGTTATTGAATGATATATGAGGACGGCTGATGTGGAAATCTTGTCAAATGGAAGTTTAGTATAAGGGTGGCCGGCTGGCCCCAATTAGTTGGCATAAAGGCGAGGTAAAAGAAGATCACTTTTTATTGGTAATTTTAGCAAAAAAATTTATCGAAAATTTTTTTTTTTTATAAGAAACTTTTTAAGCAATGTTAGAGGTAGGGAGATCTTGCGCCTCTTCACTTTAAGACCTCGTTTAAAATACAACTTAAATAGTATCATTGATGTATTAATTAATAGATAGGGTTAAATATTTTTGATGGTATATAATTATAGTATATTTATAGCATTTAGTAGTTAAAACTAGTTTTGCCTCTTATAAATTCTAAATACCTATTTAAACCTGATATTTTTCCAGTTATTTATTTATTTATTAGTTTTTGAGTGGAGAGATGACATTTTTGATAAAAAAATTGTTTTAAATTACGCATTAATTGAATATAATAGTTGCAAGAAAATTATTATTTGTCAATTATAACAAAATGAAATCAATCATGTTTATTATTGCTTATTTATTTATTTTTAAATATATTTATTGAACACTGTGTTCATGTAGTGGTGTTTTCACAAAAACAAATTATATTGGAATATATGAAATGTATAAATATATACTCTTCAGTATAAATAGTATATGAGTATTACTGTTCTAATATATACTACTTTAATTTAATAAAAGTAGTTATACATCGTATAACCTGCGTATACTCCTTAAAAAAAAAAAATACTGCGTTGATGATTGTTTAAATTTTTTTAGACGACTAGAAAAAAGAAATTGACCTTAACGCCAGAATTGCGAAGATCATCCTTTGCTGCCTCCCTAAAGACACAGTGTTGTTACAGGTTTGTAGGTTTGTGTTATATTTATGTTCTTTTGTTAAATATTACAAATTTTGTTTAGCAATTCAAGGCTGGTCAGCCTGAATGGACTGGACAGCCTTAAGAATAGCACAATGTCTTTGGACGACAACGTGGATTTGATCAACGAAAAAATAATGTTTGAGCGGCAACTTTTTCAAGATTACATGAATGAGTTGCGCAGTCAAGCGGTACAGTTGGAAGCTGATATATACTTAAAATCTACTAGGATTGACGACTTACAACTGTACAACTGTGAAAAGCTCAACGTAATAGGATCCCTGGCTGCAATTTATGATGAGACCAGGTGGAGATGTGAATCAATACAACGACTGTGCGACGAGCACGCGATAGCTAGTGGGTTGTCAGATCCATATCGGTGCGCGCTGCTGGTTGATCGTGCCTTGGATATGATGGCAGTGTTCAAGTCAGACCAGCAAAAATTGCGAGAATATATGAATGATATGAGTAATCAAGAAGATGTGCCATACGAACTTGTGCGCGCTACTGAACAACTTTATAATGATCTAGAAAAGTGTGTGACGGCTGTTAAAAATGCCACTGGCCGAGAAATGACCGATGCTCTTCTTAACGACATCCACCTTGATGATACCATTAAAAACGTCATTCAAGAGATTGGTAATATCCAAGAGGATATCGTCCAGCCAGATTACTGTACAGCTATAGAACTTATTGATCAACTACAAGCGGCTGCCCATGAAAGTGGTCCAGATGCAGCTAATAATGTCGAGCTGTGGACAAAGGTCAGAAATCTATTTAAAAGAAACCAATGTTTGGCGCACAAGGTCACTTCGTTGAACATGCACAAAACTGAATTGCAGTTACAGCTTGACGAAATGACCGAGAGCGCCGAAAAATTAGAGAAACAAACAGAATTAGTAAAACAAGAAGTTCGAAGGAAATCGACGATGCTCGATCTACATGAGTCCATGATTGAACAACATTGGGACGAGATCAACACTAGTACAGACGTGGTAATCAAAAGCCAGCAGAATCAAGAAATCAGCCAGGAGTTGGAAGATCTTCAGCTGGAATTCGATAAGTAAAAAATAAAAACACTAGTTATAATAAAAGCAAATTTTTATAATTTTCATAATTTTTTAGCCTTGACTTAGAAAATAGACAATTTGAAAATGAATTGGTTGATCTTAAAGACGAATTAACTGAATACCAAATTAAATGCGACAGCGTAGAAAAAGAAATCCAACAGTTAGAAAAACAAAAAGTACACAGTTTAGATGAATATGCTAAATCATGGGGACATCACAATGCTAAGCAGAAGATAAAATATACCGGCAAACTCATTAAAGATTTGGACACCATTACTCAGGTATATTTCATAAATATTATAAAATAACTTTAGATATACGTATATAATACACATGTAGAGAGTATTTATTTGAATATATATATTATTCTTAATATTCACATTAATTTTACTCACAAATAGTATTATTTTGATATAATGTAATGGAAATTCGTACACAATATTACATTTTTATCACTGTTTATTAAAATTATACCGTATATGAATGCATCATAAGCTCTAGTGCATAAATGTAAAAATTCAAAATTTTTTTTTAAGAACTTATAACTTTGTACACCAGTGGTAAACTAAGTGAAGTCCGGTCAAGGCGAACACCCCAGGTAAAATAATATTGACAATATATCTAAATAGAGTTATATTTTTCAATACATTAAGTAATTATACAGTTGTTGGTATTATACAGAGTAATTGATTTATCGTTGACAATTAAATTTTTTTCAAAATAATATTAATTTTGACACATTTTATTTTTTGATTTTGATTATATTACGTTGCTATTTAGAGATTAAGTCTAAAAATCCGCTAACAGTCCTGAGACCCCAGCGGGAAATAGCAGGCTATCTACCTAATGTACTGAGGTTTCTTGTTTAATTTATATACCCTTAGAAGATCTATCAAGGGTTGCATAATATATAACGCTCTTGATTATGTAACAATAGAATAATTTATTAATTAAGCTAAGTAAATAAACTTGTTACAACCTGCTGGACACCTAACGATGATATTAATCCAACAGGGTGCTAACAGTGACACACGCACATTATACTGGTGATGGCTAATTTAAATTAATTTCTTAGACAATAAAAATAATAGTCGCGATGGTGGTAAAAAATCAACTGGAGTTTAGGTAATTCGTATTATGGCACGGTGGCCGTGAATTCTAAAAGTGTTTATGTGTTTAGTCTGCTATCCTTTAACTCCTGAATATATAATTAAATAGTGCTATGACACTTTAATTGTAATTACAATTAAAATTTAATAGACATTTTGCTTTTTATTTTACGGGATTAAAGATATAAAGGTGTATTTTAAAAACTACAAGTCAGTAGGTAATAATGAGTTATTTCATAATGAGACCATAAAAATAATATTGTTTTTTTATATTTTTATTTATATTTTATATTTTTTATGAAAATATTGTATACAATAAATTTCTATGTGGGGTAAGTTGTTACAATATTTTTATTACTTAAAAAAAAAATGATTTTTTTAGTAAATTTAATAGTGTAATTGTTTTAGAAGGGAAAATTATAAAACTCGAAAAAAATGTGTGTTAATAAATACAAAAATGGCACTCCTAAGATATTTTTCGAGGGAAATATTAAAATAATAAAAAAACTTTTCATTTTTTATAAATTTAAATTTATAAGACAATTTTTATTTTAACAAACTTAACTTTTTTAATATATTCGTAAAACATTATTTTAGTAAAATTATACTGCAACAACTTGGTCCCAATATATAATAACTTATCCCAAGATGGGGTAAATTGTTATATTTCAATATATATATATATATATGTATAGATGGACCAGCATTCATTAACAACTTAAACAATTTTTGATCTATTTAATATTTTTTACTGATTTTATTCTTAAATAACAGTTATATGTTAGGTCTATAATTATATCTAAATAATTTATAATTTTATATTTTATTAAAAACATTCATTATTTATAAATCTTAAAAAATTCAAGGTATTTATTTTGTAGAGTAGATTTTAAAAAAAATTTTAGTAAAAAAATATTTAGTAGTATATAGTCTGTATTATATTAGAGTTTCTGAAAAATAAAATTTTTGTGTGTTATTTTACGGTATTAAACATTGAAATACGTGTTGAGACAAGGTCAGAAGAAAAGTAAGATAAATAGTTTTATCTCTAAATAGATAAAACACTTATTAAATAATGGGTATTGTTCATGTTTTTATTTGAACTAAAGCCGGTTAGTGGAATGTTAATAATTTTCATAGAAAAATCCCACTCATATCATATTTAGTGGGAAAAGATAGTATTTACTTCTGTCCTTTTTTTTAAGAAATGTAAAATGTTACAGAAAATTATCTACCAAACATTAATGAGAATTTTGTTCATTAAATTATTTTGTAAAATCTATTCTAAAAGACGGGCATTTTGAAATTTTTTAAAATATTTTTCGTAAATTGTTTAAATTTAATTATAAAAATGATATTAATTAAATTATTATTATAGCCCTCAATTATATAAATTAAATCTCTAAAAACTATTGCTTGTGTCAGAGGACGGGAAAACCTACAAAGCAGAGTACAACAGAATCAAACCCCAGTATTTAGGTACCGATGGCACTACCAGTTATCGAATGAGCTATGTAAACTGCCTAGAATTGAAATTTGAATAACTGTTAAGGATAAAATTTATAAAAATATCAACAATTGTTATTATTAGATTCCGCTCTTCCCTAAGCTTGATAACAACACTTTTCTTCGAATTAACTGTTCTGCTTAACTTTATATGTCCTTTTATAACTCTAAATTTATGATTATAGTGTATCCTATATGTGCTTTACACATGTATTAATATTAAAATAATGTTTTAAATTGTATTCTAATGATTATAGGAAATCAAGTTATTAGAATTAGAATTAGAAAATTACGAAGAAAATGTTAATATGAGTAATGATGGTTCAGCTTTTGTTCGTAGCCAACCAAAGTCTGAAAAAATTCCCCGTTCGTTCGGTCTCATTGATCCCAACAAACGACATTCTATGAATAGTGTTTTCCGAGAAAACGTTGTTCGCAAAATAAGGTACCAGTGATGAAAATAATATTGTTATACATTCTATCATGTAAGTAAACAAATATTACGTTAATTTTATGTTTAAAAAATGACGAGCATTCGTTTAAATGGGTGCAATTAAAGCAGAAATGTTAGTTATGTTAAAATTACGTTATGCCCACAAATTCGCGGGGGCTTTACCTCTAAATTATAGAGTAAATTCCTTTAATAATTTCTTTCTTGAGCCATTTTATACAAATAGAAAACAATTTTTACTCTTAAATATAACTATTAATAAGTAATAACTTTTTTTTTCAGACTGTGAAATAATTTGTATATCTTTCATTGTACGACTGATTTTTATTTGTATTTTATACGCTCAATTACTATTTGTTAGTTAAATCAGTTAATTATTTCTATTGTATAGTTCTTGATGTAATTTTTTTTTATTTTAGAGTTCTTGTTTGATGTATTAATGTTAACATTTGTTTAAAAAATGAATTGTGCCGGCACATTTTTTAAATGTTTCTTATATTGTATAAATTGTTTTGATTTTTTATAATAAATAGGTATTTTTTAATTTTTGGTAGGCAATTTACCTCATATTCTGTAAATTAATTATAAATTTGATGAAAATGTAACATTATTTACAAATTGACTTCATGTTATTACAAATGTGAACGTATTATTTATAAAACTATTTTATTATAACTTACGTAGCTATGTTATAATTAGAAATATGTTTAAACCGACAAATAAATTTAAATTATTTTATTCTAAAACTTTTATTTTTTAACTTATTTTTCTTTAATTTTGAAAATATTATAGTAAGGAGAATGGGCGAATAGCGACCATCACAGGAAAATTTGCAATAAAAAGTATACCAATATAATTAATTATTGATTTATATCACTTTTTCTTGCTTAATTGAGTAGAACTTTATAACCACGAGTTATTAATATTTAATTACAATGGACAATTAAAATTACTTTTATCTGATGAATAATAGTTTATAAATTAAAAAAATAATTGGGTATATGAGTATTTGAAGTTACAATCGTCAAGCCGAATAATTGGATCAATAGCCTATTTAAAATGAATTCCCAAATATAATATTAATAACTAAGTATAAATCCAAAAATATGTATTTCATAATTTTTAAAGGAGTTATACATTCGTTCGACTTTACAATATTCCATTAAGTTAATTCAGATACTAAATAGTAATGTGAGCAGCAATACCCATAGAACACCAAATACCCAATCTACCCTAATTTCAACTTATTTTGCAAAGTTATTTATAGTAAAAAAATAATATGCCTCATTAAAAAATACCTGTATAATTACTATTTACTAATTATTATTTACATCTCGTTTCGCCGATAGATATACCTCTTATAAAACGATAGAAATATTTTAATATCAATAATTTGTACGATATCGTAAAATTTTTTTTAGCACACTATAGTTATTCGCTGTTTTAATCACCATAAACAGAATTAAATTTTAGTTAGTAAATAACATTATTAGGTTTGAACTAATATCCTCTAATTGAAAGGGAAACATTCGATGTTTCTCTAATTGAAGTTACTATTACTTTAAACGTTAAAACTTAAACAGCTTTCTTTTTTTTTTAAGAAAAATAATTGAATTTTCATTTTAATTAAAAAATTTAGTTTAACAAATTAAATGAAGTGTTGACTTTACTCTTTTTAATTGTTGAACAATAAGTGTTATACTTATTTTCATCTGAAAATCTTTATAGGAAAGCTAACAAAAAAAGAAATTAAATTTAATGCAAAACAATTTTTATTTTTCAGACAAGACAAGATTTATTTAGTGAATTTTTTTTTTTTAATAATTAATTTATAGTTATTATTTTATATAGAATTTAATATATTTTATATTTAATCTTATATAAAATTTATATATAATTCGTTTATAATAAATACATTTTTTTTTTCATACTTCGTGGTGGTTTCTATAGTGGTTCACAACTCAATTCTTGCTGGACAAAACTCTAATTTTGATATCTGCAAAAAAAAAAAAATCAAACCAGTTATGAAATATTGATTTTGATATGTTTCTTAAAAATAATCATCTACAAGTTCAAGATTATACTTCTACCCGTTCGTATTTAATGGCAAAATAAAACCATGTTATATGACATGGTTATAAAACTACGTATATACTTAATAAGTTTAATTTGATGTATAACTAAATAATTAAAAATAAAACATGAACGAGTACAAGTGTGATCTTAAAACTCAATATTATTCCTGAAGAATATATAAAAATCAATACTTAATAATTGGTTTGAATTTTTCGCAAGTATCAAAATTGGAGTTTTGTCCAGCAAGAATTGACTTTTGAACTTCTATGTGGTACAAGTCATTTTTTTATTTTCTTTGTTTTGTGATTTAGCCCATACTTAATCGAGGGCTAAAACAAAACACGGCGCTGTCTCCCTTGTTACTCAAATTCCGTTGTGTGGGCTTCACCACGTTATGTTAGAGGCAGGACTTTGTGCTGGTTGGGATGGTTTACTTCTTTTTGCAAGGTGTTGGATTGAACCAACGCTTTACGTATCTCTGTCGCAGAATCAGGTGTTGATTTTGACTCAAACGTTTCGTCACCTTCTTCTTTTTCAAGACTGATACGGCTGGGCCAGAGACCACCCTGACTGGCTTCCCAATATCGAAAGTGGCTTCAAGACGAATTGAAAGTTCTGCCCGCTTAGAACTCTACGTATCACACTGGAAATGAATGGTGGTAGTGGTAGTAATCACCTATAGCTTTCGAGACTTTGACAAACTTAAATGGATTTTACTTATAACTAGCAAAAAATATACTATTGGTAAATCATCACTGTTGAGTTATTTTATCTCAGAACCTATATAAACTGTGTATTAGATAGTTAATATTATAACTAAATAATTAGAGTAAAACTAAGTTAGGGAAAAAACTTAAAAAAAATGAAGGAAGCCCAAATTATAAATTTATTCCTTTTTTAAACCTATTTCATTAAAATATTTTAAGAATTTAAGTTATAATAACTTAAAATAACTAAAATAGTTAAGTTTATTCCGGAATTATGGAGTTCCAGAAAATTAAAAAAAAATTTGGAATGAGTTAATTTGATGCATACAATTATACGATGAATTGGTTGGTGAAAAAACTGCATTATTATTATATCTAAGGGAAAACCTTGACGCATGAATTGATCATAGAAAATATTTCCATTATATACAATTTATATAGTATAATAAATAAGAGTTATAATATTATTATAAAAAGTAAAAACTACTTAATGAGCTCTGATTTTCAATGTTTTTTTATAAAAAATCTATTCCCTTGAACAAATTATTTGTGAACATTTTTTTTAGGGCTTCGTCAGTGTTTAAAAATGTAAGATACAAACATATAATTTGTTTTATCATTAATCTTATGACCTATGATCTGAAAATTTCTCAAGTTTGCACATAGATAAAAATTAACAATGTTTACTAATAAAAAATATTACTTATTCCTTTTTTTAATTTTTATTGACATATAATTATTAGACGTTAATGAAAATTCACACTGATGTATTAGAACAATACAAATGTAAACATACTTTATATATATATTTACCTTTAACTTTTTGATAGAATTTTATTAGTATCGTTGATACCAAAGATAGTGTTGATATTGAAATAATATTCAATTATTGTAATGACCTCAGTTAATACATGTTAATCTTATACTCGATATGTTGTACTATTTATTATTTTTAAATTATACTAATTTTAATAATTATATGGCTACTATTTTTTTATTATACTATTTTTGACAAAATACATTTCGTGCACGGCGTATCCGAGTACTTGTACCGGAATTTGTGACCTACCGCAAATAGTTTAAGGACGGCCTGGAGTGCCCAGGGTCTAGGGTGGTGTCTAGTAGATAAATATTTTATAATTTTTTTTAATTAATCGATTTTTTTAAATTAATAATTTATATAAATTATTCAAATGTAACTATAATATTTTTGTTGACGTTGTAGTATGAATTATTTTTTAATAAATTAGTTAAGTTTTCATTAGTATTCTATTAGTATTGAGTGTATTAGTATTATTGTAAACTAAATAAATTAAAAAAGTAATGCGATTCAAGGGTGTTTACAAGGATTTCAATGTTGAGAACACAATATTTTTTAAATATTTGGTTTCACTGTCCGTTGAAAAGATTTAAGTGTTGAAGGGGTGAGGCGGTGATTGATATCAGGAACTACGTTTATATCGGAGGCTTTGCCAGAGACGTAACAAGAAGAAGCTTAATCTTCTAAGTTAATGAATGAAATCTCTTATAGATTAAAAATTATTTATATTATCATATACATGTATTTAAGGTAGGAAAAAAATACAATTAGCATCCTCAAAAATGCTATTTTTAAAGGCGTCTATAGGCTTCACAGAAAAAAAAAAATTATAAATGAATGATTTTTTGGTAGTTTTATATATTATTTATGAAATTAAGTGTATCTATAAATTTAATAAATAAAAATCAACTATCATTAATCTATGAAAACAATTCTCTTAATCCTGACATTTATAATATAATTTAAAAAAAATAACATTTTTTATCTATTAATAAAAAAAATTGAATAAGTCAAAGGAGGCAACAGCTCCTTTTTCATCTGTCCTATCGGTCACCTATGATATGATGACTATAAACATATCCTGTTTAAATTATAAAAGTTGACCAATGAAAATTCTAAATCATGGTATGGACCCCTAAAATTTGTTCTCTTAGTTTTAATATGTCTTGTATTCCGAACCTGGCTATACTCATTATTTTTTTAAAATATTTGTCCAGACATCGATTTAACTGTTATATATCATGATATATCTGTTATAAATCAATTACTAATAGTAAAATTATTTTCATGTGTGTTAGTTCAGTACAATTTTGTATAAATCAATAATTTTTCAAGATAAAAGTAACATTAAACTTTACAAAAAAGTAAAGACGTGATTTTAAAAATGTACATCACGATTTAGGTAATTTATTTAAAAAAATATAATAATGTACAATGCTTTTACAATTTACCCAAATCATATTCAGTCAAAAAAAAATTAAAAGAAAAAGAAAGGTAATGTTTTTAACGCTTAGCGAGAAAATGGCAAGGCACCAACAACAACAATGTAGGATGATGAATGATTTAAATGATTTACAACTAATAATAACACGAGAAAAATGTGAGAAAGAAAGCTTGATTTTTTAAAGTCGAATACCAGGGTTTGTGGCAGCTACATAGTTGAGTAATTCGTCACTATCCTCACAAACGAAAGGTTTCTCGTGATAACATCCAATATCGTGCCAAGCGATACCATCACCATACACGTTGTTCAACACACTCAAACAAGATTCAACGGTACCATTAATATCAAATTCTGCGTTGTCTGGCTGTGGGGCTTTCTTATGACCACCTTTGCTCCATGGGTTGTACGCCCAGTTGGCTGGCATTTGATTTGTCGATGAGATCTTGCCTCGTGTAGCTGACCAGAACCAACCATTAATATTTTTTGGCTCCAAGTCTGCTCTGTTTTCACAACCCTTGAAGTCGCAAAGTCTTCCACTAGTCCATATGTATGGTACATCATCTAAAAAATATAATTTTTGTAATGAATAACACTCTGACATATTATAAAAGAGGTATTGAGTATTGTATAAATAACAATTTTTATTTTTATTTTCAAAAATAAATTTTAAAGTTGATTTGATTTTATTTTTAAAAAAATTCAGTAATTATACTTGTAAGATAATTGGTTGTAATCACTAAAATACTCAATATACCTATATATTAAAATTATATAAAAAAATAAAGAGCAGCAATATAAATTTAAATGAATTTGGAAAGAGGGATAGCATAGCTCTTTTGGTTCCCTTGAAAATATAACTTACTTTGTTGTATCAGTCTGAAAATGAGGTTATTTTCCTCTTGTGTTTCAATGGATACTAAATCCATACAGTGTTCGCGGCAAATATTTCTCGCTTCTAACCAATCTACTTTGGATGTTTTCCATTGTTGAGTGTGTCCACTGAAGAAATAATTACGTCCTTTGTAATTAAATTCTTTAGGTCCTATGATAAAACAACATTCTTTTTGTAATAGTCAGTAACACTAAGGCCAAACGGAACCTCACATAAATGAACATCAACCAACTATAACTTTTAAAATGATTGTTTTCATTACAGAATAAGTGTTAGCTTAGAATCAAGGGAATAATTAATTTATGAAATGCAAAATATGTGTTAGATTTTTCGCTTTATATGGAAATTGTTATATGCTGGTGAGATTTGCATGTGTAATTTATTGTTTGTTCTCTTCTATTACAAAACAAAGTAAGAGTTAAACTATTTCACCTGCATTACATGTGTAATGATATACCATCATGTAGTATAATTATATTTATACAGGTAAACATTAATACAGTGCTCTTAAATCTTAAAGAGTAAACAACATCAGTAACCTACTGACTCTGGCTATAAAATGCCATACAAGTCACGATTAGTACTAAGCTAACAGTAAGGAATCTAGAAATAATACTAAACATTTTTATAAAAAATACATCTAACAGTGGCGATCAACGAAACGCTTATATAATAATCGTTACGGTAAAAAATTGATTGAATGTTCATGCGTGATATGATTTTCTATAATAATTGTATAAATAACATCGTTACTTACTTGAGCTACATTTTTCGGCAACTGGCAAGCTGAGAAATCGGCCAGGTTTTTGTGTGATTGGGTTATTTGACTTTACTTCACTGATTGCTGCCAAGCATCCTGTCACCGACAAGACAAACAATATGCATATTGTTCCGGACATCTGTAACGTATTATTCAAAAGTCATTAGACATTTTACATTACAGAGAATGCTATTCTTTTCATAGGCGCAATTTAAACGAAATTTTTGGGCGATCGAACTTCATATCTCCTCTCTCTAAATATTGCTTAATATATTTACTTGTATTTTTTATAATTTTTGAGTGGAGCTATGACAGCATTTCAGGGATTGAAGCTCTCTCTAGATTTCCTAGATTGCGTCTGTGAATTGGGAGTAACTACCACAGTAAATGCTTAGTAAGCAACGCATAAGTGACTTCAGTGAATTAATTAGAATAACATTTTCTGTTATTCGTCCGTATTCTTTATCAAGAATTTGATGGCTAATATAAATCTACACTGTCAAAATATTGCAAATATTGTTTGCAGTTATTGTGTTAAGTTAATATAGTAAAAAAAATTTTGATTCTAAAATTTTACATTGAAAAATAAATGGGACAAGTGCATAAAATATTTTGTGAGTAGTAAGCCTTAAAATTAGAAATATACGTGAATTAGCACTAAAATTTATACATACTCTTAAGAGCTCTCATTTTACATTATTTTGATACAAGTTTTTAAAGAAAATACTTAAAAAATAATGAACGCACTGTAATTACTATGTTAGCATAAAACAAAAAAATGTTTCTCTAGTGTTTAGCTTAAACTGTAATTAACGTTTAAAATTGAATTAATGAATGTTTTACTAGTAATACATATTGTTCTGTGGAGATTGAAGCATGCAAATTCTGCCTGAATATCAGTACATTACATGAAAATAAAATACAAAGGATAGAAATATTATGTAAGAAGGATACGGATGAAATTCAATTAATACTAATTTTCTTTCTTATAATTTATTGTTTACTAATATACAGAATTGGTTTCACAAACAATAAGAACCAAAGAAAATGTAATTTATATAATGCCAACTTCCTTTAATAATGAGTTATACAACAATATTTTAAGTCAACTCAAAATAATACTTTCCTTGTATTCCTAAATTAGTAATGTGAATTGTCACGTCTATCTTACATGAACATGCCATTATTGTTGGGTATCGAACGTTAATTCATTTAATTACGTTTTAAGCTTGTATAAGACTGTTTTTCAAACAACGATAGTAATAAACGTTGTGTGGAGGTACTAAACTATCTGTAATTTTTTCGTTAGGTGTAACTGACCGAGTAATAAAATTCTAACAACCGTATTTTAATAGTGATGAAAGACACAGTATAAATTACCTAACTGGTTTTCAGATTAGTAATTTTAACAAATTTTATATTTTCAAATATTAATAAATTAAGTCATAGGCATATTTACAATCTTTCTATCCTGGGTGTAATATATTTATATAATTTTTATGTCTCTGAAAATTTTAGTTTTTCCGATTTAGTTTCTAGTAAAACTTTTTCTGCAAAAAAAAAAAAGTCTTTTATTTAAGAAATATTCTTTAAAATGGCCCGCTTTAGTCTCAATAAATAAAAGACTGACTTTTTTTCCACATTTTATGGCTCATAAAGTGTTATTGTGGTCTACTCCAAAGAGGAAGTTATTTAATAATTTATATTTTTTTATATTAATTTACTTTTATAAGTAGGGGTAGTATGCTTAATAAATAATTTTGTTTGTAGGACATCCTCTAGACCACCCCTATATAAAATTTAGAGAGACCTAGCTCTTTGGCGAAATTAAGAATATCTTTTGGTTTTTTTTGAAGAAGTTTTTTCCAAATGTTTAGATCATAATGTGACTAGGATCTCACATAATGTGAAATTAATCTTTCTTTTCTGTTTATTACTACATGCACATTAGTGATTCTTTCATCTATATTGTATAAAGATGTTTAAGCTGGTAATCGTGTGCTGTCAGTAATCTAGTCAGAGTGATCATTTAAATAAAAATTTAATGATTAACTTCTTATTTTACAATTAAAATACAAAATCTCTCAAAGAAATTGCATAGTATGTCATTTTAACTGTATGAAAATGTAATTTTGTGTTATCACTTATAATATTAGCATATAATATGATGCTATCATTTGTACATCTATGTCACATATTATAAATATACAAGGTCACCTCACATGGTTTCCTTCTTCAAAACAGAAAATAACCAGTTAATTATAAGGTAAAATCTGATTATTGTACAGATTTAAATTAATGCCTATGTGTAGGGCCTTAATTAAGTCTAGCCAATCACATTTAACAATTAATTAAGATCTCCAGCTTCCAAAATTCCACTAGGGATTGCTATGTTACCTCCTTTGACTATAAAAATCTATTTTTTTCTATTAAAACAAGTTCTTTCGTTAACATCAAAATACATAAAAACTGCGACACTCTAATCAAGATCCCACTTTCTAGAAAGCAAGGTAAGTGCAAGTATATTATAAAATCTTATAGAGATTTAAGTATAATGTATTCAATATTATTCAACCCCCAAGATTACTCTACTGTTTTGTGACTGACATTTATATTTACCTTATTTATTTGACCTTTATATGTTCAACTACAGTTTATTCACCATTCTAACTATCCTACTTTTTATTTGTATTTTTTTAATACTATTCTGATTATTTTATTTTTTATTTTAATCTGGATTATTATAAATAGTTTCTTCAAATATCTTAATAACAAGAATATAACAAAACGAGCCTAAATAAAAAGAAGCTAAATAAAATAAAACGTGTTTCACTTCTTTTAAACATTTGGTCAGTCTAACGGCATCAATAATCGTGTGAAAATAATAGACTGTGCTAATTAATTTCATTATTACAGTGCATTTTTTTATTGATGATGGTTATATTTGTAATAATTATGATTGATATCAATTAATAATAATAATATACAAACGTATTAGAACATTTGTTGTTTCAAATCTTATATTATTAAGATATAATAATGTAATAATTTATAACACATTTTAGGTTTAACTTATACACTCGTTGGTAATTAAAAATCTTATGCAATCTTTCAGTGCGAAAATTTATTCCAAATGAAATATTTATGGATTAAATACAATGACCTTATGGTCCTGGGAAATAATGTTAAGTAATATATTGTAATTAAAATATTGTTCAGTAGTAAAAGTTCAAGGGCGGGTTACACTAAAAGAAATTAAATTGACAAATAAGTAAAATATTAAAGATTATATTAACATAACCATACTTTTTATAGAGTTTTTATTAATACTCAGGGTCGGATTGAGAAATTTCGATCCATCGAGATTTTATATTTTTACTAGTCAATAAATAGGTAAAATCAATTTATCTGGATCTATGATTTGTTGGCATATTTTAGTTTGTAATAAGATTTCAAAGATTACACAAAACAGGAATAATTTTAATGGGCTATGTTTTTCTTATTAACTCTAAATATAGTAGGCTCTGAAATTTTTCAGTACAATCAATCTTTGTTAACACTGTTACCGTCTTTGATAGGTTCAAGAATATTGAACACTTTAGTAATCAACAAAATTTAATATAAACTACTACAAAAACATTTTATTGTAACACAAAATTAATATTATAGTGACGTCTTTATTTCGTTATAAATAATTTAAATTTCAAATTATTTTCGTAAAAGTATGTTTGACGCAGTAAAATGTTTTCGATAACAACTTTACTTTCCGAAAATCAGTAAAGAACTATTTAGCATTCTTGATAAGTTTGATAAAATTTAACAACCTCATATTTATGCTCCATCGACCATATTCCAAGTAACAACATAAATTAATTTATATTAATAATTTATTATTGAATACATATTTTTTAATAATAAGTGAGGTAAATTTGTTTTATGTTTGTACACCCAAGTAATTTCAACTCCAAAATATATTTTTTTTTAAATAATTTAATTTAGTAATTTCAGTAATAAATGATAAAACTCATAAATTTAATAAAAATTGCACGTAGTTTATGAAATTATCAATTTTAAATAGAAATTATTTTTAAAAATGTTTTTCTCGAGAAATTTTATTTCAATATTACTAAGATTGTATTAGAGATAAAAAAAAACAAAAACAAATAGTGCAAAGTTTGATACTAAAATGAATTTCTTAAGCTATTTGAAAATGAACTTAAAGTTTACGTTACCTTGAAATATTGCTGTTTTTTGAATGAAATTTGTTAGTTATACGCGTGCGAAGTGTGACCACAAGAACGTCCAAACGATAATCAACTTCGTAAAGGTGTTACGAGGATTATTTATAGAAGCAGTAGTCGCGGCGGTTTGCTTCTTAAGCGCCTTGCGACGGTGGGAGTTGGTCGGTGGCCATCAAATTCAGTAAGTTCATCGCTAACAACTCGACCTTAAGTACATAAAGTCGAATAAAAAAGTAAACAAGTAAAACTTATGGTAAATGTAATACTAATATTGTTATGAATATATTATTAATGCGTATGCTCTCAGATGAGGCAACCTTGATAGTATAGTCACCCGACCGACAGAATCTTCTTCTTAATTACTTTCACTGTTTGAAAACAATGTCAATTTATGTCTCGTAGTCATTGACCGCTGTTTGTGCTGTCAGACCAGTTGTTAAAGTACTGTACTTAAATATATATATTCAATACTTTACTTATCATAATAAGCAAAATTAAGTACTAGTAAGGGTTTGAATTAAAAGAAAATTAATTTTCTATGGGTTAAGTAATTTACTATCTAAATTTTGTAATATTTATTTTTAATAAATTTCTTTACGAAACGTGCTAAAATATTGTCGTTCCTCAGTGATTGTAATTATCTATGGAATGACTAAAGAAATAGATGGACATTAAAGAGAGAGCAGTTAATCCAGACAAAAATGACCTTAGCGCCTAGCATTTATTTTGCTCAATACTAGGACTAGGGAATTATATATATTTATAAATTTTTCTTGATTAAATGGAGTCGATTAACGCACATTTTTATTATTTCGAAAGGCAACTAGTACTCATCACTCATATACGTGTATAAAATGAACAAGTTATACCCGAAAATATATTTTTTATAGTACCAAACATTTTTTCTTAAATTATTATTTGAATAACTTAAAACTGAATTACGTGTTATTGTTGAATTGTTAAAACAAATTTAAAAAATAAATTTTAGTGATAAATTTTATTTTTTTCTGTAATTCATAAAAATGATTAGCAAACAGTTCATTTATGTTTTACAAAACGTCTAATTACTTAATACATTAATATATATTAAACCGTGGTTATTTATTCAAGTATTGTTCCCTGTTTATATTCATCTATAGTACATTTCATTATAAATTTCTCTTTTTATTTTAGAGTTTAATAAGCTATAGAAACAAGAAATGTATGAACACTACATAACTACATCAAATAATAGTTGTGATATACCTCTATAAGACACTAATGCGTGAGTGTTGTATGGAATATAAAAAACAGATACGGAAGAGAAACTAAACAAAACAACAATTTGGATAGGCTATTTAAATTGTTCGGCTTTTGTCTTGCCTAAAAGTAAAATAGCTCTCTTCAACGAAAACATATACAATTAATGCATACCATCATACAATAAATAACGTGAATTAATTAAAAGTGAATTTATTTGATATTAATTTACATGATTTTGCAATTAATTTTTACATTTGTATAGTCTTAAATGTGCTTTATTGTATGTGACAAATGGTTTGTATTATTCTAAAGGTGTAATTATGCGTAAACAAAAGTTACTAGCAGATGAAGGCGTAGGTTATTATTTGATTATTAGCATTATTTAGATATATATTTCTTAATTTTTACTTTAATCTCTGGTATGGAATTTGTAGAATGGGAGATGATTAAGGTCAGATGTGATATCAAAGTGCATAAAATCCTTGTCACATTAACGACAGAAATGAACTTACGCCTGCAACATGTCTGGGATATCGCAAGGTAAACAAATTTATTAACCATATTACATAAAATTTAGCCATTAGTAATAAGTGTAACTTCCAAAATGAATACACAATATATAAATAGTAAAATGATTTAAATATTAGTCAAATTATATCAATAGTTAAAATATTTATTAGATTTTTCTGTTAACTAAGCTTAAAATCCGTAAATCATTATAAATGTAAGCTTTGACATAAGGAGTTGCTTAAGATTTTTATGGTGGAATTATACATAGAAAAATTTTTGGGAGGCATTGACCTCTTCTTCTGGATAGAGGTGGATAAAGCTGTTATTATTTTCATTCTTCTGTTAAAATAATTTGTTTTATGTTTTTTCAATAATATAGTAATTTACATAGATAGTATTTTACTTTATTCACCATTTTATGGAATTTTAAATTATTTTTTTCATAAATGTAATAATTATTAGCTATTAATAGCTAATTGTAGTAATAATTAATACTACAAATAACTAATAATATTTAATTTTTTATATGCGTTAAAGATAATTTATTTATATAAATAATCAATTTTTAGTTTATGGTTAATTGTAAAAATCAAATTGAGCGTAATAATAGATAAAGGACGCGGGCAAGCAAATTATTTTCAAAACATGTTATTTGCGTATCAAATTCCACGTTTATTATTTACTTTAGCTAGAAAAAATAGCTGTGAAGTCTCACGGGACACCTTGGCACAATTAATTGGTCACCATAATAATAATAGTAACAATAATAACCCATACACTCAAACTTGACCCGTGTCCATAAAACCGCAACTACTTACGATCATTACTGTTGTAATGTGCTAACAGTTTTCATGATCTTGTCAAAAGCAAAGAGAGTGTTGTATATTTGCTTAAGGATAAAAGTATTAATTAGAATGACGCACACACGCAAATCGTTAGATTTTTTTATAGTGCCATCCTTTATAATTTTGTTATGTATGCAGCAATTCTAATATCTTACCTCGTATTCCAAAATATAATTTTAAAATGGTTTTTATAAAAATACTTAAGATGGCTTTTTTAATGTTATAATTAAGTATCATTTTATTTGGTGTTTGCACAAGAAAATATTTGCTAACTCTCTAAACACTATTGTACTAAGTAATTATATTCATTAAGGAGGGATTTCATCTTTATACTATCCCTGTGTCATACCCCAATGTAGAGAATCAAAAAAGTTAGCGGATCTACTTTTTAACTATAACTGTAAGTGCAAATTTAAAAAGAAAAATGTTTAAAAAAAATTTTTTGAACAGGATCGTAATAATACTGTTAGTACCAGATGTTTTAGTCATTTCCAAAATGATGAGCAATAAAAAATGAGATTTGTAGTTGATTATGATCTTTATAATAAACAAATAGCATTTTGTTTATGATTTTTAAGAAATATTTCGTTTTTTAGCTTCGATGCGATGCTTAGAAGGTGTTAGTTGTACTATGATGTGATTTTTTGTGTCTATTACTGAACCGATTTCTTTCAACGATACGTCAAAAGATCACAAATCGTATTTAATCGAAGACACTATTCTCAAAAATTGAAAAAATTTCCCTCGTTCTCCGTAAAGGGGGGAAACCTCCTAAAAAATTACAAATTTTAATATTGCTAATTTTCGAAATTTTTTCAAATTTTTTACTTAAAACTGCCATAACTTTCTTAAAAACCTTAGTTATTCTTTAATGTCATTTGTATAAGAAAATGTTTTATGTTCCATTTTAGAGCCATATCTCAAAAAAAGGCATTTCGAGAAAACCGACATCAAATATTCGACCTTCCATTAGAGTTAGCGGAATATTGTTTGTTACTTTTTTTTCAGTATTTATATTATGTTGAAGTCAAATTTTACTTATGTAGCTTGTATATTTTCTAGACGAAACATGAACTACCATAAGCTAATATCAGAATTTAATAAAGTTTTATTCTATGATTTAACGAATTATATTTTGGATGTGTGCCTCATTAATATTCAGTTACAGTTTAATTAGACATGGTGTTTTTGGTTTGTTATGCAATGGTTTTAAAAACTACACGAATAATTATTTATTACATAATGAATGCGATGCGCTTTAAACAATGATATTATTTTATTCTCACTGAATCCTTAGTTTAATAAGACAAAACACTATAAATTAATTAGCAAAAAGGTTATAGTAAAATTTTAAAAAATTATTTATTTATACTTTAAGTCATATTTTTCTAATCGAACATTCAAGATTCATAACGTTAAATTTATTTAAAATTATACAATTGTTTTCAATTATAACCGTTAAAAATAATTAACTTAGGGAGTGTGAGCATAGTAAAATGATTTTTTAAATTAAATTATTGAACTTAAAGTGTCAATATTACCAAAAGTATTAAAGTGTACGTAAGTTATTAGTTAACTAGTGGTTTATTGGTTAAAAAGTATTCTTGGAGTTTTTCTTTTTTTTTTTTTTAATAAAAAGATAGGTTCAAGTTGTATGTATTTCTAATGCATTTCATATGTAATTTTTAATGGCAAATAGTTAATACTGTTAACTTGTTTAACTGTTATTTAATAATTAGATATATCTTTAAAAATAATATTTTATATGACAGTTTGTATTACGGTAAGCTGTATATGACACGGTTTTTATTTAAATCTTCATCTTCTTAAATGCTTTGTTAGTGTTGTATAAACACACATTATTAATGCACAATAATGCAACCACTACATGGTTTATATTTATTTTTATTTTACATCAGGAAAGTGGAAATAGAAAGTGACACGTGCACTTAACACATACTTAGTACTCCGTATAAAGAAGTGTTTTCTTATATCTATGAATTGCCTGTAAATAGTCATATAGGTATGTAATGTTTTCCAAGTACTAAGAGACATGTTGTTAGAAATGGTTGATATGCTAATGGTACAATAGAATATTAAAATATTGAGATGGGAAATACCTACAATAATGTTATATTTTAGTTACTAATCTGTCGATAGTCTTCAAAAGCTGTTGTAATTGGTTAAGAGACTGTGACCTAATGTTATTTATTTATTTATAAGATAACACCCTCGAAGGGCAATGTAGTACAGGTAGTAATATAATAATATAAATACAATTTTAAAAAATTAACAATATACAGTGATACATTTATAAAATTAAGGTGAACAATAATTAGATATTAAGTATAAAAATTATATAAATTAGAAGTAATGAATTATTATGAATATAACATTAAATATTTGTGTTAGAATGATTATTATTAGTTATTACACATTTTAATTTGTTAGGACAATCATAAAAAAAATCAAAGTTAGAAACTAAAAACTATCAAAACTAAAAAGGCATATTTTACAAGTTTTCAATTTGTATTATTGCTATCTCTTTTATTTGGTACATAAAAACGTTTTTTCATTGAATATGACGTAATTTTTAATAATATTCGCTACATTAACTCAATCAGGTTTCAAGCGGAATAATATTGTCACTACCACGCGACAACTACAGTAAGCTACTGAATGTTTCGGGATAACATTAGAATAAACATAAATTTAGTACATCATATTAGCACAAGTAAAACCCGTCATCACGCATTCCAAAAAACAGACCCTGAAATCAATGAATCTTCACATTATAATTAATTAATGGCGTCAACCATAATCGTAGATGACCTAGTCTAGCCTATCACACGTATTATGCAGTGACAACATTTGTAATAATATTTCTAAGTGATCAAATCAATACTGTGTCTAAAAATCTTAAAATTGATAAGCACTTAGATTTTCTAAAAGTTTTCATTTGATTTTAATTATTGTAACTATTAGGTTTTTAAATTATTATTACATTAATTTCCTCAAATTTGCATCAAAGCTAAAACGGAAGAAAATGTTTGTGTAAACACTCTTAGCTTTATAACTATATATTCATTGTACATTATGAATACTGAATCGAAAAACTTTTTGGTGTGATTAAAATGTACATGCGTTCAAGTCTTCATGCAGATATCATGTTTCAAAAATTATAAATTGTGTGGCCGTTTTCATTTTGGTCTGCAATAATTGTGATGAACAAATTATCGTGTGAGGTTTTTATACGGAGGAGAAATAGTTGCCTTGGTCAAAATGTCAATGTTATTTTTAAGTAAAGGTTTACATGTAGGCGAACAAAATAAATATTTTCTGTGGTCTTTTTAAATTTTAATCCTAGATTCCACAATTTAATAAAGTGCAGAGTAAACAATAGTGTAATTTTCTAAATAGTTTTATTATAAATAAATGGTATTCATTTATTTACTTTAATTTTTCGATATACATGGTGAATATCTTACGATATGAATTATTATAAAATTATTGTATACATATAGATTACCCTAAACATAAAATAAAACAAAATAATAATTATTACATTTTAACACTCATCCTGATAATGGCAGTCTCTCTGCCTTTCTTATTTTGAACTTGAAAATCCGTCGGTGTTAGACAAATTTTATAAAAATTGCATGTGCATTATTGTTTACATAGAAATTTGTGATAAACACTTCCTAGTTAGAGTTAAAATATTTATACAGTTCGCTATAACAAAAGTGCTCAAATAAAGCTATTATCTATATATATACTATCCAAAGTTAAATCATTTTTAAAGTATTTTACTCATTTAGTTTGAATAATATTTTTATCATAAATAATTTTTAAGATATACCATCAACAATAATAATTTTATTAATACAATTTTGATGATAAATTTTATAATTGTTTTAGACTCTTAAGATAGTTGGCTTATTTTATCTTTTTAGTTGCAATCAAGTTTTGTGGTACCTATAATTCAACTTGAAATTTTTAATGCGATAAGATTAAATAGATAAGTTTATCCAAATTTTATTCATAAATTACAAAATAATTGTTTTCTTTTTGAATCAATAAAAGTTTAATGGATTAACATCAATGTATCACACTGGTATGGATATAAACCAGAACAAAAATACAAAAATTTGTAGATTTTTTTTTCTGGTATTATCTCATGCTATCATAAGCTTTTTTATGGGTATATAAGATTATTCATAAAAACAGGATAGCTGTGATTCAGTTCTGATTTATGAAATCATAAAAATTCAATCTTTACTGTTATTATTTCCAAATTATTAAACTTATTAATTAGTGTTGAAAGTTAAATTTTTTTGTAAAAAATATATTTGCAATCAGTTGTTTTAATTAAATACTGATTTATACCTCAAATATTTCTGAAGATGATTAAGGAATCATAAATGTATAGTGAAATAATCTCAGAGTAAAAATAATATTATTACAATGAAATTACAATTCAGCAAGTTATGACCTTGTCCGGAATTCACATAGCAATAAAAAAACGAGTCACCAATGAAGTTGTAGCCATTAATTTTATGTATACAATTATTTTATAAAATTTATATACATAAAATTTATAATTTATGTACGTACTAATTAAATAAAATTTGACGAAAATTATGTTCATCCCTTTACTAATACTTGTTACTTTCAATTGAAAATTTATAAAGCAATGAATATTCAACTAAAATAAGATTTTATTGAACGAAATAAAATGGAATATATGAATTTTCTGAATTATTATTGTGTTCAGAGTGTTATACGCACTAGGTTAGCAGCGTTTTTACTATTTCTCTTATTTTCTTTAATATATAAGGACTGATTGATAGAAAGAGTTATAGAATGTTTAAAATATTTATATTAACTACAAAACATTTTAACTTTTTAGATGAACATCTGTAATTTTTTTTATTATATTCAATTATTTATCATATTGACTCTACTTTATAGCATCGGATTGGGAAAAAAAGGTTCACCGTAATTTTTAATCTAAAGGGTCCTCAATGACATATTTGTTTTTGTTCATCAGTTTTTTTCACTTTTGATTTCTTTTATAAAATGAATCCTTACTTCAATATTTATAAAAAAAAATTCAATCAAGTTATCAAGGACTTGAGTCAGCTTTTTTAAAAAGTAATTCTTTCTCGTTACCTTTTTCAGTCATTTAAGCATTTATAATTATATTATTTAATTATTATATTTAGCATTTAATAAAAAAAAAAAAAAATTTATTTTAAATTAATTAAATAACCAAATGAACTCAATATAGAAAACATACTAACATACCAATATTAAAACAACGTATAATACAGACAATGTAAATTGTGATCATCTAATATTCGATAAAAAATTGTCTAAAATTAAGAATATATTAAAAATATTAATAAAAAATTAAAAAATCTTTAATTCATAGTAAAGACATAGTACCGATGTTAGCATTGTTCCCGAAGTACCAATCTGAAAATTTTACTTAATTTTTGTAGCTTATTGAATTAAATATTTATTTATAATAAGTTTTAAATAATATTAGTCATAAATCATATTATTATATAAAAATTTCTGTTAATCGTCTCAAATAAACACTTGTTAAACTTAAGGATATTTGATTATTTATGAATAAACTTTATCTATTGTTTTGATCTGTTTTATAAATTATGCCACAGATTAAGGCTGTATCAACCTAAATTGTTATTAGTTACTTTATTCAATTCCATTATAAACTCAAGTGCTAGTATTCAGACATGTATGTGCATATATCAAAGTAATAAGCTGCTGTAAGTATATCTACAGATAAACCTAAACCATCTTTGAAAAAAATTTTGTTTTTGATAATATATTTTAAGTGACTTACATTTTCCTTTCATGCGCACATTTTTTAGCTTTGATGCGAAGTTGAGAAGATACTATTTTATTATGATATGTTTTAGGATTATGATGTTTTATCACGCTGGACCAAATTTGATAAACAATACGTCAAAAGATAACAAATCGTATCTAGTCGAAGACATAACTCTCAAAAATAGAAAAAATTTCCCTCGTTCCCCGTAAATGGGGGTTATATCCAAAAAAATTACAAATTTAAAAATCGCTAATTTTCGACATTTTTTAGCTTCGATGCGAAGCTGAGAAGGTATTAATTTTACCATGATGTGTTTTTTTTTTTTTATGTTGTTGCCACTTTTTCTCAGCTCTCACTGGACCGATTTCTTTCAACAATACGTCAAAAGATCACAAATCGTATCTAGTTGAAGACATTACCCTTAAAAATTTGACATCGTTCCCCGCAAATAGGGAAAATCTCCAAAAAAAATAAAAATTTAAAAATCGATAAATTTTATAATTTTTTTCAGTTTTAGCTTCGATGCGAAGCTGAGAAGGTATTGGTTTTACTATGATGTGTTTTTTTTTTTTTTTGTGTCTGTTACCACTTTTTCTCAGCTCTCACCGAACGGATTTCTTTCAACGATACGTCAAAAGATCACAAATCGTATCTAGTCGAAGACATTACCCTTCAAAATTGAAAAAATTTCCCTCGTTCCCCGTAAATGGGGGAAACCTCCAAAAAAATTACAAATTTAAAAATCGCTAATTTTCGAAATTTTTTCAATTTTTTTTACTAAAAACTGCCGTAACTTTTTCAAAAATGAACATTTGAATATAATTTTTTTTTTAGAGATGTTTGATGTCTTTACCTATCATTTGGTATATTTTTTTTGTAAATCTGACATTTAACCTGCCCACAGGGGGGGATTTAAAATGACAACTTTTTCACGAAAAATTAACTTTTTTAACTTGATTTTTGAAAATGTTCCGGATAGTCTGACACTTTTATATATATCTTAAATTAAAGCTAATGTAATGTACTTTAATTTGAAAAAAAAAAATTTGACCTCTGGACTTGTCTTCACGGCGAAAATGGCTACCGAATGCTATTTTCGTGTGAAAATTCTCGATTTTATTATTTATATTATATTTAACTTTATAATGCTATAACTTATTGAAAAGTTTATGGATCCACACAATTTTTTTATGAGAAATAATATTTTTTAATAAACCCTTTTTCATTCGACATACTTTATCTTAATCGAGATATTAATAAGGAACCAGCAGATCAAGTAGCTTTTGGAATAAAACATCAATTTTTTTTAAATTAAACACTATCTAAAGATTTACATCGAAGCGTTTATTTTTGATAGTGATTTTAATCACTGTCAGATATCATTGTACTATCATTATACTTGATCCAACTATGCCACGTCACCACTGTGCCGCGACCCCCCTGTGCTGGGTTTTTTTTTTCTTAAAACTTCCATAACTTTTTCAAAAATCAACAAATCAACATAATTTTTTTTTATACTAAGACCTTAGATATTTCCCTTTTCATTTAATATCATTTTTTTGAAAATCTAACACTTAACCTGCTCATTGGAGGGGATTGAAAATAGAAATTTTTTTACAAAAACTAACTATTTTTATAATGCTATAACTTTTGGAAAAATGTATGGATCAATATTATTATTTTTTATAAATAATTTTTGATATACCTCTTTCATCTGACATACTTTTTTTTTAAATCAGATCATATCTCTTTATACAAGGGAGGTCAAAACTTTAAACATGCATATTGAAACTAGGACATTTTCAATTTAATTTTTTGAAAGTGTTCCGGAAATACTGACACTTTTATATACATCTTAAATTAAAGCTTATGTAATATACATTATTTGAAAAAAAATATTTGACCTCTGGATTTGTCTACATGATGAAAATGAACACCATATTCAAAAATATGCTATTTTTATGTTAAAATTCTGGATTTTGTATTTTTTTTTTTATTTTATAATACCTGACAAATACAGAATATAATACGGAAGTGACGTATGTACGGAGTCGGTAACACTTGTGTTTTACGCGCTTAGGGCACAAGGTTTTTTCATGTGTCAAAAAATTATAAAAAAAAATTTAACAATATAGGCGCACTACATTAACCGATAGACTAACTGAGTATTTAAATTTAATCGTTTGATTGAAGTCAAACTAATATTCCTAATGAACAATTGTAATCATTATTAGAAGTAAAATCAATATTTCGCATTGGTGAAATTACCAAATTATTTTGTATATTTTTTAATAGACTGTATTATATAGGGTAAATTTGATAGATAACAGCTAGATAGAAAATTAACTAATTAAACTAAAGTCAAGATAAATTTATTTTTATGATTACAAAGTGTAAAGGTTGAATTTGACCACTAAGAAAACTAACATGCATGAATTTAAATGATTACCAAACTATTCTTTAAAAACTAGTAATACAATTAAAAGTTCAATTATTATTTGATTTATAAAAATGCAAGATATTTCCTAAACTACTAGTAAGGGACCAATAGGAACAATTTATCAATAAAGTTTGTCATGTAAGGAACTTAAGGTGATATTGACAACTAATATTCAATTTTGTGAGTTTTAGTGTGATTTTTCAAATCAAGAAATCAGTTAGTTCCTGAAAGACAAGAGAAATTCAAGTTTATGTAATTACAAATGTTAGTGTAGACAAGAAATATGAAAATATTGAATATTAGAGACTGGTCAACAATGAATTTTAATAATTATAGTTAATTTTGCATGAAATTTTGTAAATGAGTAAAACAATTATGAGATTCAACTGGATAAAGTTTTACCATCCACATTAATGGAGTATTACAATTCTAGTGATTGATTTTAATAATAATCGTAAGATTCTGACTTTGACTATTAAATGTACTACTAAACAATATTTGTTCAACATGACAACTACAAAATTTGTAATAATTAACTTATATTACCAATAGACCAGTATTTTACTAAGAAATTTGAAATCAACCACGAGGTTTTTAAAACTTGATTTAAGAATTAATGAGAAAAATTGTTGTAAGCAAAATTTCCTACAAACTACAATATTTATGAGTATTACCGTTACAAATTTGTCAACAAGATGACAAAGACAATTTTGGTGAGACAAAAATGTGCTTGAATAAAAAAGGTGACTCGACGAAACGACGAAAAAACATTTGTAAACAGCTAGGCAATCCAAAAGCGAGCGGGCGATGATTTTCAAGCGCATAACCGCTACCCCGACAGATTAACTTGACCAGTGATAAAAGAAACGATAGGTGACAATGACTTAACAATAAAGTTTGGTAGACGCAAACAAACAGAAGGGTTCCTCTTTCCAAAATGACATATTTTATAGGTCTTATTGTAATTTTAAATTTGTTTTTAGTTTACGGAAAAATTGCTATAGGTGATTTATCGGATTTTGGAAACCTACTACAGAATTATGTTTTATTAAAAAAATTANTACGTATCCGCGACTTTTCATTAATTTTTTTGTGGCTTTTGAGTTTAATATTTTTAATATTTTTTAGTTTTTTTAAATTAATAATATTTTTAATATAGTTTTAATTTTACTTAATTAACTAGCCACAAGTGATCAATTTTTATTATTATATTTTATTATATCTTACTAAATTTTAAATGATTATCAAAAGTATCCCATTTATATGAGAAGTTGTAAAAAATGATTTATTTTTAGATTTTATTTTACTTAGTGTTTTTCATATTTTGGAGTTAGTGAATATTTTACAGAATAAAATATAACGTGCCAAATATAAGAGCAAATTTATAATAAATGGCGAAATTCCTATTAAGGTTTAAAGCTTCTTAGGTTTACATTTATGTTAATATTTTGACCCAAATATTTACTGCAATCAGTTTTACAAAAATAAATATGCATTTATCATGAAAATGTAAATTATTGAAGCTTGGTGTAGTTGAGTCAATAATTTAACGGCGCAACTGTCAATAGCATATGTTACACGGCTGCAATACAGCAAATGATTTCATTAAGTTTAAAACCAGGCGTATTTGATCTATAATTAAAACATATATACCACATCATTGTTTTAAATTAGAATATTATTTACACCAGCAGTACACTAATGCTTATTCAATGAATATTTCAAAATTGTCTTACTCGATGTAAAAAAAAAATAAACTTGATATAGTTTACCTCTGATGTACAAAAATAAATAGCAGCTTTATTAATTATTTATAATTGTTATTATATAATATTTATAGTTAAAAAAATTGTATTATATAGAAAATTAATATAATTATCGTAATGTAACTTTTGAAATGGAAGGAAAAAAAGGAAAAAACTTTAATTTGTTTACTAATATTTATAATGCTAATAAACATACAAACTAATGTATCTCAAGATGATTTTATGATAACACGATATGTTATCGATAAATTTAAACAAATTAAATTTTACCACTGAATTTTTAATATCTTCGTTTTACCACGTGTCATTTATATATGTACAATTATTTTATTAGGAATGTTCTAGTCTTTAACTTAAATAAACAATACAAATTAAAAAAAAATACATTATTTTATTTATAACTGAATATAGTAACATCATTTTATTTTCTGTGATATATTTTTATGTTCTTCGAACAAAATATTTTTTATGTTTGTTGGAAACAAATTAAAACTAAATGTTATAATGTTTATTCACTGACATTTTTATAAATCATGTTATTGATTTTTTAAATTTCATTTTTTTGGTAATTATGTATATAATAAATGTTTAATTTAATTTCTTGATCATTCATTTATTATAAAAGATATAATATACTTAATTTATAGTAAATGATGTGTGTTTATGAATTTTTAATGAAATATAATATAAATTAATTTGTAATTTTAAATAGATATAACAAAAATAAAATATGACAGATTTAAGTTTGTTGATATCTTTTGTGATGCTCATATACTCTAAAACTGATGGAAATAAAAATTGTTTGACACTACCAATGGGTAATAAATAAAATTATTATTTAAATTTTTATTATTAAAATATTAATATTATCAAAAGTGGCGCAACCAGTAGTAGGATTAGAGGTCGTAACCCATTTTTACAAAACAGAAAAAATTCTTAAAATATGTCGTTTTGCTTATCAAGGTAATTTTAACTACTTTTCTTCGAAATAAAATTTATAAAACCTTCCGAAAAAATTGGGATCGTGTCATTGCGCATAACAGTTATAACTATACCTTATTTAACTAACTCGATAAGAACTGTTTCGAAATTAGAGAAGACTCCAATAAAATTTAAACTAAGTCGATTATTATACAGGGTGATTTTTTTATCATAACCCACTCAATTACTTGCAGAATAATAATAATTTAAACATTTTTTTTTTTCATTATCTTTAGTTACACATTATTCTTGAATTTTTAACTATGTAATACTTTTTAAGTTCATCCCTTATGCCTTGTAAGGGGGTCAACTTTGTTTTTTTAAATGGTAACACATATTTTTAATTTATTAAAATGTTTGAGTTTTTAATTTAATAGTAAATGGCATTTGAATTTTTAATATAACTTAATTCGTTTATTAGATATAATCATTTAAAGTTTCAAATTTTTGAATTAATATACAGGTATAATACACAAGGGATTACAAATACAGGTAGCTAATTGGTTTTTTATAACATCGATATTAGCAGGTACACAGCATTGTTATTATCAATTGTAGTAAGGCACATTGTTATGAGTTTATAAATACACTAACTGACAATACAGAAAGTATATCTATTGATAATCATAATTGATAATAAACAATCCGTGACTGAGACAGCAATGTCATAAAAATCCAATTAGCTACCTGTATTTACAATCCCATGTGTATTATACATGTATATTAACTCAAAATTTTGAAACTTTAAATGTTTATATCTAATAAGCTAATAAAGTTATATTAAAAATTCAAATGCCATTTACTATTAAATTAAAAACTCAAACATTTTATTAAATTAAAAATATGTGTTACCATTTAAAAAAACAAAGTTGACCCCCCTCCAAGGCATAAGGGATGAACTTAAAAAGTATTACATAGTTAAAAATTCAAGAATAATGTGTAACTAAAGATAATAAAACAAAAAAAGGTTTAAATTATTATTATTCTGCGAGTAATTGAGTGGGTTATGATAAAAAAATCACCCTGTATAGTTGTATAAAAAATAAATACATGTAATTGTTTTTTGATATACATAGGAAAAAGACTCTTATCGAAAATAGTATTTTGCTAGACAGAAATTCAATAAACGTTCTCACAATATTTCTCTATGACTTATTCGACTTGAAAATCAAAAATTGCAAAATTTCTGTAGAAATTCTTTATTTTTTTTAATTTTGCAATAACTTTTCTAGAAATTCCGGATCGTCCTGTTCTATTTTAACCTATATAAAATTGAAATTCTAATCATAGCTTAATATATATATAGCAGTGTAAGAACTAACTTATATACATTTCTAACTATTCAACTTCATATAGGAACCGTCATATTTGGCCGTCTGTTTCATATTCTAATTAGTATGAAAAGTACCATGTCGGTATTGAGACAAAATCGAAATGATAAAAACCGTTATGAAATCAAAACAAACCCAGCACAGGGGGTCGCGGCACAGTGATGACGTGGCATAGTTGGGTCAAGTATAATGATAGTACAATGATATCTGACAGTAATTAAAATCACTATCATAAACAACGCTTCGATGCAAATCTTTAGATTGTGTTTAATTTTAAAAATATGGTCAATTACTCCAAAAGCTACACGAATTCCTATTTCCTTATTAATATCCTGATTACAAGTCTTATGATTTATATGTGTAATATATGAATATATATACAGGGTGGCCCACCACTCACTGACAACTTAAATAACTTTTGATCCAGTTAATATTTTTAGCTGATTTTTTTTTTAAATAATAGTTATACGTTAGGTCTATAGCTATATCTCAATAATTAATTTTTTTACATTTTATTAAAAATATTAATTATTTTTAAATTTTAAATAAAATGTAAAAAAAAAATCTAAGATAGCTATTTTGTAGAGTAGAATTTAAGAAAAATTTTAGTAAAAAAATATCTTATTAATATTCAGTAGTAAATATTCTGTAGCGTTTTGAAGTTTGTGAAAATTTGAATTTTCATGTACTATTTTACGGTTATAAACATTGAAATACGTATTGAGAAAAGGACAGAAGAAAACGCTATCTTTTCATGATTACTGTGTATACATATGATGATAGTGTGTATACATTACAAACTTGGCATAAATACCATGATAAGAAATTAGATAAGGCAATTATTACTTATCACTCTCATTCAAAAGTATATTGAAAAGATAGCGTTTTCTTCTGTCCTTTTCTCAATACGTATTTCAATGTTTAATACCGTAAAATAGTACATGAAAATTCAAATTTTCACAAACTTCAAAACGCTACAGAATATTTACTACTGAATATTAATAAGATATTTTTTTACTAAAATTTTTCTTAAATTCTACTCTACAAAATAGCTATCTTAGATTTTTTTTTTACATTTTATTTAAAATTTAAAAATAATTAATATTTTTAATAAAATGTAAAAAATTAATTATTGAGATATAGCTATAGACCTAACGTATAACTATTATTTAAAAAAAAAATCAGCTAAAAATATTAACTGGATCAAAAGTTATTTAAGTTGTCAGTGAGTGGTGGGCCACCCTGTATAAATGTATAAAGGTAAATGGTGATATTTAAAAAAAAACATGTCGAATGAAAGAGGGATATAAATATTATTTCTCATAAAAAAATTGTATTGATCCATACACTTTTGAATAAGTTATAGCATAATAAAGTTAAAAATATAAAATCGAGAATTTTCACACAAAAAAAGCATTTGGTAGCCATTTTCACCGTGAAGACAAAATAAAGTCCGAAATTTTATATTCCATAATAAAGTACATTACATTAGCATTAATTTAAGATATATATATAAAAGTGTCAGTATTTCCAGAACACTTTCAAAAGTTAAGTTGAAAAAGTAAATTTTTTGTGAAAAAGTTGTCATTTTAAATCCCTCCCTGTGGGCAGGTAAATGGTCATATTTTTAAAAAATATATACCAAATGATAGGTAAAGACATCATGCATCTATAAAAAAAATTATATTGATTTAGTCATTTTTAAAAAAGTTATACAAGTTTTAAGTAAAAAAAAATTTTAAAAATTAGCGATTTTTAAATTTGTAATTTTTTTGGAGATTTCCCCCATTTACGGGGAACGAGGAAAATATTTGAGGGTAATGTCTTTGACTAGATACGATTTGTGATCTCTTGACGTATCGTTGAAAGTAATCGGTTTGGTGAAAGCTGAGAAAAAGTGGTAACAAACACAAAAAAAAAACATCATAGTAAAATTAATACCTTCTCAGCTTTGCATCGAAGCTAAAAATAAATGATTTTTGAATAAATTACAATTATATAAATTATTGTAAAATTTAACAAATTTTTTTTTTGAAGATTTTTTCCTAATAGTGATTTTAAATACTTTCTGATATTATTTTTATTTATTTTATATTTTTATCTATGCTTGTCCCAACTATGCCAAAAACCCACTATGACACAACTCCACTGTCCTGAGTTTTTTTATTTTTAAATAATGATAACCAAAAACTAATTAATATCATTACTTTTTATTACATTTTGTTCATTTTTGAGAAAAAACTTGTAATGATAAGGGTTGTATACTTAATAAATCACATTGAATACTAAAAATACTTAACGGAAATAAATATTTTTAACAGAATGTGCATATGAAATAGCTAAAACTAGTAAGACATAACATTTTACAAATTTTTATTTGTCTTAGTTTATATATTTTTTTCTTTAAAATTAAATAAATATTTAATGTTCTTACTAAAGTAATTTACTTTCAGATCTCGTGCTGAAAAATGTTGCAACTAGTAATCAAAGTAAGTAATTTTATATATTCTATTTTTAATTAAAATGTTTTTAATGTTATACTAGTTGATTGATTAAATAATGATATCGAAATTTTGTTAATAAATTGTCTCATTTAGGCTATTATGAATTTTTAGTGAACTGCTAACAATAAAAACGTTATAAAATGCAGTTTATAACATAATAATAATATTAATACCATATTATATATATATCGAGTAAGTCATAAAGATATGACAAATTAAATAACTATTCATACAATTATTACGTGTAGGATCAGAGGAACGTATCAACTAAAGAAAATTCATTTTTCAAATACTTTTATCCAATTATTTTTGTTAACTTTTGTTTTAGCTATGTAACTTTAGAGGTAATTTAACTAAACCTATAACTTCCTACTTTAAGAGTTCTAATGTTGTAATAGTCAATTCTACAAATGAAATAAGCAATTTAATAAAAAAAATAATTTTTTTTTAGTTAATACAGTTTCTCTGATCTTATATTGACGAACATATTGTTAAATTTTTTTTAAAGAACTAACTATTGTGTTCTTAGATTATGTTTAAAGTATTTTTTTTTATTATTTTTCGCTAATAAAAATTAAAAATTTTTTTTGAAATTTTTCATAATTTTAAAATAGCCCTTCTTACTTTCAAACATTTTAAAACAAGTACTCATGAAGTTATAATCTTTTAATACATAGAGCGTGGGTGTAACCTGTAGAGGTGTACATTTCATAATTTTAAGTATAATAAAAATTGAATTTTCATATTAGTACTAAATAATACAAAAATATGCTCTGTACGTGGTCTCATGAGGTAATAATTATCTTTAAAAAGATTTTAACGAAATGATAATTGGATCAAACGTTATTGGAAATTTCATATCTTCATGTCTCTCTCTTTATACAAAGTTCAGTGATTTTCTTTGTACTATAAAATTATCTAAAAGAGTATTAAAATATTTTTTAGAAGACCTAGAATTCATACTAACTTCAATATTATTGCAAACTAATGGTAAGTATCAAACATTTAGTATTAAAATACAATTTTTCTACAATAGGTTTGATTATTGATTTTTTATTTATTTGAAAATTAATAATATTTAATATAAATGTAACCATACATTTATTTAAGAACTTTTAAACAATAAAATCTTATACTAAAAAGTGGAGAGTTACTAGACCAAGTCATCATACAGAATCATAGGTTTAATCACTAATATATATAACTAATACATAACTCTTGGTTTAAGACTTTAGGTCTTTCCAGAGATTCTCCTTCAGAGGTCCCTCTTTATATACCTATTATTATGTTTCTCCATAGGCTTAAAAAAAAAAAGAAGTGAGACTTATTAGTCTGTAGGATTTGGCTTCATAGTAGTTAAGGTGTAAACACCACCCTGACCTTTTGCCAGCTGTCTGGTTGATAGTCGGAGGTTAGACATGTTCTAAATATATTGCAGAAATAAGGACGATTAGATCTAGCCCCTCTTGTAGAAGTGCAGGGAATATTTCATCATTTATTATAAAAATTTTAATTAAATTTATATATTGGTAAATTTAAAAAGAGCTCTTGGTATTTATTATATAGTTGCTTTAACAAATGTACACATTAAAAATATTGTATTAAATTAATTACATATTTTTTTATAAGGGGATGTATTGCTATCAATATTTCCATCAACTCATCATTTGGGTATGTAGTAATAATTAATACACTTTGGAAATTTGTCAAGAGTACTTAAAAGATTTGATTTAAATAAAACCATATTACAGAATCATCATCAAAAGAACTAAGTAAGTACTTAACGGACTATTTTATGAGCTGAGTTACCGGTTTGTTGAAATTTAGTTATTAATAGAATTATATATAGTCGGTAAACAGTAAACTTTTTATGTTATGAGCGTTGTGTGTATTTTATATATTTTTTTCTTTTTGGCTAGTGACGGCACATTATGATTATTTAAATTATTTCATAGGCATTCGTTTCAGACTGATGTTTTTGTTAGTTAATCTACATATATATAATATTTATTATCTACTTATATATTATTAAACAAATAGATTTTGAATTTTTTTAAGTATTTTGTGGAATACATAAAATTACTGGGTTGTTTTTTTAACATCATGCCTCAATTGTCAAAAATTGTTCCAATAATTATTGTACTTCATTATCCTTATTAGAAAGAACTTTCTTTGTTTTTTTATAGGAATAGAAATCTAATGATTTTATTACATTTTGGAAGAACAGTTTAATTATAGTTTAAATAATTAGACTAGAATAACAAACAATTTAATTTATAATTTTTAAGTTGGATAAATAATATGTTTGTTGATTTCAATTACTTGAGTTGGATAAACTCATGAACATTGTTTCGTTAAACCGAAATTCAATTATATGATAACAATTTTTTATTTATCATGTTTATATCAAATATTTTCTGTCGATAATATTATATTTATTTTGGAAACACCAAAATATAAATAAAAATACATTATAATACTTTCATTTCTCATTTTATCAGAAAAAAATCGTTTATTACAGGAAATTATTTGATAAACATCAAGGAAAAAGAACAAGCTCTTCGAAAATCAATTAAAAATAATACAAGTAAAATAATATTATTATTGATAAAATTAAAAAGTGAAGTATCACTGTATCTTATTGCTTAATTTATAGTACATAGGCACAAAGCAGTGGGGACGTAGGAGTCTAGTGTTCAAATATTAAAAAAATTAACGATTTTTTCATAAATTTATAACCATATTTATAGCAAATAAATTTTATAGATTTAAAAAATTTTATTAATTATATTTATTTGTAAGATTTTACGTGATAAGTATATATGAAACTTGCGCTTTTTTTTATTTATTGTACTTGCATTGAAATATTTTTTCATTGAAAAAAACAATAACTTTTGTATTTTTTCGCACATATATTTGATTAAATTTTACAACCTTTATAATAATAATAATTCTTAATAATTGCATGCTTAGTTAAATTTTAATCTTAGTAATTAAATATAATTTAAACATATTTATTTTAAGGTATACTAACACCAAAATGGGGTGATGTTAAAAAAGGTAAGTTCTTATAAAAAATTATCTATACATGAGAGTTGCCTCTGAAAATACTATAAAATGTATTCTTATTATTTATCTTATAATATTCTTATAATATAATATTCTTATCATATACTTATATAATCAAATTGGAAACTAAATTAATCCAACTGTAGTATAGTTAAAAAGAATATTCAGTAAGTAAGGAAACATGTTTTTATTGTTCTCATTGTTTATAACGATTTACCTGTTACGTATTGAACACACTGTATATTTATTAATACATTATACTTATATATTTTATTATATATTTGTGTTTGGTACGATTTAAAGTTATATTATGACCTTTTTTCATTTCTAAATTATTAATACAGAAATACCTAAATTTAAAATTCTCTCTATTATATTTGAAAAGTTTTCAAAAAACATTATTTGTAATATAAACCATATAGCTTAAAAAGGAATTATTATTTATTTTTGTCAAGAAATAATTCCTTTTATTCCTTTTAAATATTATAAATTCAATAAAAATATCTGTCAATTATTTTTATTATAATTTTATAGAAATACCTAGATTGCTAAATTATGACAAGCAAGTAATACTGCGAAAACAAATAATTCAAGATTTTGTTCAATGGAAATTTGAGAACTCCCCAAGTAAATTACAATTAAAAACCTAGCACAGTTGGATCATGACATAGTCAAATGATACCATCAGTGATTAATATTGCTATCATAAGGAATTATACTCAAATCTATTAAATTTCACAATAATTCATATATTTGTGTTTTAAATATTGTAGTAAACTAAAAGAACATTAATTTAATATAGTTTAAAAGAGGGCAGACGTTCTGGAAAATTTTCAAAATTTATTTATAACATTTTTTTACGTGAGAAAGTGGTTTCTTTTAAACATTCTGTACTTAGTCTTTTTATGGAATTTTCATACTGAGATTACTAAAAAAAAGTTTATTGTCTCTGATCTATTTTGTGTAAATTCTCATTAGGATCAATATTTAATAAAAAAAGTTATAGCAAATGTGTTTATAAATTCCATTTAATATGGTAGCGTAATTTTAAAATATATTTTTAAGTATCTAAGATTAAGAGGTTTTTTAAATTTTTGACGCTGAAATGTTCAACTGGATTTAAATCGACTTCTTTTGATATATAACCCATAAAAACAGTCCATTAAGAGCTGAACATATCATGGACAGACATAAAAAATGCACATTTTTGTAAAACTAATACCTTCTCGGCTTCCCTTTGAAGTTAAAAAAAAATCTATAATTTTGTTAAAAATAATATGTACTCCTCTATAGATTTAATAATTAAATTTGTGTTTTAAGATGTATATTTCTATTAAAATGTTTACTATATTTTCATCAAATTTTTTTGCTTAATCGTTGTTTTACATAATTCCCAAAAAATTAATTTTTTCATGTTCAGTAGATATAATAGATGGCAAAAACTTTAATTTTTGTTGCATGCTTATTACAGTATATATATGAATATTTTATTACTATATACATTTTATAAAGTGCTATAAAGTGTTTTTTTACTCTAAAGTTAATTTTCAAATTTATTTACTAGTAACATTAATAACTACGTGATATTTTAGATGACATCCAAATGTGTTCAAGCGACAGTTCTATTCCACAGAAGATAAGAAAATTTAAATGCAACTTGATTACATTAGATATAATGTCAAAGGTTAATGATGCAAACGAATATTTTCCCATATGCAAAAAGGAAAAATGTCAAATTACTACTAAAGGTGAAAACCCCAAAGCTTTTATTTTCGTAGATGTCAAAACAAAACAAAAAAATGTGTGGGTAACTAGACTATTGTGGAATAATAAGTATCATCCATACAAATATTGGCTTGAAATAGTTTAGTAATAAGTTTACATTTAATTTTTTTATGACTCATGAGATTCTATTATAAAATATTTGTCTTAAATATATTTAAATGACTTAATTAACCATTCGATTTTAATTTTCTTTTTAAACATAGTGAGGTATAAAAAGTAAAAAAAAAATAATGCATTTTGTCATAAATGAAATAAATGGTTTAAAAACTCATATAATTTATCTTTTAACTAATGATGTATACTCTAAAAGTCATCATATAATTCGCNTCGCTGTCTCTAAAATTGCTTCTGTTAAAAATTCAGTTAGTTGTTCTATGTTTTTATTTTCATAGTTTGAAGTGTATTTTATTTTGTTTTCTAGTTTTGAAGAAAATAAGTCCCATTTGGGGGATTTTAGGTTCCACTTGGTTGCGTTTAATTGATGAAAGTTATTTTGTCTTGGTATATACTGGATTATTATAGGTAGATGGTCACTGGTGTAAATGTCATTTGAAGTTGACCATTCTAGTCTTTGAGCTAGTGCTGGGTTTGCCATCGCTAAGTCTATAGATGAAAGTTTTCCGTCGTTTGGGCTAATTCTTGTGGGTTCACCATTATTGAGCTATTCATTTTTTTTTGTTTTACTATATAATAATATGCTTATATTATATTTAATAGTATATTTATGTGTCAGCGTAAATTTAATTACAATTATTTGTACTATGATATAAAATAATTAAATAGTAATTTTAAGGTTTACATAAAAATATTTTAACTAAATATAATATAAAAATGTAATGTAACATAAAATAATATAATTTACCGTTAATAATAATTATTTTGATTGTACTGTTATGACAAAAATATAAGATATTTAAAAAAACATTTTAGTTTCTATATGTAGAGGAGAGCTATTGGTTTTAATTAGCTTTTTTTTTTTGTGTGTATTATTGGACATGATTACTCCACTCTTAAATGACCAATTTGAATTAACAATAAAATGTCACCAAACATATATAGTTAAGGTTATTAGTGCCATACTTTTGAAAAATTACAGTTGTAAAACGGTCAATGTTAATATTTTTAGTTTTCACTTTATATTGAAATCACTTTTTTTAAAAATAGACGGGTTATTGCAAAATATCTATTGACAATAACCTTACCTTATCAACTGTATGATTTTTTGAAAATTTTATCATTAACTTTTTAATTTTTAATAATTTTATAAAAAAAACCCGTCTTCTTTAAATCTACATAAAATTTGAGCTAATACAATGGAATTTAATGTGATAAAAGAAGAATTATACGAAAACACGACTTCTAGATCAATACAATTTTCTTTAAAAATGGCCGATTTTGAAATGTTTTGGGAAAATATTGGAATATCTATTTACATTATTCAAAACTAAAAAAAACAAAACTTATTTAATGTACTATATGCTTATAAGAAAAAGACTTTCCGCCAATTCGTCATCTATAAATAATTGAACTCTAAAAACGAAAAATTATGTAATTTTCGGTGAATATGTTAAATTTTTTTTATATACGCATTGAAGTGTTTTACAACAGTGATTTTATTCACTCTCAGATTTTAATCTACACTGATTTAAAAAATGCTTCAACTTTTTATGTGAAATTGCTCAATTTTTAATAAATATTAATTATCTTCAAAATTAAAGATGATAGAAACAAATCTAATTGCACATTTAAAATTAGCGCAGAAAATTTGTTTAAAAAAGTATAATTTCGTATCTAATGATTAAAAAAGTTTCGTTTTGTAGACAAGTGTAATGAATATTAAACAATCTATTACATATAAAAGCTGAAAGGTATTAATTTTACTATGATGTTTTTTTTTTGTGTCTGTTACCACTTTTTCTCAGCTCTCACCGAACGGATTTCTTTCAACGATACGTCAAAAGATCACAAAGCGTATCTAGTCGAAGACATTACCCTTAAAAATTGAAAAAAATTCCCTCGTTCCCCGTAAATGGGGGAAACCTCCAATAAATTTAAAAATCATTAATTTTCGAAATTTTTTCAATTTTTTTACTAAAAACTACCATAACTTTTTCAAAAATGAACAAATCAATATAATGTGTTTTTCATAGATGCTTGATTTCTTTAACTATCATTTGGTATATATTTTTTTATAAATCTGACCCTTACCTGGCCACAGGAGGGGATTTAAAATGACAACTTTTTACAAAAAATTTACTTTTTCAACTTAACTTTTGAAAGTGTTCTGGAAATACTGACACTTTTATATATATCTTAAATTAAAGTTTATGTAATATACTTTAATATTAAAATAAAAAATTTGGACTTTATTTTATCTTCACGGTGAAAATAGTTACTGTATTCAAAAATATGCTATTTTTGTGTTAAAATTCTTGGTTTTGTATTTTATTTTATTATAAGGGGATTACACTGATTTTCATAGATATTATATCAATCTAATTGACATAGTATAAAAAGTTAAACATATTTAAGTTTTTTTGTTTGCTTTGAAGTCGAGAAAAATAACTTTAAAATTTGAACTAGCTAAATTTCCATTTTCATTAAGTGACGAATGCGATGTACGGTTTCTGAGACGGTAACACTTGGGTCTTTCACGCCTGTGGCACTGAATTATTTCTTAATTCTTTTTGAGTTAGAAAAAAATGTTTAACTCATTTGATTTTTATCTCATTTAGATTCAATAACTTCAATAAATATCAAGCATCCCATTACTGTAGTCTCCTCTCGTCAGAAGAAATTCATATTAATATTATTTTACTATGTGGTTTTTTTTTTTTTGTAGCCATCATTTATTTTCTCAGCTCTCGCTTGACCTACTTTTTTGACAGATTTTTTTTTTTAATTAAACAGTATCTACAGATTTGCATCGAAGCGTTTTTTATGATAGTGATTTTAATCACTGTCAGATATCATCTATACTGGACCCAACTATGCCACGACCATACTGTGCTGGGTTATTTTTTCTTAAAACTGTCATAACTTTTTCAAAAATGACCAAATTAATATAATTTCTTTTATAGATACTTGATGTCTTTCCCTATCGTTTGATATATTTTTTTTTATATATCTGACTCTTACCTGGCCACAGAGGGGGATTCAAAATGACAACTTTTTCACAAAAAATTAAATTTTGATAGTGTTCCGGAAAGTCTGACACTTTTATATATATCTTAAATTAAAGCTAATGTAATGTACTTTATTATGGAAAAAAAAAATTTCGGACTTTATTTTGTCTTCAAGGTAAAAATGGCTACCAAATGCTATTTTTGTGTGAAAATTCTCGATTTTATTTTTTACATTTGTAACTAAAGAAATAGCAAATTATGCAGCTTTTGGAATAATCCACCGATTCTTTAAAATTAAACACTATCTAAAGATTTGCATCGAAACGTTGTTTTTCACAATATTTTGATTGATATTTTTAGTTAAAATAAATTATTAAATTTAATTATATTTTGAATATTTCAATGTAGAATACTTTTAATCACCAAAAAAACTTAAAAATGAATACTATAATTTCTATTTAAGTGAACTAATACAATAAAAATGAAAAAAAAAATATTGAGCTTTTCTGAAAAATTTACAGTAAATATTTATAATACAATTTCCTGACTTAATATTAATCACGTCCCCACTCTGCTGGGTTTTTTATCTATAAGCAATACCTACTTCGTTATAAAATTATTATATATCAATTTAAAAACTATTTTCAAGTTACTTATTTTAACTAATTTTATTTTTTTCATAGTAATTTTATGAGTTTTATCTAATATTTCATTAAGACTTAATAAAATTAAATGAAATTTTTTTATAGATATGGAATATTAGTCTGTAAAATTATATGAGGGCATAGTTGGTTGCAACCTCTATGTACGTCAATAAATTAGACTGCTGCCCATAGGCAAGAATTAGAATAGTATTATCCATAGGATATGAGTAATGCACTCTCATAGTTTTACTCATTATGCGTTTATTATTAATTATGCACTATACACGTAGTCTGGATAAAGGGAAAAATTAACAGTAAGATATTCGAATAGTCCCACGCTTTAAGGAAAACTCAGACAAGCCTTACAATCAATGCGAGTGGCACATAAATAGAAAAATAACATAAAACCCAGGTTATAATTGATAATGCAAAAGTTTCAGGAAGTAACTTGAAAACGTACTAAGGTTACTTTAAAAAGAAAGAGTGTAGAAAAAAGTGGAGATACAGCAATTCAACGCCTACATTCCACCGCCTTGCAATACATTTTATAATAAACACACATTGGCCACTCATGAATGATCAGAGATGAAAAACTCAATCTCATTCGTTTGTGTGACGCCGATTGTGTCATTCGAACAACTGTCGGTCAATATACTTTTTATGCCTAGTTGCTCATTCATCTAATTAGTTTTTAAGTATATTTATTTTTAATTAAGTTATTTCTGCTCATTGCGAATGGTGCCGTTATTATGACAGATTGTTTCGGATTGTGCGCACTGTTCGATCGCTACAGACCAAAGACACCGCGTTCGGAAAATATTGGATTTATGGGAAGAGGTATATCCAAACCGTACGAGGACGACGATAACAGTTCCTTGGGAAACGAAATAAGTAAGTATTAAATTATCAAACAGAATATAATAGAGAAAAATGATTAAAAATTGTTTTCATCTCAAATCTCTTTAAATATTCAATATACAACACTGTGAACCTGAAGTACAATAATAGTTTGCGTGATGATATGTATCTTATATTTTAACAGTATCTATACAGTACACTAATTATAGACTATTAGGTCATTTTTAGAGATTCATAAGATAAATATGGGTTGATTGACAACCGGTTTTTACCGCAAATACCTATATAAGTCGTTAATTATAAATATAAAAAGAGCTGTCTGCCTTGCCTATGTAGATACATATAATTGCGTTAAGATGGAAAGAGTTTAAAACTACCTTTTTTGGATATGATTGAAAAGTTAATATTTTTATTTTTCATTATTAAAATAGCGGATTTATTTAGTAATTATCTTGAAATTGAATAGTGTATACAATATATGCGTTGAAAATTCAACAATTGTTTTATACATTGAAACTTTGATACGCTTGGTGTTTACATTAAATGCAATTTTTGGGATAATACAAATTTTGATTCAATCTAAAAATGTATATACTCAGGATTGTTTGTAAAATAAAAACTTAAAATAATTATTAGTTGTAATGCTTTTTAAGGAATTCAAATGATTATAATACTCTGAAACAATTATAATTCCTTTATTACCAACCTTAATAAGAGTTGATTACGGTATTTTTGGTTAAATGTTTCTACAGCAAAAATGATCTTACTACTATAAATTCAACTTAAAAAAAAAGACAATCATTTAATTCATTTGAAATTTCAAACCATTTAAATTTTATTTCACTTTAATTTATTTAAATATAAGTAGTAAGAAGTTTTAGATGCCATTTTTTATTTACTAACTTTAGTGAATTTAGTGAAACATGTTAATATTGAAATAAATAATTTAATCTATAGTTTTATTTATTGATTAGTTGAAGAATATATTTTTTTTATTTTAATATACATATCTTACTATTTAAATTGATGGAATGAAAAACTATCAATCAAATTTGCAATATCGCGTAATACATTTAATATGTCATCAGCTTTGACGTATTTAACACTTAATTATGTATTTGTACTTGATGTTATTATAATTTCAATTCAGACATTAACTTAATTTACTAATAAAATAAGGTGTGTGTGTCACAGTAGTCGTCAACTGTATAGAATTTATGAACGAGTTTTGTTTTTCTCGATTTGTCGATCTTTGGTCAACAACTGTATGTAACGTATTTGGAACAATTGTAAGACCTGATTGACAATCTGTCGAGTTTTATTCTAAGTGTTATTATTGAATAAAAATATATTATCTTTAACTTGGTGTATCATACAAAAAATGTTCAAGGATTCTTTGCCATTTTGGGTAAATAATACTTGTTTAAAAACTATTGATAGTATTAGTTTATTTTTTTTCAATCGATGAACTCTTTTTATATTTAAAAAAACACATTTTATTTTACTTGAAAGTTTTAAGTTGACGCTGAATTAAATTGTAAGAAACTTATATTGTGCATAAAATAAATAAGCACGTTAATATTAATTATATTTGATTTATAACTACCTCTGTACAACTCTCATCTAATTTGTCTAGTTACCTTACGCGATGACAGATCAAATGTTTGGAATGCATTCAAAAACCATTCTATTCATAAGAATTTTTGACATCTTATAAGTATTATTATAACTAGTCTTTTACATGCTGTTAATCCAGCAACGGTGTATTTTTTTTAATTAAGTAAAGTTGGTTGTAACTTGTGATTAAATCCTGAAAGTTTTTTACGGTGTCTGTTATAAGTTATGTTGTAAAAAAGTATATATATTTATTATTTCATGTAACTGGAAAGAAATACAATATTTCCACTTGGTCANAAAGTTTTTTACGGTGTCTGTTATAAGTTATGTTGTAAAAAAGTATATATATTTATTATTTCATGTAACTGGAAAGAAATACAATATTTCCACTTTAATGAATATTAAAAATAATTGAGTCATCACTTTTCACTGTCTTAGTTTTAGTTATTTTGAGTGCAAAAACACAACTTTGAAAATTTAAGATGATGGGAACTGTACGTTTTTCTTGGCCCACGTTGGTAGGTTTATTTTTGGAACATAATACACCCAATAAATTATGGTAACTAGATTCATAGTTAAAAACTATAATTTCTAATCTTATAAATTATTCTTGCGATTACTTTCAAAGCAATTACTTATGATAATGCGTTAAAATGTGATTAAATAGTTTTAAAAAAAATTGTTATAGTGACATATTATTATTAAGTAAAATTAAAATCATTTTTTTACAACTTAGCATAGCATTCATAAAAAATAATTTTAAAATCTTATTTATGTCTTATAAAATAAAATAATTTTCTTAGTAAATCATTAACTTTTAATGCATTTTTAATGCATACTAAAAATAAAAATTAAAAGTTAATCTCGCTGCTTAACAAGCAGCCTAAAGAAAATGTGTCTGGCAAAAATTGATACACAACTAAATAAAATATTGACAACATGATAACTTGATTAATTCTCACAAAAGTAGGCTTTTGATAAAACTTAAGCACATGAAATTATAACTCGAAAAATTTCAATTTTGAAACCAAAACCACATGCGATATCGATTTAAGCGTCATCAATTACTATAAGTACCTATTTCATTTTTTTTAGCACACAACTGCGTTTTTAAGTTGACGCCTACATCTATCAGCCTGCCCACCGTAGATATTATTACTATTATTATTAATTTACTATTATGTACACCGTCAGTTTAATTATAATTTATACTATTTTGTGAACGCGTTTGTGCAATACTATTATCAAGTTATGCAATTTCCAGTAAACTCGTCCTACGTCCACAATAGACTTATACACGAGGTCGGACAAGGTCGATTCTAATAAAAATACATACATCGGACGTATACTCCATTCATTGATTGCTCACGCATTACTTCTTCAGAATAAATTAAAGGTTTTTCCCATTCACAAAACGGAAATGCGTTGTTTTAATTTGCACAGAAATAGCAAACAATTAGTGTCTATTGATCAAACAAAAACACATTTTTATGCCATAACAGCAAATTATTCAAAATTTAATGAAACTATTAAACATGTTTTATTCTTGTTGTTCGACCTTTTATTAACAAAAAAAAATGTTTTCAATCGCAAAATTTTAACCTCTCATTAATTTGACTTTTTTAAATAAGAAAATTGAACTTAAAAAATACATTTTTCTTTTATATAATTCTACTGATATTTGAATATCAACTATTTGGAGTGAATATTTCAATATTAGCCACTTTATTTCTCATAAAATAATAATTATATTAAGAGAATTATCTTTGGTATTTTTTAATTTGATATATTACTTGATTTAATATTAATTATTAAGTATCTTTTTAATTCATCCATAATACCTCATAAGGGATTAAACTTTGTTTTTTTAAACTAGCTTATAAAATAAGAAAATAACTGGTCGATAACAACTTTAAGACTTGTATTTCAGATGTTATTATCACTTTTAAATATAGAGTAGAGTAAGAGCGTGGCAGAGTAATGCGTAATGATTAAAATAACACGACCCACACATCACCTCCACTCTATATTTTTAAATAGGTATAACTTCGGAAATAATGGGTTAACATTTTTTATCGACCTGCCCTTTCCTAAAATAGATCATTTTTTTATTTTATAAGCTAGTTACATATGTATGTTGTCCTTGAAAAAAAATATAGTTGACTTCATTATAAGGTACAAGGGATGAATTAAAAAAATACTTAAATAATTGGTAAATCAAGTAATATATGAAAATAAAAATATCAAAAATAATTTTGTTAACATCATTATTATTTAAAAAAGATTTTGTTACTGATATTAATAGTTTATAACTAGTATATGGACATAGATAGAGGATACATAAATTTTTACACTATATGGTGTATATTCTCTGTACATTCCTATAATAAGAGTGTATATAGAGCAAAAAAAAAAATTGAATTGAAGTTATTAATAACTTTTAACATTGTTTTATAAATGTGAACTATTTTTGACCATTATTGTGAAAATTATTGATTTAAAAACAAATATTTTTTGCAGTGCCAGCATCTAGTAGACGAAGTTCCACTGGACCACTAGTGGTCGACTGGATTGATTACTGTTTAGAAGAAAATGGAACTAAGCACAAGACAAGCAAATATGCATGTATGCGAAATGAAAAATTTGGCTTAGTGGTACGAAGAGGCCAATCATTCAGTTTAATAGTAAAGTTTAATAGAGTGTATCACATAATTAACGACAGTATTTCATTCGTGTTCACTTGCGAAGGTTAGACAATAATAATTTTTAATTCAATAGACTCTATTTAATTTCTTTTCATCCATTTTTCCTGTGTCACTTCGAATGTCCTGTAATATTTTCAAATACATTAACTATATATTTAAATCAAATATTTTTATTGTATGTGTAGTTCAAAACTTAATAATAAGAACGAATTATTCATTTGTTGTTCAAGTTTGTCAAATGTTGTACACTGACGTTAGCGTGGAAACTTTATACTGTTTTCGTGTTAATGAAAAAAGATAATATAAGACCGTTTAAAACGGACCATTTATAGCATTTATATATATAGATGGATTTATGTGAAATCATTATAAAACACGGGTATTACCTTAAAAATATTGTTACTGTTATATTACAGTCAACTTTTGCATTTCACAATAGTCATATTTATACCTTATAATAATACAGGAAATGCATTCGAAACTTACAGTGGGCGATCCTTCTTCGTTAGCTGGTGTATAACCCACGTGATACATTTATGTAATAACAGCTGTGCAATACTATTAGGTCAAAAGCGTAGGATGTTTAAAATAAATCTCTCTTCGCTTATCATCTTGTCAAGTTAATGTTTTGTTTAAATTGGATAAAAAACAAACATGTCAAAACTAAGCACTCGCTAGTATTTTGAACTATCATTTTCAAGTAGGTAACTCAACCGTTAAAAAATTTATATATATATATAATTTAAATGTTTTTACATAAGCTCGCAATAAAAATATTTGTGTTACTCAGATATCAATTTCGAATTTAAGCGAAAAATGGTAAAACTAATAAGTCAACAATTAATTTTTGTCAAATTAGTCGTTTTTCAATTATTTAAAACAGAACAAGACCAACCAAAATGTTTTGTTCCGTGTTCAAATTAAACATCCTTGTAGTAAATAAATAACAAAAACTTAAATATTTTTGATGTCACTGTCTTTTATATAAATTTCTTTTCGCTGTGTAATGATTAAGAAATATAAAAACGACCTCGACGTTTTTTTGTGCTGAAAACTGTTTTAAAATTAAAATTATTCGTTAATAATTTAATTCATTGCAAATCTTCAGTCAAAACTCATTTTACAAACATTAATAATTTTTAATTAACGGTTATTTATTTATTTATTATATTAGTTTACGGGATTTTTTACAAGCATCTATGTTTACATAGAATGTTTGTAAAATTTGACTAAATTAAGAGGAAGACACAAAAAAAAAAAATACATAAAAAAAAAGACAATATCTAAAATGTTTACAACTAATAAATCAAACATATGAATAAGACATTACTAAACTCAATACAAATATTATTATAATATAAAATTATGATCTGCATTAGCACTTCTAAGAAACCAGCGGAGGGGTTCGTTCATTAGGTAATTCGTGGGGCATGTGTGACTCGGAAAGGCGCATTCGACCTGGTATTAATCTGCGGAACTCTAAAAGGGATCAGAGACAATAGCGCAGGACATTCTATCTTCCCATCAAGCAAACCCCCAAGAAACTGGGCATTCTGTTTCACTAATCAAATTAGTTTTAATATAATTGTTATACTAATACTTTACATCAAGTGGGTGAAGAAGTAAGGCGGGGAAAGCCTAATAATATAAATAATCAGATCCGCGTCTAGCGCGGTCGCTAAAATATGCGAAGCTTCCTGCAAATTATAGACACGAGGTCCAAACCAAACCATCAGAATAACATTTGATAACTAATAATTTTCGCTAGCTATTCTCACCTAGCAGTGTTTCGTACAGTTGTATGCTCTAGACGCCGCACAGTGGGACCAAACGCTGATTTAGGCGGCCAAAAGTATCATTTTTAAATCAACTAATAAAAAAATTTTTTTTAGCAAATATTTTTTATTATATCCTTATAAGGTCATGTACAAAAATTCAAGGCCAAAAATTGATACAGTAATGGTTGAGTGCTACTTAACTATCATCATATTGTATTTTTTTGTTTTTTTTTTCTAGGATTTTTATTATTTCTTCAATCATTTTTTCCTGCATAAATTAAAAACCTAATTTTTTTTTTTTTTTTTAATGTTTAAAAAGTCATTGGCTTTCAAATTTACTAAGAAAAAATTTTTATTTCTTTTTTCTTTAATTTTAATAATTTTTTACACACAAAAAAATGCAAATACTTATTTTACATTGTTTTTTAAAGGGTTTAACTCAAAATTACGCAATATTACGATTACACTAATACATGGATGTTGTAGAAGAACTCTTAAGCTACAATTAAAAAAAAAAAATTTTGCGTCAGATTGCATTTGAGCCTTACACATAAAATTTCCCTATAATAAACGTGTATTTTTGTAAAAATTGTAATTTTATTGTAGCGGATAAAATTTCAGTTGATGTCATTTTAGTTGTTAAAGTAAGAGCAGAGTTTATTTTACGTCTCTTTGAACGTTCTGAAAATTCAGTAAAATTAACTTTAGGTCTGCCATCGATAGGTTTGGAACAAATTTTCCTATTTGATGGCATTTCACATGGCGTTTTAAGCCATTCGGCATTCGCTCTTAAAAAAATTGCATTGTGACGCTGTACAATAGACCATTTCCTAGAAACCGCCATACAAAATGTTAAAACTTTATTTTAAACTAGTTTTGTAAAGGTAGTGCTCCAGTTAATTCCATAATATTTTAATTTAAAAAAATCAAAAATAATTACTCTTGAAGAAATATTACTGATATTCTGTAAGCTTATACCGTTACATTTAATAACATCAATCAAGTCTTAGTTTAATAACAAACATTTTGACATATGAGCAGAAGCTAAAAGGCACGTTATTAAAAATTAGATGTAATTAAAACTAATGATTCGTTAAAATTAAGTTTAAATAAAGTTTTTAATAATATACATAAAATAATATAAAATAAGTTATACAACTGTACCGTGCCACTAAATTTTGTTTTATTTTAGACATACTATTATATTATTGTTAATATAGTTTATTATTGTTAACACTTACCACATATTTGATTATCCATTACTTCAAAATAATAGAATAATTTTTACAACTTTTAAATTAAAACAAAACTGCAATTAATTCACTGTGAAACTTATAAAAAATATGTGCAAATTATTATGACGTGACGCGCCGTTTATAACATGTAACACAATCTGATTAAACAGAAAAATGTTTTGGTAATAATAGTAATATATTATAGTGCATCTTTTACAATTGAATATCAACTGTAATGAAAACTTATTGTTGTTTAAAAGCTGATAAAGTTGATCGAACTGATAAAACCAATGAAATGATTAAAATTACAATTTTTACGAAAATACACGTTTATTATAGGGAAATTCTATGTGCAAGGCTCAAATGCAATCTGACGCAAAATTTTTTTTTTTTAATTGTAGCTTAAGAGTTCTTCTACAACATCCATGTATTAGTGTAATCGTAATATTGCGTAATTTTGAGTTAAACTCTTTAAAAAACAATGTAAAATAAGTATTTGCATTTTTTTGTGTGTAAAAAATTATTAAAATTAAAGAAAAAAGAAATAAAAATTTTTTCTTAGTAAATTTGAAAGCCAATGACTTTTTAAACATTAAAAAAAAAAAAAAAAATTAAGGTTTTTAATTAAGCAGGAAAAAATGATTGAAGAAATAATAAAAAGGCTAGAAAATAAAAAACAAAAAAATACAGTGTTATGATATTTAAGTAGCACTCAACCATTAATTTATCATTTTATGGCCTTGAATTTTTGTACATGACCTTATAAGGATATAATAAAAAACCCAGCACAGTGGGGTGGCGGCACAGTGGGGTCGTGGCATAGTTGTGTCCAGTATAAATGATATCTGACAGTGATTAAAATCACTATCATAAAAAACGCTTCGAGGCAAATCTGTAGATAGTGTTTAATTTAAAAAAAAAAATTTTGTTAAAATAGCATATTTTTGAATACGGTAGCCATTTGCGCATAGAAGAAAGGACAAATTTTTTTTTTTATTTTATAGTACATAAAATAAGCTTTGATTTGATATATGTTTAAAGGACGCAGTATTTCCGGAACATTTTCAAAAGTTCAATTGAAAAAGATCTATGTTTTTTACAATATTTCAAGTTTTGAACGCCCCCTATATAGGGGGCAATTGTCCAATTTTAATAAAAAATATGTCAAATGAAAGATGTACTTATAATGTATTTAGAAAAAAAAAATTTTGGCTGATATATACATTTTTCAAAAAGTTATAGCATTTTTAAGTTGAAAATTTAAAATCGAAAATCGAAAATTTTAACACAAAAATAGTGTTTTTTTAACTACGGCAGCCGTTTAAATGTAGAAAAAAAAGTGTCGGGACAAATTTTTTTTTTTCATTTTGTAGTACATAAAATAAGCTTTAATTTGATATATGTTTAAAGGACGCAGTATTTCCGGAACATTTTCAAAAATTAAGTTGAAAAAGTTATTTTTTGTAAAAAAGTTACTATTTTAAATCCTCCCAGTGAGCAGAATAAGTGTTAGATTTTCAAAAAAAATTATATCAAATGAAAGGGAAATATCTAAGGTTTCAATACAAAAAAATATTATTTTTATTTGTTCATTTTTGAAAAAGTTATGGCAGTTTTAAGTACAAAAAACATCCCGATAAAATGTAATTTTTATCGCAAACATTACATTTTTTTTTAAATTTTCGACAGCCATTTGCACATAGAAGATAAGATGTCGGGACAAATTTTTTTTTTTCATTTGATAGTATATAACATAACCTTTGATTTGATATATGTTTAAAGGACGCAGTATTTCCGGAACATTTTCAAAAGTTCAGTTGAAAAAGATCTATGTTTTTTACAATATTTTAAGTTTTGAACGCCCCCTATATAAGGGGAAATTGTCCAATTTTAATAAAAAGTATGTCAAATGAAAGATGTACTTATAATGTATTTAGAAAAAAAAAATTTGTGCTGATATATACATTTTTCAAAAAGTTATAGCATTTTTAAGTTGAAAATTTAAAATCCAAAATCGAAAATTTTAACAAAAAATAGTGTTTTTTTAACTATGGCAGTCGTTTAAATGTAGAAGATAAAGTGTCGGGACAAATTTTTTTTTTCATTTTATAGCATATAAAATAAGCTTTAATTTGATATATGTTTAAAGGACGTAGTATTTCCGGAACATTTTCAAAAATTAAATTGAAAAAGTTATTTTTTGTTAAAAGTTACTATTTTAAATCCCCCCAGTGAGCAGAATAAGTGATAGATTTTCAAAAAAATGATATCAAATGAAAGCGAAATATCTGAGGTCTTAGTATAAAAAATAATTATGTTGATTTTTGAAAAAGTTATGGAAGTTTTAAGAAAAAAAAGTGAAAAAAAATGACAAAATATACCGATTTTTAAATTTGTAATTTTTTTGGATATTTCCCCCATTTTCGGGAAACGAGGGAATTTTTTTCAATTTTTAAGGGTAATGTCTCCAACTAGATACGATTTGTGATCTTTTGACATATTTTTGAAAGAAATTGGTCCAGTGAGAGCTGAGAAAAAGTGGCAACAGACATAAAAAAAACACATCATAGTAAAATTAATACCTTCTCAGCTTCGCATCAAAGCTAAAAAATTTGCTAAAAAAAAAAATTTTTATTAGTTGATTTAAAAATGGTACTTTTGACCGGCTAAATCAGCGTTTGGTCCCACTTTGCGCCGCACCCGTTGTTACCTGGAAAATCTATACGGATGATTTCCATATCATATCCCACCGAACAAATACGTCAGGCTGTCTTAAACACCCGCCGACAGAACGCTACAATTTCGTCCCGCGCACCACCGTCTTCGCAGTTATGGTTTACAAAATAATCATCTCCGTCTCCTAAACTCCTGGTACTATTTTTCAATAGTTTGAACGAATTTGTATACGATAATGTCACAGCGTCGAAATTAACGAAAGTCGTTACGAAAATAGCGCACTCTTCCTGAAACCCTAGTACCACTTTTCTAATTATTTTTTTTTCTGGTCACTACAGTGTCTCATGTACATTTACGAGAAACTATGGTAATTTAGTTGCCTACACTAAACGCCTTAAACCAAATATGCCTTTAGATGATAGTTGACCATTTTATTCTTAATTTATATCTAAAAATCAAACACATTCATTAAATACAAATGCATATTAATAATATTATACTTGAATTTTAAATAAAACATGGTGCTAAATTGGTATGTACGAAATGAATATTAAACGCACAGGATCGCAAAAAAATGTTTTTATTTTTGTGACTCTGTGAGTTTAATAAGACAAAACCAACGTTTTTTTGTTTAATATTTTTTTTATGCTCATAGATGTTATGTTATAAACAGGATTAAAATATATTTTATACATTTTATTATAAGCTAGATAAAAGACAATACTGACTCTAGAATCTACATATACATCTCTCATGGTTGTAAATGTTTCCGATCTATTGAGTTGATTACTTTTTTTCAAATTCATATTTTTAATAAATATATTTTTCGGAAATTTCGACGCTATAACGTATATTTATTTATTCATTCGATTATATATATATTACTAAATGTTTTGTTCGGTTTATACTTTGATTTATTATTTTTTTTGTTGAATTTTTAAAATTTAGACCTATAAGTTTACAAACAGTTAACTAAATAATTTATTTTGTTTGAGTAAACCGAGCTATATACATATATAAATATATCAGAGAGATAATATAAATGATGTAACAATACAGGTGATTCTTTTAACGCTAACCAAAAATTTAAGTAAGAGTTGTAGTAACCAATGGATTACTATAACTCTCATTTAAATTATTGCCTATTGTTAAAAGAAACATTTTGTAGTGTAATACTAATACATTTAAATACACGCTTTACATTTTACACTGTAAAGAGTAAATTATTATAATAATATATATTCCTACCTTAATTCTTGAAGTTTGCTACCAGTAATTTTCAAATTACTAAATTTTAACAAAAAATCAAGCTAATTATGATTACATCGATAATAATGACGGATATAAATAATTTTTTCTTTTAAAATTTACACCAAGTAATAGACACTATGAATTCTATACACCTTAAAAAAGAAAAATATTTTATATTGTGTTATTGAGAATATTGCATGAGGTATTGTTAATTACCACGTTATAATTTATAATTGTCATATAGTTTTTTCAGAATACTATTTGACCCGCATGTATTAGCGCTATCTCTCCGTAATAAATAAGTTAATAATTTAACTTAAAACATAAACTACAGCGTTATTTTATTAATATTTTCTAGATAGCGCCACTTAAATTTGAAATATAAAATTGGACTAGTACCCATTTTTTTTTATTTCCAAAATACTAAATGAAATCAGAGCCGTCTCAAAGAAAACAATATGAGAGTCAAGGGAAACAAATTATTTTGATTAAACAATTTTTTTAATTGTGTGACCTCCTATAAGTTATCCTTATTTTTTATTAATAACCCTACACGATGAATAACAAAAAATTGCTGACTAAAATGGTTAAATTTTGACTGTTGGTGAAAGAATGTGATAACTATTCTGTACGCTCTTCTAAGAACGCCCTATAATGATACCTATAATAATAGCTATTAATCCATTTTATTTAAAAGGTTATTTCATCTTATTTTCCTAATACTTATCGATGTTCCCTTCAAAAAATCATACAGTTATAGTTTTAACGTGTAAAAGTATATTTAATACACAGTTTTATTATAACTGTAGTTATGTATAAAACATTTATAGTATTCAACATATTTGACAAATACATTTGTCAAATTATTAAAAACAAGTCTTAGAATATTTTTAGCGTTATTTAAAACTTAGTCTATGTTTACAGTATATTAATCTTTTTGATTTATTAATATTTTTTAAGCTACGCGTTTTAAAATAGTTTTGAGGTGTCATTAAATAAATAACAAATTTTAGATGGTAAAATATTTAATTGATTTGTACATAATTATGGTATATTTTTATCTTGTAAAATTAATTTCCTTAAGTATATTTAAATTTTAAATGAATTGCTTCTTTATAATTCTATAAAAATAATTTTAATATAGAATTGATTTATAATAAGTACAATAAATTATAAAAATATTAATTATAACAAATGCTTTTTAATTTTTTCTAAATAGTTACATTAAGTGACTAACACATTATTCAATATCGATTTATTCATTATCATGTATATTAAGTAGGAATATATTTGTATTTTTTTTTTTAGATTTTGGGATTACTTAATACTTTTATCAAATTCATTAAGCATTTCATATTATTCAAACGAACTGTCCAATGAGATTGTTAAGGTTTCAAATATATTTGAGTTTACAAATGGGATAAAGGGATATTGCATTGATTATTATTACAAAAGGCTTATTACATTGACTATTTGTTCATAAAGGACTATTTTTGTCACACTTAGTCCTTCAAATCAAACTCCAGAAGCGACCCATTTTTCCATCAACAACTATTATACATAGTGTTGTACATTACAATAATACATTATAGTTTTGAACCCCTGCGGTGTACTCTTTAGTTTGACGATAACTTATTAGTTAACAAAAAGAAGATAACCCATAAACATAGTACCTTTTTATTCAATATCCTCATAATTTACTGTCCAAGTGCCTTATCAAGGACTCAATAACCTTATTTTTTTCTTTTTAATATTTAAACAACAATTGTGTAAATACTGTTATAACATTCCAAGTGTTAACTTTTTAAGTATCTCTGTATTTAAAAATTTTATGATATTATATCATTGGAAAAATTAATTTGAGTCAATAATACTTAACAAATCTAAAAAAAAATTAATTAAATATATTGAACGACCTTAATAAATGTATAAAAATAATGTTTCGTCATATCTTCTAAGTCACTATTAAAAATTATGCTAGATAATATATTAAAAAGCATTTGTTCAAAATGTTATTCATTTAAAAAAAATGTATATTCATGATCTAAGCAGTTCTATTATTTACACGTATATTTCAACATTACCTAATAAAATAAATATTTGAAAATACATTTTCATCGTTAGTTATTTTCGGATTTACTGATTTGGCTGATTTTCTCAAAGCTTCTAATAATACTTACTTTAGTTATTACAAATGTAATAAGTTAATATGATTAATAATATTTTTTACAAGAGATTATGAAACATCCAAAGGAAGTCAAAATATATATTAATCATACACCTTTACAACATTTTTTAAACTGTTTTATTTGTACTCTTGTTTTTATTAGCAGTGTCGTATTTAAGGAGGGTGTCAGGAGGAATTCATATCCTCAATTATGTATGGCACCTGTTCAAGGGGGTATGACACCTTTCTTGAACAGGTGCTACTCATAAATTTTTTAATCTTTGTTGTTTTTTAACGTATTATTCTTATTATTATACGGCAACTAAGATAAATTAATTAAATATTCCCTATGTAAAATTGCCAAATAAATTTGAAAATTTATTTGTAAGCCAATCTCTCACGAGTCTACCTTAATCAATAAAAGAGGCAAGAATATTTTTGAAATGTTCATTTAAAAATCATTTTAAAATACTCTTGGCATACAAACATCGATTCAGGTTCTGATTTACTAATTAGGGGACCTAGTACAATTTCAATTACTATTCCAAAAAAAATGTTAGCAACTGTCCAAATCTACGGTATCAATAAATATATAAATATATGAAAATATGTATGTATAAATGTATTAATATTTTTAAAATAGTTAAAAATCTTACTTTGTGGGAAGTGGGTGTTTTAGACAAACTGGCAGACTTATACTAATATTCATATATAAATATGATTATTATATAAAAATAACAAGGCAAAAAAAAACCTTAAACTGTATCTAAAATACCGATAACATTCATTTAAATAGTTGTATTATTAAAAATGTTTAACATAAAAATTATATAACGTTTATATATCAAATTATATGTAGCTAAAATATAAGATATTTTTGTAATATATTTAAATTTTAATAATACAGTTCATTAATCTAATATTTCCATAAATTAGAATACTATAATTTATTATTATTATTTACAGAATTTTATTAAACTGAGGGAGAAACATTTTGTTAGATAACGTGTAAAAAAAAGGTGATCAAGGCATATATTTTGTAACACCCCTTACAAAATCTTATACTGACCACTGTTAATTAGAATCTAACGATAATTTTTTTCCTTTACTAGACTTCGTTAAACGAAGTTTTATTTTGTTAACTAATATAGTAGTAAATAACTTAGAAAAAAAATCACGCGTTCCTATTATAAGTAGTTTATTTATTAAATAAACCATTTGTGCATTGTACAGTTGTCATATGTAATGAATAATTTTGATTGATACTGTAAAATATTAATGACTATTGTTTTCTACGGTTTTTTTTTTGTACTAGCAGCTGTAAATGACCATATAATGTATTAACATAATATTGTAGTTCTTACAAATGACTGTGCTACTGAATTGTATCTTTCCCTCTGACCATTAACAACTTCTTCGTTTCCTAAAACAGAATTCCCCAGTAGTTATTATAGAACGATTTGACGGGAATCATCTGCTCTTATTATTTAAAGAACTCAAGTTATATATGAAATGAACATTGTATTATAAGGCTTTTATTTTCTCGTTTAATAACTAAATGCAACGATCGCATAACCGAAAAGAATACGATTCTATATTCTACTTTTTGAATGCATTATCCTTGAAACTAATGACTTTTTCATGTACTTACTAATTAATGGATTTACTAGTCAACAGTAATTATCCCTTTAATCTTTGGCTGTTTTATTGATGATTTAAGAGATAATTACTGTTTGTAAATTTATATCGTTGTTGTTAAATATATTAAGTTTATCATCAAGTATGCTAATTTGACACATATAAAAAAAATTATTCTTTTGAAATTGAAGAGAGGTTATGTGTACCGACGTAATAATGTATGTTATTAACACGCTAGGGTAACATGATAGTAACATGAGTACAGTTATGTACACAAAAATTTAATAATTTTTTTTGTTTGTTCAGCTACTTTTTTGCGATATCTTTAAAATTAATTTATTCATGTATCAATAAAGTTTAAATTTCATGTCCAATTTGTTTAAATTTACAAGCTAATATTAATACTTTCAATTCAATATTGTTAATATTGTCACTATAAAATAATTATAAAGCCTTAATTTTCTCAAAACTATTTTCTCCATTTTCCACTGAATAATTTAAAAAAATTGGTTAATTAATAGCAAAAAAACCAATTAAGCTTTTATAACTTTTGACACAAAATATTAACTTTTGTAATTGCAACCATTCCACCCAACCTCTAAAATTTGGTACAACGGCATAAAACTATATGATATAGAAAGGCATTTGATACCGTTGGTCTTTGTATAGTTAATCAATGATCAAGTTTGATCAAAACCACCAGTTGTCCTATGGATAAAACGACAGCTGACAAGTGACGAGGCCGGATGGATTCCTTAAATTGCGGTACTAGGTACCGTGTCAGGGGATTACTGTTATTCTTTATTTTATTAGTGAAAATTGTTTATAAATATATATATATATATATATATATATATAGAGTGCCCCAGCATTCGTTGACAACTTAAATAACTTTTGATCTAGTTAATATTTTTACTGATTTTTTTTAAATAACAGTTATATGTTAGGTCTATAATTATATTTCAATAATTTATATTTTTACATTTTATTAAAAATATTAATTATTTTTAAATTTTAAATAAAATGAAAAAAAAAAATCCATAATAGCTATAGTACAGTAAATTTTAGAAAAATGTTGGTAAAAAAAAATATCTTATTAATATTTAGTAGTAAATAGTCTGTATCATTTTAAATTTTGTGAAAATTTGAATTTTCATGTGTTATTTTACGGTATTAAACATTGAAATACGTATTGAGGATGGACAGAAGAAAAGTAAGATAAGTAGTTTTATCTTTAAAGAGATTGAATAATAAGTACTGAAGGTGTTTTTATTTGAACTGAAGTGTGAAAAGATGGTGTTTACTTTTGTCCTTTTTTGTATAACATAGCCAGCGTTTGATATCGCAGAATAAATAAAGAAAAATTCAAATTTTTACGAAATTTAAAATGTTACAGAAAATTAACCACCAAACATTAATTAGATTTTATTTCATCCAAATTATTTTTTAAAAGTCTATTCTAAAAAATGACTATTTTGAAGTTTTTGAAATATTTTTCGTAAATTGTTTTTAAATTTAATTATATTAAATATATTAATTAAATTATTATTATAGTCCTCATGTATATTAACTATTGAAAAAACAATAACTGGATCAATAGTTATTTAAGTTGTCAATGCTAGACCATCCTGTATATATATATATATATAAATTTATAAAAATATATTTCTTATAAAGTTGAGGGTAATAATACTATAGTGTAGGTTTATTTAAAGTAATATTCGTATTACTGTAAATATACTAATTACAGTTGCACCAGGATATTTGATTAGTTTGATATTTTCCTTTATTACTATTCGTGAAATTTAAAAATTTTTAAAGCAAATAACCATTATTTTGTAAAAAAAAAATGTATGTAAATCATATTTATAGCGAACAAACAAACTTATAATTTTTAAAATACTAAATGATTCAAAATTTTCAAATAACATTTTTTTTTTAAATTTTTACTTTAAGTATCTAACTAAAACATATTGTTGGTCTGTAACAAATATTACGGCTGTTAACTGCTGTCTTAAGATAGTCAAAAAGATAGTTAAAAATCGTGTAAACGTTCTCATCGAGTACTACCTGAAAACAGCTATATAGTCGATAACATCGAAAAAAAAACACTAACATGAAAACAAGTGCTATATAAGCTGGCAATGTTTAACGGGTTGTTACTTTAATGTTTAAGAAATAGTATAGATGAGTACAGGACAGGTGTACCTGCATTATGATATTAAGTTGTTTAACTTCTTTTCATTTTCTTTAAAACTATTATACTAAAACCTACTACTAGTTACGCTGACACGTTAATCGTGTATAAATTAGATTTGTGTTGAACCGTCCTTTTTGATTATAATAACAAGTTTTTTCACTAAGTTAATCAAGGATAATTGATTAATTTTATGTAGAACTGAAATATTTTTTTAAAAGTGAGTTTCTATCAGCTAACTCCAATTCAAGTAATCAGTTCATAATAATTTACTAATAATTTCAAAAATAATCGACATTTTTGAGAAGTCATACTGTAAAAAACCTAGTTAATAAACTTTCATTAGATTAAAAATTCAATATTTTATATTTTTTCAAATTGTAAATAAAAGATGTGTAATCTCACTTACAGTGGCGTTTAAGCTACCAAGAATGAAAAATTATGTTTGTAGATTCAATGGGGTTCACCGTGAACTCAGCACTGGGGGTCATGTCCAGTTTCATTTTATGTAATGAATGCGTTTTCAACACGGTCGCTTGAATAATGACGAAGAATAACGATGATATATATTCTATATTTTTTACCGACAGGATAACTGACATAAGTACATTAGAAGACGCATATATCCATAAAACACACATCAATAAAGTTTTATAAACATACATATAAGACATAGAAAAATACATATATTATAAAAAAAATAGACTGTATCTACAAACATAGCAATCAAAGATTATCATATCAGAAAAATATTTATGAATGTACCTTTTTTTTTTTTTTATTGAGTTACCGAAGATATAAATTTCTTATATATTTCAATGACACGATATTAAAATATTATTAATTATAGTTAGTTATTTGTTAAAAATATTAAACTCAAACGTTTACAGTGTTTAATAACAACAAAATACTTATATGTTATAAATAAATGATCAAAATTACATATTGAATCACCATTAATCACTGAATTTATATTAGATTACTGCCCTAGTAAAATCATTATTAGGGGGGGGGGGAAACAAAGTCCATTAGGCGACTGACTGACTTTTGAAAATTCAAAATTAATGACTGTAATATCAAAGAAGAGTCTATTTTGATTGTTCGAAGGAATATTTCCCAACGTCCATGGTTTCGACTTGATCCTAAAATACATATAAACAAAAGTTTTGTACTATACTGCACTGAAAAATAGTACCCTGGAACGCATGAAAAATAAAGTAAAAAGGAGATTCTTTAATTCAAGGTTTTTTTTATCGTTTTACATATTTTATTCGTATTTTATACTTGACATTTATTTATTTTTGAATTATGACTTGATTTAATACTGCATCGTTGTATTACAGGTACTACAATATTGTTGCTACGTGTTTTATACATAGCTATTTGACAAATTGTATAAAGGTTTGTCATCATTGTAATTTCGTGTAAACGAACTCGAATATTTATTAAGCGTTAAACATTTGAGAATTCCTTTGTCAAGTCTGAATGACTTGACGTTTATGTACACATAAAATCTGGAATCCGGTTTTCAGTTAATCGTTTAACTCACAATTTGTAAGTGTCAAGTGTCCATACTTGTCTGAATGCTGGTAGTGGCATAACTAATTTTAATATAATTTGTTAAATATACTAATTTTAGTAGGTAGGTCACAATATTATATTTTTATTCTATAATATTACATTACAACATGTAAAAATAATGGATACACAAGTAGTAAGAACATTTTAGTTTAAATACATCAACGGATCAGAATTTTTTTTTTTTCTAAAATGTTTAAACTCTAGAAGATAAAATTTACTCTAGATTATTTTTCGTGAGAAATATTTGGTACCGGAAAAAAGTGTAATTTCGTTTCGCTTGGCGTGATTTCCTGACCGCAGTGTGTTCTTGAATAAAAAGGATTTGTTTACACAAAACTGTACCTAATATTTTTTTTTTGATTTCGTCACGGTCGGTATTTGTTGCTAATATTGCATCGAAATGGACTAACAAAAAATCGACACCCTACAAGGGTAAACCAACAAGTGATCCAAACATTGTGGCCTCGATTTCCTGAAAACGATCGTAAAAATACAATCGTAGGTACAACTATTGAAAAGAACACTAAAATTTACGTCTTTCTTATTATTACTATTTTCCTCTTTCGACCTCTTTAACCCTTCACACCAAATACCAGGAGCCGGTCGACAACAGCTCTGCATGTAACTGAGCAACGGTAAATACTTGTTAATACATAGACAATTCTCACATGTAATGTATACCCCGCCGCGTCTTAGTAGTTTTTTCAACTTATACTAAGCCCGGGATGTGTTTAAATGTAATAACCTTGCCTCAATGAGCGATGTCCCTAAAAAAAGGATGCATCGTATCAATGTTATTGTCTCGAACAAAAGCCACCACGACGCGTTTACACATTTTTGTATAGTGTCCTTTTTATAAATGATCCCGTGAAATTTTGTTTAATATAAAGAAATGCATGTAAAAACGCTGTTTTCATATACTGATTTTACTCTTGCACTTGTGTTACACTTGGCATTATGTTGACCATGGGAAAATAGTTTTGAACACGAGTAATTTATTTTAGTCTCAGATACATAACAAAATAAAGGATTTCTTCACAGGTTTTAACCAACTGTGCTACGATCGATACTTTGTGTAACTTAAAATTATGCCAAAAACTAAATAAATAATGTTTTCGAAAGAATATTTCCTAGAGAAAGTAATTATATATCTGCCTTTGATATTCGTTATCAGAATAAAACTTTAAAATCCACACTCATTAGTCTACCATATAATTCATAAGGTAGAACTAATGATCATATTTAAAAACATCTGTTTCAGTAATGTTAACTGAAAAAATTAGTCACCTGCTCTTTTTACAATTATTTAATTTTTATATTATTGTTAGTTATTAGGATGTGTCTAATACACAAAAATACGTGTAAAGTTAAAATAAAACTGTTGTAAACATAAGAAATACTAGAGTTTATTAATCCTAAATAATATTATGTATCTTGCAGGTGTCGGTAAACCAAATTTCGGACATGGAACGTTAGCTGTTGTACCTTTACTGCGTAAGCCGACAAATGATTATAATTGGTCAGCTTATGTTCTAGAAGTTAACGAGGAAGAACTTAAAGTAAAAGTAAGATGCACCGTAACAATGTAATAATAACTAATTAAACGTAACGTGTTATATCGACATCTGTCATCATAATTATAATATTGCAAAAAAGCAATCAGTGAAAGAAATTTAGGAATACGTATAAATTCGAACTCTTTTATAAAAATACACCATTTAGTTGTGATATTTAACACACATATAAATACATATTTAATACACAGATTATGCCGGCCATCGATTGTATTGTGGGTAAATGGTATGTTGATATTGATACAAAGTTTAAAAGAGATGTTTCCTACAACTACAGTCACAGAAATCCAATTTATATTTTATTCAATCCATGGAACTCGTGTAAGTAATTACCGTTTTAATTTTATTTTGATGTTTAAATGATCCAATGGTAAAGCTCTTGTGGCTAAATAAGTTCTGATTTTTGGCGTATAGCCGAGGACGTGTATCTTAAGGATGATATCCAAAGAGAAGAGTATGTACTAAATGAAGACGGATTAATGTGGCGAGGAAGTTACAACCGACCAAAAGAGGTAGTGTGGAAGTACGGACAATTCGACAAGGATGTGCTTGACTGTTGTTTGTATTTATTGCTCTCAGTCGGCAAGCTGTCAGTTTCAAGCTGTAACGACCCTGTGATTGTGAGCAGGGTCCTATCTGCAGCCGTAAGTCAAAACATAATATCCGTTTCCCATAGGGAAGTCTTGTTATACATGAATTAGGTTTATTGAGTTTTCCAATTTATTTTGTAGGTAAATGCACCCGACGATATGGGAGCCATACAGGGTAATTGGACAGAAGATTTTTCTGGAGGCACACCGCCAATAGATTGGCTGGGTAGTGCAGGAATCTTGCAAAAGTTCTACGAAAAAAAAAAACCCGTAAAGTATGGACAGTGTTGGGTGTTTGCTGGTGTTTTAACTACTGGTATAGTTTTTTTGTACATAAAAATAACGCTTGAAAAATATAAGTTACATCTTAAGTTTAAGTTATGAACCTGACCTTTAAAAAAAATGCAAGTGACTTGCTTTAAATATAAAATGTGACAGTGTAATAACACTTTTAAATATCTACTGAGTAATTGGGGCATTTGATCATTCACAAATATACATTGTTATTATAAAAATAAAAATGAATGTCACAATTTTTTTCAAAAAATTTATTTATGTAGCATGCAGAGCACTAGGTATACCTTGTCGACCTATTACAGCATACTGTGCAGCACACGACACGCAAAGTAGTTTAACTGTTGACTATTTTGTAGACGAAGACGGAAAAGTTATGGAAGAGATGATAACTGATTCTATTTGGTGAATAATTGTTTTTAATATATATAATCAGTTGAATTTTTAAAGAAAACAACTGAAGTTTTTACAAATTGACTGTATTTAATTAATATTAGTCACTGTTGATGAATAATGCAGGAATTACCATGTATGGAACGAAGTATGGATGTCACGACCAGACTTAAAATTGATGACTCCTGGCTGGCAAGTGGTTGACGCTACACCACAAGAACTTAGTGAAAATATATACAGATGTGGCCCAGCAAATGTAGATGCTATCAAAGCCGGTGAAATTCGCACACCCTATGATACCAATTTTGTCTTTTCTGAGGTAAACGCAGATAAAGTATATTGGAAATATAACGGAGTATCTCAACCCCTCAAGTTACTGCGCACCGATCAAGAAGCGTAAGTTAGTTCACTGAAAAATTTTAAAATTTATATTGAACTAATATTGAATCTATGATGTTGAAAGCAAATATTTCAAAACTAACATTTGAAATTAATATTCGCACATATACATATTTTACCGAATATTTATGCTGAAATATTTTTAGATTAATTTATTGATTTACTCCCAATCAATTTTTATGATTCAAGAGCAAATAAGTTGTGGGCCAGAATAATATTCTTTTAAAGTAGCCAAAAAATTACGTTTTTACACTCTCAAAAAGTTGAAAATATTCTTCTTATATTCTTTAAAAATATAAGTAAAATGTACTAAAAATATTAAAATGTATTCTCTTAAATTTAAAGTATATTTTAATAAGAATAAAAAAACAATAAGGTACTAATTAATATTTTTCTTTTATTTTCCAAAGTATAACATTTGTTCTATCAAGGTATCAAAATCATCCAAATCTAATAAGAAACACATTTTCTTAGAAACTATTAAGCATTTTTAACTTTTTGCAAAGAGAAAAAAATGTTAGGTTTAAGAAACTCTATAATATCATGTAGTTAAACATTTTTTTTTTCGCTTAAATAATAACTTGAAAAAATTTCAAAATTATTTTGTATAAATACCTGTTTTTCTTAAAAAAAAAATCCCGTATAATCAATGTATTGTTTTATATTCTTTTTTATCAGAATACTCATTTATAATAAAATATTCGCAGACGTGTAAAAAAAACATATTTTTAATAAATCGCCTCATTCGTTGAAATGTTGAATCCATATTTTTGTGCAAGTACCACCAAAACATTATGTAAAATAATAATCCAACCTCTAGTGATAATTCTTCTACAATTATATTATTTTTATAGATTTAGTTTACTTTACACAAAATATTTACAATCAAATATATAAATGTATATTAATCATCATCACCACAATAACCTCTATCCCAGCTATTTATAATTACCTCTGCCTTAAGTTTTTATCAGAATTTTATACCAGCTGTTGACCTGACGCAACCAAATTATGGCTGAGGATACCAGCAAGGTGTGTGCTATTGTCAAAGTTCCCGTATAGTCACCCATCCGAAAACAAACAGTGACAGTACTTCTGAACATCAGCGTTAAGGCGGCGACTGAATGTTCTACTGTAAAACACTGTGCCCCAAAAATATATAAATTCAACGTGTTTCAAAAGTTTTCATCCGATTACGAATTCTTATAGCTCAGCAATCGTTAATTGTAGTTTAACGAGCCATATACTAATGGAATGCTAAGAGAGTCAAGTTTATGATAAACTCTGTAATTATAAGTGAACTGCCGTCAGTTTGTTTCGAAAAGCGTTTGGCGTCTTCCGTTTTAGTTAAATCGGTAATAACTGTTCAACGTGATTTTCGAAAAAACTTACGGAAACGTTTTGTTTTTCGATAAAATGGATCACCACCGCATTGGAAGTTAGAAGTTAATATCTGAAAGACAAACTCCCTCAATGATAGATTTGACATAAAGGAGACAAGAAATTGGCTATTCATTTCACGTTCCCTAGACCTCACAGTGTATGATTACTTTGTATGGCGCTTTGTAAAGATAAAGTTCATGTAGCACTATTACCTACAGATTTTGATAAGCTCAAAACCAGAATCTATGCTCTTTTATAGCTTCAAACACTGAAAAAATTATAGTGTATAGTGTGGTTTATTAATTATACTACCTAATTAAACCCCTATTTTTCGATAACTATCATAATTTTTTCATCAAAATATATCGAATAACTTTATTTATTTTTATTTATATAAATATAAGTATAATATATTTTATATAATATTATATCATATTTATTTATAAAAAAAAAAAACAAGGTTATTTTTATAAAAAATATAATTTGGAGATGAATTTCCAAAGTTATGTTGTAATCTACATTATTTATATACAAAAAATACATAAAAATTTCAGCATAGGAAGATTGATCTTTACTAAGGCAGCAGAAAGATGGGAGCCTGAAGACATTACTCAGAACTATAAACACCCAGAAAGTAAATTTCTTTTAGAATTTTTTTTAGACATAGAATCCTAATAATTTTATAATTAACTTACAAACGATAGTTTTAAGATCAATTTTATCAATCGTGATTTTTTATTATGAAATTAATTTGCTAAAATTCATATTTTATTAATCTATTTACTAGATAATAATCTAGTAAAGAAAATGAGCTATCTATAAAAATTTTGGACCAGTATTTTGTCAAGTTTCTAACATTTAGTAATAATAGCATGTAAGAGGATCACAGGTGTAGTAATTTTTATCACTATTCATTTCTTGGCCGCACTCCTCCTACCACTTAAGTATAAAAATGTCAATATTATCAAAAGTTTATTATGAATATCTATAAAATAAATTAGTAAATTAAGTATGTAACCATATGAGTAAAAAAAATTAATATCTTTATAAGGTATTTAGTTAAAAAGTACTTTATGGTTGACGAACTGAGAAAACAAATTATTCAAAAAAATATTTTCGGTATTATTTTCATTATTCGATTGATTAAGTTATTTATAATAAATGAATCATCCCCTGTATATAGAAATATTATGTAAGATAATTATGGATACAGTGGTACTTTTAAAGTAAATTTTCTAAAGGGAAAAATCGCTAAAAGTGTTTAGTTAATCGTTCATACTTTTGAATTCTGACACGGCCACTAGTGTCGACTACATTATTGCAACACAAGTCGTGCCAATTATTTATTTTGACAAGCTCAACAGTCTATAAAAGAAGACACTAACAAAAATATGAATTATATACTATAGTTGTATTTATAAAATATAGCAATGTTATTGAATATTGTATAGAGAAGTATGTACAAAGAACAAATAATATGTTTCATAATATACTTTATATTTAAAATAAGTTTTTGGTTTTCCATATCTAAATTATCTGAATATTAAATAGTTTACTATTGTAGTACAATCATTATATCTCTGCTCGTTGTAATTTATTTAATACTTTATATAATAGTATTTAATTAAATAAAATGATTGTTTGTAATTAACGTTTTTTATATTTTCTTAAGAATCTAGTGATGAAAGAAATGCCATGTTAAATGCTTTAAAACAAAGTTCTAGTATTTTTAGCAGATATTATCTAAATGAAAACTTCAATGATATTAAATTCGATTTCGAGTTAATAGATGACATCGTAATTGGAGAAAACTTCAGGTTATTTAGAATGATTACGATCATAATAAATTTTTTAGGCAAAGTATAATTAATTATTTTTTATTATTATATAGAGTCGCTGTGTCTATTACAAATCAAGGAAATAAAAATTATGTTGTCAAAGTTATTTTACGAGTAGAATCTGTTGATTATACTGGAAAAAATGGGCAGCTATTTAGTATAATCGAAGATAAAAAAAATGTGCTTCACGATAGAGGTAAGTAAACTTTTATATTTTTTAAATTCATTAAAATTGTACCATTCATGGATATAAGACTTATAAAACATAAGGGATAAAAATAACATTTTTGCATAAATTAAATTTGATAAACAATTGGAAAATATACGTATTATTGTTTTGCCCGGAAGCGAATTAAAAAAAAAAATTATAAATATTCTTGTACAACGTGCTGTTATAAGAAAAACAAAAACTATGAAGTCGATTTTTTCTGAAATCAAAAAATAGCTTATACTCCTAAAAGTTTAAATTAAAGTGTTGTATATGTCTTTGGACAAGCCACAACTATCTACTTTGTTTATACGCCTATATATAATGATAAATACTTAATTTGTTTTATTTACCTTTTAATTTTCCTAGGATCAAATGTTCAGGTTGTTCAAACAGTATTAACATACTTTGATTATGGCAAATACGTGAAGAACCAAAATGTTTTTAATATATCATGTTTAGCTTCAGTTTTGGACACTGATTTTGAATATTTCGCTCAGGATGATTTTCGAGTACGAAAGCCAGATATTAATATTAGTGTAAGTGTAATAAATTATTGATAATTTAAAACAATAATCAACTATAATTTACAATTTTTATTGATATCATAGAATAAATCAATATAATAATTTTTGTGTAGTTTGACCCAAAGCCACTTCTAGGTAAATTGAGCACAGTGACTGCTTCTTTTATTAATCCATTGCCAGTAATTTTAAAAAGAGGAATATTTTACTTTGAAGGCGCATCTCTGGAAAAGAGGCTTAAAATAAAACTTACTCGGTGAGTGAAATTATAAAAAATTTATTTGCGGTATGTTTGGAAATTTGAATGTTTATATAAGACCAATTTGAACGTTTAAAATTTATATTATTGTTTATGATTATACACAATTATTATCAGCACAATATGTTTTAGTAATGTGGAGCCAAAAGAAGAAGCTGTTGTAACTTTCAAAGTTGTACCACAAACGGTTGGGAGAAACGTATTAGCAGCAAAGTTTACTTCCTCTGAACTTCAAGACGTTGATGGATTCCTTGTGTTTATGGTTAAGCGTGATTAATAACCCACAGTCAAATTACTGTTTTTTAATAATAATTATTTTTTTTCTAAAAGGCACACTAATGCAGTGTTGAAAATTGTATGTATTGTGAATTATTTATTAATATAGTTCTTTTTAACTTTTGTTGAATATAATTATGATATTAATATTTCTAGTTTAGGTCTTTGGAGTTAGATAATTTATTATTTTATTTATACTCCTCAAAAGTGATTCATTGTATAACTTATATTCTCCAGCATGTCATTGGCAAAAATCAACGACGAACAGAGTCTTCCTATAGATGAGCTAATTCCTCACGTAACAATATTTTATTATTTTAGCCTGTAATTTTTTTAATATATGAGATTACTGACAAAAAACTTTAAAAAAAGATCACTCAATGAAAAAAAAATTCAATCGGTAAAATAATATTTTTACTCTCCTTAATATTTTCAACTTTCGGATGGCTCTGATAAAACAGAAAATGTTAAATGAATTATTGCATTTTAGCTTCTATGGAAACTTAAAGGTATTGTATTAACCATTATATGTCTGTCAATACGTTAAAAAAATGTAGATTTTATTCTAGTTAAAAAAATTACTTTCAAAATTTTAAAAGTCAACTCAAATTTGAATATTTAAAAAAATATCTCAAAATTGGCTAGCTGTCAAACAGCGTAAAATCTAACAATTTTTCTAAATTTTAAAATATAATAAAGACGAAAATCTTTCTTTCATATTTATATATAATGATTGTGTTTTATTTATGAAAATTTAATAGTTCAATACTACTAATATCTAAAATTCTATTTAATAACTCTGTATAACATTGTTGCGGTATACCACTGTGCACGGTGGTTGATACCCCAATAATATGAAGCTGTCAACTTTCATAATATTGTTGCTGGTGTAGTATATGTTGTGTAACCAAAATATTTATGAAAAATGTTTAATTTACCAAATGAAACATCTCAAATTTTGTGTAAATCATCGAATCAATTATACTACAAGATTCAAGGTTATGTTTTATGTGTATCATAGTTTATGTGTTCATTTTTTATCGAATCGCGTTATTAGTCGTTTTTCGAATAAAGGAAAAATCATCGACTCGTAATATAATTTTTCGAATAATAAGAAATAGTATACAACAAGTGCGTTTGTTAGCTGTCACTTTGTGTTAAACCATCGAATATTTAAAATATAACAACTAAAAATGATTACTGAATCGAATGTTCCTTTTTTTAATGTATCTATATCGAATTTATATTTATTATTACTAAATTGTTATCATTAATTTTGTGATTATTGATAAATTTTTCTCTTTTATAATTATTTGTGTATATAGTGTAATGGCCCATTGCACATCATAATTGTAACTGTGAGTACAAAAGTTATTTGTTAATTAATATTTATTTTTTTTTTTATAATTACTCATTGAATGAATTAAGTGCATTATTTTGTGTCAAAAAGATTATGTACAAATTTATTAAAATTATTTTTAATTTTTATTGGTGAAGATTTAATATAAATTTGTGATAATTGCTATGAAATTAAATTTATAGTTAGAAGATCTATCATATAATCTTTTTAAAGTATAATTTCGTTCACTTTGTTACCTGACCATTTCACTTTTCCAATTAGCGCTGGCGAACCATCCCAACTCAGGGTTTTTGTGTATTAATCGGACTATCCTAATGCAATTCACAAATTCATTCTATATACAATCCATTGGTTTACAGGTGCCGGAGTACATAGTATATTCATCTTTAGCCTCCGTCCATACAGCCTGAATTTTTTTAATTTTTGCATTTTTTAATTTTTATAAAAATAAAGTTTTTAAAATTTACTTTCCACAAAAAAAATATATATGAATACACAAAAAAATGAGTGACCTTGCAGTAATATGTAATATTACTATAACAACATTATGATATTAATGTGTTGATAAATATTTTAAAAATTACAGAAAAATCGTCAAGTTTTTTAACTATTTTTGTAAAGATTTTTATATATCAAAGTTTTACTTATTTATCTTTTAATAATAGAGTGTTATGTTATCGGATGACAGTGCGTGGTGCTGTCTAATACCAAATTATTGTAATACTCTGCCTAAAAAGTCATGGTACGTACACCAATATTACAGAGGACAAATATTAACTCTAATGTTTGTCGTATCGCTGCTAATTGGATTCACTATGTATAAGTCATGGACTAAATGGTTCTTCAAAACTACTTTCCCATCTGAAGTATGAACAGACACATTGTTTCATTTTAGGTATAGGCAAATTTATAAAAAAAATTTCATTGTTTATGTATTTTAGTATTCCTATGATATCATAACACTGATAAAATATTATCAAATATTTATCATACATTTTATTATATAAATTACTATTCTATTTATTATATATAGTAATCTTATTTTTAAAAGCGCTAAACTTATTGATTTTATTTCCAACAGTTTTATCTATGATTTATGTAGGATGATCCACGGTGTTTTAACAATTCTAATAACTTTTGATATACTAAATATTTTGCATTACTTTTTTATCTCTATAATTTATGTATTCCTAGACTATGCAAAAATTATATTTTAATTTAAAAAATAAAAATTGATTTATTATCAAAACAATAAAAAAATTTAAATGAGTTTAATATAGTCTAAGAATACATATATATTTTTAAAAAATTAAAGTAAAATATTTAAAAGATCAAATGTTATTAGATTTGTCAATACATCGTAAACGACTTTTTATTTATCATTAAAAAATATACCTATGTTTAATGTATACTATGTTAATCTATGTCATTATTGATGAAAATTTGACTTAATATTTCGTTTCATTTTCATTTTTCTACCTTGTATTGGTATTTTCAGATTAGTTTAAAAACTAACAATCGAGAAAATAAAACTAAAATCAAGTCTAAAAATAATCGAAGAAAATGTGGTGAAGGTAAAGTAAAAAATTCAATCAACCTAATTCAGACAATTCCATCACCAGTGAAAAATCGAACTTTAGAAGCAGAAAATCAGAATGAAACGATAAAAATAACAACTGATGCTATTACTAAATTTGTTACCATTGAAAACCAATATAATGATAACATTAAAGATGTACCAAAAGAATGGGATAGCCATAACTATAGTCCCGATAATTGTTCTAGTGAATACTCTAGTTCTAATAGTTTATCTGGAGAACGAACTTCAAGTATATCAGAGTCTGTTTCTATGATACTGGGTGAAAGTGTTTCACCAAATATTGCACCTTATCCTCGACATATAGCACTTGATTCAACAAGTAAGATGAGTACATATAAAGAAAAACAAAACAAAACAAATTCTTGACCATTGTATTTCATAAGGAAATCACAGCATTCTACATTAATTATTTTATCCAGATAATCAATTATTTTAAACAAAGATTAAAAATATAATTTTTAACGATAAATTGTATTAACTTTTTTAAAAATATACTATATACATACAAGGTGATTATTTTATCATTGACCACTTTATAATCAAATAATCATAGTAGTATTGAGATTTCTATTTGGTTTATTTAAATTACATGTTTTCTCAGCTTACCAATGATGAAGTATTTTTCATGTTCATTTCTTATACATAAAAGTGACAGTTATATTTTTTAAAATGGTAGGTAACATACATAGTTAACTAGTTTAGTGATTAGATAATAATTTTATTAAGTTATCGGCTGGTTGATAACAAAATTTTGACTAGTATTTCAGAAGTTGTTAACACTATTATACCAAGCTGAATGATGAGTGTGGCTGAGAAATGTTTAGTGATAAAAATAACAACATCCACGCCTCAAGTCTAGCCATTACATTAAATTGTTAATAACTTCTGAATAAATAAGCTGGTAAAANTACATTAAATTGTTAATAACTTCTGAATAAATAAGCTGGTAAAATATCAATGTTGTTATTTGTAAAAATAAAATTGATATACCCGAATGTATGAGGGATGAAAAATACTTCATGTTTAATAAATCGAGAAAAACATAACTAAACTAAACATAACATAACTAAAGAAATACAATTTCGATATTATTGAAGATTATATTGACATTACAACAAAAATAAAAATATAGATGTTTATAAATCTTAAATAAAACTAGGTGTTCAAAATTGTTTGTTTATCATATACAAATATAAAGCAATAATATTCGTATGAAATACAGATTAAAAGCTTTAAGTAACGTGAGAAAGAGTAAGACTATACTTTTATTTTTGTGTCAGTTCATTACTCATTAGTTCTAATACCAATATTAATACTGAATTTGTATTTTTTAAAAGTTAATTTAGCTTTAAAAAATTAAAAATTGTTTAAAAATAATATATGCAATTAGGTATACAAGATAGAAAAAAAATAAAGTTACGAATCAAAAAAATTTTAATAAGAAAAAATAATTAAATAGTATATAATTTAATAAACTATAATCTATCTAAAAATAAATATTTTAGAAATCAATGTTAACGGTAGTTAAGGTAATTTTTATATTTATTAATTGATATTCCAATATTTCAAGTAATATGAGAGCTGTACATAATGATGAGTTGTACTAGATTTTCAAAAATTTTTCAACAGGTTCGATATCCAATACATTTAAATTCTGATCGCCAATTTAACACGAGTCAGCTAAATTATAATGAGATTCAAAACGCGTGGCCTGTTGAATTTCACGATAAAGATGGACCTATAAGGAAAATGCCTTTATGCTTACAAAAAGCTATGTCACACTGGAGCAATAACATTAAAAAAGATTTTTCACATTTAAAAACAAATTTTACATCTACAGAGCCAATAAGTAACCAAAAGAAAAATCAAAATAAATTTGGGTATAATTTATTAAACACAAATTTTGCTAATTCCGACAAAACCGATCAGCCTACAACATCTAAATCGAATATAAATGAAAACTGGATAACAATGCTATCAAGATTGTGGCAAGATTTTAGAAAACCCATAGCAATCAAATTATCGAAAATATATAATTGGTTACACAAATAGTCCCTCAATAATTTTATTTAGCTAAATTTATTGTACTCCATTTGTTTTTTTGATAATATGCTATACTTACCCTTTCTATGCAGTACATTCTTACGTTAATTATTCAAATAAATAGCTTTTAAATAAGTCAATGAAATTGTTTTTATTTAGTTTTTTTTTTAAATATTCACTCAAAGTATATATTCGACCGGTAAGTCTAAAAGAAGTACAAAGTGTTACCTATGTTTTTGTGTCATTACATTGAAGATGTAGATGCTGTGGCTTAACACACCCACACAATCTCTGTGGTAGGTCGACAGAAGAAAATAACTTATATATTATGCATGTAAGCACGTATAGTAATAAATATACAAAAAATAGCTTGCAGCCAAATACTACAGTAATAATGGTTTTTCAGATGACGGCGTCAGTCATATTGCAAAGTAAAAATTCAGTTCAAAGGTTGTACGTCATGTAGAGTATTATGTAGACATCTAATCATGATTTTTCACTCAATGGTTTTTAGTTACGGTTTACATTACACAAGCACAGTTGACGTCATAATTATAAATGACTTTTTAAGCATTACAGTTGTGCATTTTTAATTTTTTTTTTCCAATAACATTATCTTATTCGTAAATTTATTGTATATTATCTATTTATTGGTCAAAAAAATTATCACCAATGGTATCCACAATAAGATAAAATTTTATCAACGCAGTCAGATAAGTAATACCATTTCAAATTTGAAATTGTTAGTGAATAATAACTAATTTATTAGCTATTATAAATTAGCAGAGTGGTAATACATTCTTTTATGGCTCCTTCTTATTGTAAGTGTTTTTAAAGGGAGAAAGGTAAACTGTCAGTTTATTCATTCATAAAGTATTTAGGATCTTATAACCACATCATTATATTTTTTATTATTGATGGACATGGGAAGAGCTAATACAAGCTACTATAGGTACATGTAGAAAAAAACCAAGATATACAAGAAAGGTAGGTCGTGGTTAGCATTAAAAAAAAAATATTTTTAAATTAATATCGAGCTATTAGCATTAGTAATGATGGACGGTCGGTGGTGATGTACACATAAGTACAGCATTATGAACACGATATAGTGAGTCTCCCATTTGTCAAACAACTTGTTAAATCAGAACCAGTATAATATATAGTATGTATGAGGTGTGCATACAGTGGTCGCTAGTATACAGCCCACTCATTTTTCTCGAACATTCCATTCATAAATTTTTGTAATGCGTTAGTGTGCTCACACTTATTTTATTATTATGATCACATGAATCTCAAACATCTTATATATGTATAAATGCTTTTCTTATTAATAAATATTAAGCAACCGTCGTCAGAATATGATAGTATACATTTTATACTAGATTCTATACAAAGTGATTGATTTAATATAAACCACTCGGTTACTCTTAAAATAAACATAATATTGAAAAAAAAAAATTTTTTTTTAGTTACGTATATTTTTTGATTTGTTGATTCAGCTATCAATTTATATTATATTTAAAATTTGTAAAATAAAATATAAAATTATCTAATTAAGAAAATTTATGGTCGCTATAATTTTCGAATCATAACTTAGAATATTATTCTCATTTTTATACCTAGATGGAATGAATAGTACGGTCGGGAAATGACTGGTGATAAAAATAGCAGCCTAGTCATTTTTAAGAACTTTTTAATTATTTTATAATTTAGAATGATAATTAAAAATTGAAATCATCACAAAAATATAAATTTTATTTGAAGAACTGAGCAAATATATTATAATTAAATATAGTAAGCTTTTTTATATATAAAATAAAGAACAATACGGATTTGAAAAAAAGAGAATATTTGATTAATAGTTTGAAAACCCCCATTAGTTTAAAAGACTAAACCTTATTTTTATATACTTTCCTTGATTAAATTGAAAAACGAAAAATAGCGTACGATGACGAATACTTTTAAATGTCTTAAATTGAAGTAATTAACATAATAGATTATGCATTTAAGTATATATTTATAAAAATATATTTGAGTTTTAAGTTATTAGGCTAATGAACTTATGAGCTCAATGAAAATTTGTAAGCAATCTGGTTAAAATTCATTTTTAAAAATCTTTATATCTGATTGCACCAGTATTTCTTACAAGTCACATTATTTAAAAAATATAAATTGAAGTTAGAAATATATACTTATTTAATTATAATTACAGACCTCATACTTACAAATTCAGGACTACTGTTAATTGCAGCTCTATGACAGTAATATTACAAATATTTTTCATCGAGAACAAGATTTCACATTCATCATTCAAAACACTTGAAACATACTCGGTTGGGTATGTTTCAGGTAGTCTTCTATTTAACATAATCTAGAGTCAATTCTCATTACATACACCAAAATGGATTATTTAGTAACTGAATCATTATTACCCAAAGCTAAAATTAATCAAAGGTTTCTATTTCATAATTTTATAGGTAATTTAAGTAAATGACTACCTTGACAATCCGGATTAAAAATTGAAAATTTTAAGTATTTTGGATATCTAAATTGTTTACATTTATAAACTGCTGTTGTATCTATTCGTTCAATTCGCAATACAGCAAGTTTAAGACTATTCTCTCTTAAACGACAAACATAAATTGTTATTTAGATGTGAAAAAAGGCACAGACGTTTTTAATAGAGTATGTATTTTAATTTCTACAATAGAAAGTAATAATAAAACGATTTTGGCCAAAACATCGAGTCACACGATTTTTAATATTCAACATGTCTATGGTTAAGCTTGTAAAGTTTAAGTGATTTAGGATTTAAGTACTTAGTGGTAAAACATGTGAAATATAATGACTGTCATACATATTTCGTGCAATATTTCTACAATTTTTGTATAAGTTCAAAAATGCCACTCAACTTGTCAAATTGTTGTCTTAAAACAATAAAAAAATATTAACAGCATTCTGAAAACTTTTAATAAAATATTACTCCAATTTGCTTGAAAATTATCATCATTGTGATTTAAATTAAATTTATTATATTAGATTACAAGTGAATAAATCAATATAGAATTGCAAAATTCCAACCATAAAAATTTAATAATACAAAAGTTATCGACATTCAATAAATAATTAAAAAAATAAAAAAATATGAAAAAGTCCTTAGTGCTTAAAGGTTATTAAATGTCATAACTATGAGATTTTTCATTTATTCTGGTATTTCACGCAATTATATTATTATTATTATTATTGGGATCGAAAATCCAGTTAATGCGTTCAATTAAATGAGCAGTGTTGGTGACAATTGATTCTGCCGCTTCACACACGCGTTGGTCATTATGATGAAGATAATTATGGGATTTATGATAAATTTCAACAAGATTATTCAGTACTGTCCTGTTAAGTTCTGGCCGACCCGCAAATAATGGATTGCTTTCAAATAAGTTAATCCAACTTGCGTACATGGTAGTCTGGAGAGTGCCAACAGTTAAATCCATTATGTCTGAAGTCAATAAAGTATCTTCATCGCTTTCAAAGCTATCATCTTCACTAGACATATCATCAACAGATCGTACTTGATCATTTAATGACTCATTTAAGGCCTCATACATATCATAGAAGTAGTTTTGATCAGTTGAATTGTGAAATGACATATTTATCTTTTTAAATTTAATTTAAAGTAGTAACTTCAATAAAAAATAATTAAATTATAATTATTTTAAATAAAAATTTTTCAAAATGTGTACAGAAATTATTTTAAAATAAAATAATCAACTCAATTTGAAAAATGTTGAATTTTTATAGTAAAAAAAACAGCGTTCATTGTTTATTTTCTATGGTAAATTCATATACATTACATTAAGTTTTCATGAAAATTTTTTAGCTCAAATTATACATAAATTCTTGAAATAAATAATTAAGTAATCTATCTTATATTTTGGTAATATTTGGTTTTTACCCTGTAAATTATTACAAAATTTTGTTTAAAAAAAAGTTATTAAATAAATTGTACTAGGCGAGTAAGATTACATTAGAAACTTTTTCAAAATATATTTAATTTTCAAAAAAAATTTTAAATAATTTCCAATAGGGTTGAAAGTTCAATTCGATTTTTTGTCAAAGTTTAATTTTCATCGTAAAATCATATGGACATATACAGAGCGCATTTTTATCATAATCCACTCAATTACATATCAATTATGACTTTAACGACATGTGCTTCTTATATTGCTAGTTGGTGTATTTAAAATTGTTAACTCAAAATATTATGCCGCATTACTAAACTTAAACCACATCTTTTGATAAAATTATATATATCGTAAAAAAACAATTAGTTGCCTGTAACTCAAACATTATAAACTTTAAAGTTTTATATCAAATAAACGAATAAATTTATGTTAAATTATAAAAGTCATTTATTATCAAAATGTATCTTCAAACATCTAAATTAATTAAAAATATGTATTCCTATTCAAAAAGCAAAATTGACACCTTTACAAGGTATAAGAGATAAATAAAAATCGTATTTTAGCTTCGATGCGAAGCTGAGAAGGTATTAATTTTACTATGATGTGTTTTTTTTTTTTATGTCTGTTGCCACTTTTTCTCAGCTCTCACTGAACCAATTTCTTTCAACAATACGTTAAAATATCACAAATCGTATCTAGTTGAAAACATTACCCTTAAAAATTGAAAAATTTTCCTACGTTCTCCGCAAATGGGGGAAATATCCAAAAAAATTACAAATTTAAAAATCAGTAAATTTTGTCATTTATTTCTCTTTTTTTTCTTAAAACTTCCATAACTTTTTCAAAAATAAACAAATCAACATAATTTTTTTTTATACTAAGACCTCAGATATTTCCTTTTCATTTGATATCATTTTTTTGAAAATCTAACTCTTAACCTGCTCATTGGGGGGGATTTAAAATAGCAACTTTTTTACAAAAACTAACTTTTTCAACTTAATTTTTGAAAATGTTCCGGAAATACTGCGTCCTTTAAACATATATAAAATTAAAACTTATTTTATGTACTATAAAATGAAAAAAAAATTTGTCCCGATAACCTATCTTTTATGCGAAAATGGCTACCGTATTCAAAAATATGCTATTTTTCTATTAAAATTCTAGGTTTTGTATTTTATTTTATTTTAAAATATTTTATTAGGATAATATATTGACTTTCATGAATATTATATAATTTAATTGACATAAAATAAAGGTCATAAGACATAAGAAATTAAACTTATTAAACTTTTTTACTTTTTTATTTTCATACTAAATTTAATAATTATAATTAGTATTTATTCATATATTATATTTTAAAATCAAAGAACTACTAATTAGGATATAATCAAAGAATTAATAGTTGATGTTGCTTTTGGAATAATCCACCAATTTCTCTGAATGAAACACTATCTACAGATTTGCATCTAAGCGTTTCTTATGATAGTGATTTTAATCACTGTCAAATATCATCTATACTTGTCTCATCTATGCCTTGTCTACACTGTGCCTCGACTCCACTGTGCTACCGTTTTTTTATTAACTTTGATGTCTGTTTTCACCGTGAAGACAATATAAAATCCGAATTTTTTTATTCATAATAAAGTAGATAACATTAGCTTTAATTTAAGATATATATAAATGTGTCAGACTATCCGAAACACTTTCAAAAGTTAAGTTGAAAAAGTTCAACTTTCTAAATGCATTTTTTAGATTTAAACCCCTTTGTATTAAGGGAAATGATCCGATTTAAAAAAAAAGTATGTTAAATGAAAGATGTATATAAATACTACTTCTCATGAAAAATTTGTATTGATCCATACATTTTTCAAAAAGTTATAGCATTATAAAATTAAAAATGTAAAATATGAAATCGTGAATTTTCATACAAAAATATCATTTGGTAGCCATTTTCACAGTGAAGACAATCTAAAGACCGAATTTTTTTTTTTTTTCATGATAAAGTATATTACATTAACTTTAATTTAAGATATATATAAAAATGTCAGACTTTCCGGAAAACTTTCAAAAGTTAAGTTGAAAAAATTAATTTTTTTGTAAAAGAGTTGTCATTTTAAATCCCCTCTGTGGGCAGGTTTAGTGTCAGATTTACAAAAAAAATAAAATGCCAAAAGATAGGTAAAGACATTTTGCATATATAAAAAAAATATTTATATTAATTTGATTATTTTTGAAAAAGTTATGGTAGTTTTAAATAAAAAAAAATTGAAAAAATGTTTAAAATTAGCGATATTTAAATTTGTAGATTTCCACCATTTACGGAGATCGAGGGAAATTTTTTCAATTTTGAGGGTAATTGAGAGCGTCTTCGACTAGATACGATTTGTGATTTTTTGACATATCGTCGAAAGAAATCGGTCCAGTGAGAGTTGAGAAAAAGTGGTAACAGACAAAAAAAAAAACACATCATAGTAAAACCAATAACTTCTCAGATTCGCATCGAAGCTAAAATTAATACATAATTAAATGTAATGTATTTTTTATACATTTAACTACAAAGAAAGTTAATTCATAAAAAATTTATCGGATGAAATTTCAGTTCTAAAGCTTAACCGTTTCAAACAATGTATAGTAAATTAATAGACGTTTATAATTTCGTACGTGTTCGTTTCATATGATACATTTATAGAAAAATGATGTATAATATAGTTAATTGAATAGTTATTTTTGTGTAACCCATAAAAAAAAATGATATAGTGCCCATAGTTATAGAAAATTATTAATAAATAATAATTAATTTTTATGCGTGATTCTTATATTTATATTAGACAAAATTTAATACCTAGAAAAAAATTAATTTAATATTTTTCTCTGATGATATACTCATCTGAAATTTTAAACTAAAAACTCATTGCAAGAATTTAGCAGCATTTTAAAATTTTCCAAAAATACTTTAATTGAAATGTTTTTATTGAGATACAACTAAAATGAAAATTCAAACATTTATTTTATTTTCAAATGGGAAAATAATTATAAACGCATTCTAATTATAAAGACCATGACATTTTACATGACTTTTATAATTTTAGTTTTGTATACAAATTTATCTTGTTTAATAAATAATTATATAGTATTACTCTAAATTGAATCATTAAAAATAGTATGTTAGTTTAAAACAAAATGTTACGTTCAATTAATCATAAGCATCAAATGCTACCAAAGTTCTTCATAATGACATACTATTTTTAAAAACACTTAAAAAGCTGATGACGTTGCAAGTTGCTGATTTAACTAAATTAAAAAAATTAGAAATAATTCTAAATAATAAAAAATTTCTTTTTATGACATCATAAAAAGGAAACTATAATTTTATCTTTATTAGTTGATAGTATAATATAATCTATAGGAGACGTGTACTTGTACCTAACTATATGAGTGTTCAAAAATATATTTGTTTTGACGGTTCAAATTTTTTGATAAACATATGAATTTATTGCCTTCCTAAATGAAAAAAAAAATTAGAGTACCAAATTAATTCTCAGTTTATTATTAAAATACAAAATTGTCCTATAACGTTATCTTCAAGCAGATTAAAAAATATCATAAACATTACACTTAGCTAAATAGAAGTTAATAAAATATAAATAAATATGTTATACATTATAATAAATAATATTATTTAATGTCAATAATTTCGAGGAATCCAATAGTTTTAGTACTCTCAGTGATTGTTACACAAATTTAAAAGAATTAAAGTTGTGCTATTCATTTTTACGATTCTATTAATTTGAAAAATTTCAAATTATGACCAAATTAAGTAGATTAAAATATTATAAAAATAGTGTGTAAATTTTTGGTTGCCTGTTTTCAGATATTATTTTGCATTTTTTTTCACAAATCAATTAAAAATAATATAAAAATGAAAAAATTCCAGCTCAAATAAACTTTTAATCCTTACACCCTCATAATTCTATACGGACAATTGCAAATTCTATTATTAAGTCTGAATAAATGGTGAAGAGAGCAACAAAAACTAATAATTTTTTTAATTAAATAACTGTCTAATTTTTCTAACAATATCCATAGAGTAATTAAGGTCCGAACACATAATAATTTTGAAAGTTATTGCACCAAAAGATTTTATGGAAATATAGTTTAATGACATTTATGTTTAAAAAATATGTTATTTGTTCATCCATTTTTGTATTAAAAGACCTTTTAATATTTTTTTTCTAAAAGGTAGTGTTATTTAAGTAAACATATATTATCATAAAAAAAAAAATTATTTTTGGTTGTTTTTGGACTCCTTGCTTATATTATGTTGCCATATTCAAAAGTATATAAATGTTGTATTTAAACCAGAGCTTTAATTAAATTAATATTTTTAGAATTTCAACTGTATTTAATTTTTAAATTTCTTTAAGCATAAAAATGCAGTATTTTATTGTAATAGTATTTTGTATTTTTAGCTATTTTAACTTATTGGCAGCACAATTTTTTGAAAATACAGACTTAATAAAGGTAACATAAATTTAATACGTCATACAAGTTTGCAACGTTATAAATAATTCTGATTACACATATTATATTTAATTTATAATAATAATTTGACAATTATACAGGGTACGATTTTTCGTAGACCACTAAATATTTCCTAAAATAATAATAATTTTGAGGTATTATTTCATAGCTTAGTTAATTAGTATTTCATTTTCGATTAAAAAATGATTAAATACTTTATAAAGAACCCCTTATACCTTTTAGAGTTAACAACTTTTTTAAATGACAAAATATAAAGAGATTGATATCGTTGATAAATAAAATTCTCCCAAAATTATAATAATTTAAAAAACAAAAATTATGCTTAGTATTATTTAGTTCTCAATTTATCAATTATTTAGTACTTTTCTGATTTATTTTAACCCTATATTTTTTTATGTGCAGGACAGTAGTCTATCAAAAGAAATAACTGCAGAACTTGAAGAATTATTTAAAGATGTTAATAAGAATGATTTAGAAGGAAGCACATTCGAATATGCGGCACTTATACTTTATGATTTTATAAAAAACAAAAATGAATCTGATGTTAAAAACATAATAAAAAAGTGTAAAGGTAAAATAAAAATAACTTTATTCCGAAGTAATTTTCCAAAAATTATTTTAATATTTTAATCTGATAGTGTAGTATTTTGATGGTATATTATATAAATTTATAAATATATATATTTTTTTAATTGAAGAATATTAATAAGCAATAGTTTAATATAGTTTTAAAAAATATAAGATTTCCGAAACATAGTCAAAAATTTAAAATCAAACATTTTTAACAGAAATTATATCATTTTAGTAGCTAATTAATTATAAAATTCAAGTTTTTAAAAAGTTTTAATTTTTTAAATATAAGAATCTTGTATAAGCTTGAATTCAATATAGATTTAAAAAATTATATAAAGTTTATTCAATGTATTAGTGAAAAAAATAACTATCTTTTAAATGAAAATATGCCAAAAAAGTTACAATAGTCAAACACATTTGTTTTTGATATTCTACTTGAAAATGAAATTTCTATAGATAAAGGATTTTTTAGTTTTATAAAAACTTTATTATATGATGAAAAAATACTTTAAAACAGACAAAATTAAATTAAATTTGAAAAAAATGTAGAATTATTAATACATTATAATCTAGTCTAATCAAACCATTTTAAATAACACTTAGATGTACTTTTATCGATTTCAATAATGTTTTTCAGAAATGAAAAAGGATTTAACTGTTGAAGGAATATTAGAAATAATAGACAATAACATGTCAGACGAATCATATACTAAGGACGAAGAAATGATTGATGATATTATGAAAAATTTATTTAAATTTTATTCCAAAGGAACTGAACTCATTTCTAAATCAGACATTCTAGATTTTAATAATATTGCAAATATAAATAATAGTGATGAGTCTTTTCAAAAAATTCTTCAAGATTTTCGTAATGATAAAAATGGTAAACTAAACTTTCAAAGTAAGCATAAAATACTTAATAATCTAATTTAAATTACTAAAATTATTTGTCAGTTTTGATATACTGGGAATCAATGTGAAAAATGTTTATATAAATATAAAATTTGTTGAAAATGTTGAAACATTGTATGCATGTAAAAATTAATTAGTTAATCGAATTTAGTAAAACATAGACCCTGAAATTGTTAGGCAATTTAAATATTCTACTTATTCTCGTCATAATGTGTAAGATGTATCATTGGCATAAAATAAAATGACAGGGGAAGTTAAATTAACATAAATAATATGTATTGTAGAAATCAATTTATTAAAAATAATGTAAGATATTAATGTTGTATATTAATAAAATATTAATATGTTTTTAGCTTTTAAGGATAAGATGAAACCATACTGGAAAGAATATCTATCGGATATTTAGTTTGCTTCAAAATATGTACTGTTAATATTTAAATGTAATTAAATTTGAAGTTAACTATTTTGATAATTAATTATTTTTTATAAAATATACTATATACTTTAATATTTTTTAATTAATTTTTATTTTGATAAATAAACCTGGTTAATGCTAAAATGATTAATATAAAATGTGATTGATTTGTCCTTTGTTACTAGATTTCTCATAAAATAATAAATCTGATTTTTAGTTTCGACGCGTAACTAAAATTCTATTAGATTTGCTTTGTAGTGTTTTTTTTTGTGTCTATCCATATAAATACTCCACTTCTTTTGAACTGATTTTCTTAACGTTCAAAATTTACAAATTGTTTCTTGATGAATTTTCATGCATCATGATTTTGAAAAATTACCTTAACAATAATTACTATTATAAAACAGTCAATGTTGATTTTTTTTTCACTTTATATTGAAATTACTTTTTGAAAACTGGTCGGTAGGGTGACAACATTTTATATGACAAAAATTTTATTTAAATTTTTCTTTTGTCCCACCCTTTTAAAATATTCATTTGAGTAAAATATACATGTTCTGAAAAATTTTATCTAATTATGTTGATGTTTAGAGATCGCGCAGAGCTTTATTATTTGTTTATAAATAACTTTGATATCACGATTTCATGAGCTCTCATTATCGACGATAATATACTAATGTTAGCGACTCATTTGCAGTATGACAGTACAAATTGTCATTTTAAACCGTCAACATAATTCTTCGTGATAATATCGCCGCACTTTTATAAATATTTTATAAATGTTTCGTTAAGTTCATATTTTTTGAATAATTGTATTCAAATTTTGTGTATTTGTGATAATTAAAATAATTCAATTTGATGTGAATATTTTTTTTTATTATTTAGTTCATATATGTGTAATTTTATATGTAATTAAAATATTATGGCAAGCACAAGCACTAAAACTAAAAGTTACGTAAAGGATCGAGGAATCCAAACGATAGTTGGAGGTACACTCGAATCAATTACTGGTTGCAAACTACCATTTAACCAGCAAGTACTTTGTCGTTTTTAAGCTTCAATGCGTTGGTTTTACTAAGATGTGTTTTTTTTTTTTTTTTTTGTGTCTGTTACCACTTTTTCTCAGCTCTCACCGAACGGATTTCTTTCAACGATACGTCAAAAGATCACAAATCGTATCTAGTCGAAGACATTACCCTTAAAAATTGAAAAAAATTCCCTCGTTCCCCGTAAATGGGGTAAACTTCCAATAAATTACAAATTTAAAAATCATTAATTTTCGAAATTTTTTCAATTTTTTTACTAAAAACTACCGTAACTTTTTCAAAAATGAACATATCAATATAATTTTTTTTATACAGATGCTTGATGTCTTTATCTATCATTTGGTATATAGTTTTTGTAAATCTGACACTTAGCCTGCCCACAGGAGGGGATTTAAAATGACAACTCTTTTACAAAAAAATTTACTTTTTCAACTTAACTTTTGAAAATGTTCCGGAAGGTCTGACACTTTTATATATATCTTTATATAAAAAACTTATAACTTTTTAAAAAATGTACGGATCAATACAATTTTTTCATGAGAAATAATATTTTTTAATAATCCCTATTTCATTCGACATACTATATCTTAATCAGGATATTAATAAGGAACTAGCAGATCATGTAGCTTTTGGAATAATATACCAATTTTTTAAAATTAAACACTATCTAAAGATTTGCATCGAAGCGTTTTTTTTTTAGATAGTGATTTTAATCACTGTCAGATATCATTATACTTGATCCAACTATGCCACGTCACCACTGTGCTGGGTTTTTTTTCATTTATATTTGCATGAAAAAAAACTATTCAAATTAGTGCTACCATCACAGCAAGAGAAATATGTACATTTTGGGCAAAAGCTAAAATTCCTACTCAAAAGGAATGTCATATAATTGACAAAATAAAAAAAATTCATTGTAAATGGCTGAATTAAAAAAAAAGTTCTTTGAGAAAAACTCCTCATCAAAAGGAGATTGAGTCTGTATTTGTCGATGACTTCAATAATTTATTTGACATTGCTCATATGGATGCTTTAACTCTTATAACTATTGAAGAGGATAAACAGTTTCTTCTGGTTCAGAGAAAAAAAGGAGACATGGTTGCATGAGCTCCGTTGACACGAACCTTTTAAAAATAGAAGATAAAAAAATGAGCGACAGCAACAAATTATAATCAGGGAACTAAAAAAAAGATAGAACGATTGAAAGGAGAAGCAAAATATAATGATTTAAATACTGAAAGAACAGAATCTAGTAGCAGTGAAAGTGACGATGATTTATAAATACCTAACAACAAAAGGTTAAAGCAAAATAATTCTAGTGAACTTATTAATATTTTATAAACTTCTAGTATTGTCACTACTGAAGTAGCATCTGCTTTAGATAGAACCAAAGTAAGTGACAGAAACGCTATGTATGTTTTGCCAGCTACCGTGCAATCATTAGGTTATAATGTACAAGACTTTACTCTTAATTGAGAGTCAATAAGACAAGCTCGTTGAAAAAATCGTCAAAATATCGCAAATGAACTAAAATCTTCATTTTTACCGAACACTCCGTTGACAATACATTGGAATGGAAAACTACTACCTTCTTTAACATCAAAAGATAAAGTTGATCTACTTGCTGTAATAGTTTCAGGTGACGGTGTTATGAAATTACTCAGTGTGCCAAAATTTTCAATTGGAACTGTAGAAGCTCAATCTACTTCAGTTTTTGAGTTAATAGAAGAATGGAATTTGACTGAACTAATTCATTCCATATAAATTATTAATTGATATAATAGCCAGTAACAGTGGAGTAAACACAGGTGCCTGTGTACTACTTGAAAAAAAAATGAAAAGAGATCTTCTGAGCTTAGCATGTCGGCATCATATCATGGAACTCATTGTTAAAAAAGTGTTTAATACTTTGATGGGTCCTTCAAAGGTTCCGAAAATACAGGTTATTCAACGATTTTCAGACAGCTGGAGTAAAATTAACAAAAAAAAAAATACACAAGTGGAATTATGGATAATATAGTTGCTAAACATTTCAAACCAATAAAAAAATTCCTAGTTGAATTTATTAATGAGCAGTTGACAAAATATCAGCCCAGAGACGATTAAAAAGAACTATTACAACTTTCTCTTCTATTTTTAGGAGTTAATATTTCTAAAAACATTAATATACAGGCATCTGGAGGTTTAGATAGAGCTAGATGGATGGCTAAGATTATCTATAGAATGAAAATCTACTTATTTAGATCACAAATCAAATTAACCGCACAAGAACTATCGTCACTACAAGCTTTCAATATTTTTGAACTACAAGTTTACATAAAATTTTGGTACACTGCTCCTTGTGGGGAATCAGCTCCTTTCAACAATTTAAATCTATTGAAGGAGTTTAATTTAAATAAAAATACTCATGAAATTATAGCTGATACTGTTATCAAAAGTTTCTCTAGGCATTTATGGTATTTAAGTGACACTCTCATGGGACTGGCTTTTTTTGACAGAAAAGTGCCAACTGAAATGAAATAAAAATGGTGAAATCATTAGAAAACAAGGGAGCCGTCAACCCACAACGACGTATTAAAATCGTGTTGAATGCAGTTGTGCGATTTTGCAACTAATAATACATTAAAATTATTTATAGCGCTAAATATACCATAAGATTTTTTAAGTCAACATCCAAGTACTTGGGAAGAAAATGTTCATTACATTGATGGGTGTTAAATGACACAAAGTTTAAAAGTAGTAAACGACGCTGCCGAACGTGGGATATCTTTGATTCAATCATTTAATGGGATACTTACTAATCAAGAAAAACAAAAATAGTATCTCCTGCAAGTAGTTGAACAACATCGAAAACAATATCCTAACCCAAATAAAAAAAATTTAAATGTTTGAGAGTTTTTTAAATAATTATATATCTTTTTAAAAAAAATTAGTTTTTTATTTTTTTAATCCTTGTGATGTAAAAAATTTAAAATAAAATCATGTTGTGCGACCAGTAATTATTTTTATTTTTTGTTGAATTTTTTTATGGACCTTTATATTGTAAATTCACATAATTTAAATGGTTTAGGCCTTATAAATAGTTAAATTTTTTTTTAATTGTCACCCTACTGGACGGGTTATTACGAAATTTTTATTAACAAAACTTTAGATATTTAATTTACCGACAACATATCTTTTTTGAAAATCTAATTATTATCCTAGGTTAGGATGGTCCGTAATTATAGACGAAGAGCATTGTTTTAATATTTTCTTTAGTCTTAACTTTTAAAATTGTTGATATATTTGTAAAAATGAACCAAAAAAAATTTCAATCCTATCAGGCTATTTTAACTCATGTCTAATCGTTAAAAAAAGTTATTAAATGTTTTATAACGCTAAACAATACAATAATAGCGTTCACATTTAAAAACCTTATAAATGAATAATATATTATACATTTAAATAAACATTAACCATAAATGCCTTGAAAAATTGTATTATGATATCGTACAACACGAAGTAATAATTTAAAGCTTTAGGTATAATGACTCTGTATCTAAAGTTTAACTCTACTAATTAAAATAAATATGAAATTCAGTGATTATTTTTCAAATATTACGTTTTCAGTTAATGAAAGTAATAAAAAAAAAACCCAGCACAGGGGGGTCGCGGCACAGTGGTGACGTGGTATAGATGGATCAAGTATAATGATATCTGACAGTGATTAAAATCACTATCAAAAAAAAACGCTTCGATGCAAATCTTTTATTAGTGTTTAATTTTAAAAAATTGGTGGACTATTCCAAAAGCTACATGATCTGCTAGTTCATTATTATTATCCTAATTAAGATAAAGTATGTAGAATGAAAAAGGGATTATTAAAAAATATTATTTCTCATAAAAAAATAATGTTGATCCATACACTTTTCAATATGTCATAGCATTATAAAGTTAAAAATGTAAAAAATAAAATCGAAAATTTTCAAACAAAAATAGCATTCGGTAGCTATTTTCACCCTGAAGATAAAATAAAGTCCGATATTTTTTTTTTTTTTATGATAAAGTATATTACATTATCTTTAATTTAATATATATAAAAGTGTCAGACCTTCCGGAACATTTTCAAAAATCAAGTTGAAAAAGTAAATTTTTTGTGAAAAAGTTGTCATTTTAAATCCCTCTCTGTGGGCAGGTAAATGGTCATATTTTTAAAAAATATATACCAAATGAAAGGTAATGATATCATGCATCTATAAAAAAAAAAATTATATTGATTTGGTTATTTTTAAAAAAGTTATAGCAATTTTAAGTATAAAAAAAATTTCGAAAATTTCGAATATTAGCGATTTTTAAATTTGTAATTTTTTTGGAGGTTTCCCCCATTTACGGGGAACGAGGGAATTTTTTTCAATTTTTGAGGGTAATGTCTTCGACTAGATACGATTTGTGATCTTTTGACGTATCGTTGAAAGAAATCGGTTCGGTGAGAGCTGAGAAAAAGTGGTAACAGACACAAAAAAAAAAAACATATCATAGTAAAACCAATACCTTCTCAGCTTCGCATCGAAGCTAAAAATTCTAGTTTTTATGTAACTAAAAATTATTTCTTATTTTTCTGTCAACTTTATAAAAGTCGTAGTTAAAAAGGCATAAACTATTCAAATATATTAATTTTTCATGTGATAATACATAATTGGAATTTTTAATATTATAATTATTTTGGAGTAGTGTGGTACGGTAGTCACACTAGTTATTGACATAACTCTAGTGTTAAGCCGCACCTACAGCGGTAGGTGAACGGATGAGTGAAACGGATACGTACGCTCCTACTGTGGCGAAAAAGTACCATGTTCCAGTGCACTTAAATTTCCCCAAGATATATTAATCCAATTAGAAAATGACAAGGGAAGGCCTTTAGTAACTACCGTTATTATTTGAACTAAGTAATACAACTATTTTACGGTGGTAAATATCCACATTAATTGTTCCGCGAAAAATAAGTTATATTTGAACATTTAATTTATGCCAAATATGATTCAATGTAAAATTGCATTATGTCATATTTAAAAAAAAAACACAATAAATTATAATTTACTTTTAAAAACAGATACTAATAAATATATATGTATAAATATACAGTGGCGGCTTGTGGCTTGGACGACGGGACGATCGCACCCCCTACTAAAATTAATTGAAAGAAGGAAATTAATCGTATATTCTTAATTCTACATTTTAATTAAAAATGCAATTTTTTGAATAGTAAAATAGTTATAATACATATGTCGTGTTTGAACGTTTAAGTTGTTTCCCTCAGTATAGGCGGGTACACATACACACACGAGCAATGTTTGGACGACCGGCAGCGTCATCCATATGGCAAAATAATAGTATATTACTTTTTTGGGTAATTTATTAGTAGAATTAACTACGTGTACGCTCGTCGTTATCGTTTGCTATAATAGTTTAATCACTATTATTATAATTTTTATTTCTATTTTCTACTGCGACCTTCTAAATAATCATATGTGTATTGTGTTTTATTTTAAATTTAATTTGACAATTTTTTATACCTATGACTAACGGTATTATATTTAAAGTCGCACCCCCACCACCAGCATCCACAAGCCGCCCTACATATATATATATATTGATATAGATATATGTGTAAATCAATACTTAAAAAATCAAGTCCATTCGTAGTTGAAAAAAAAAACAAAAAAATGCAAATTATCACCGTAATCTGTACTGTTTCCATTTTCCTAACTACCTTAGCTTTTGCCATGATAAACGAGGAATCAACGGTAATTTTATACACTACTATTTATTAATAACATTTATGTTAAAGTATTTAAATTTTATTTAATTGAAATTTACAATTAACTCTTTGCTATACAATATTAATTCGATTAAAAAATATTTCAATTTTACCGAGACACTAAGTCGTTTAAAAGTTGATTAATATTAATTACGAAATTTAATTTGAATAATTTGATTAAAAAATAAAACAATACTATTGTATGGCTTAAAAATATCAAAGAGTTATTAAAATTAAAACTTTCATCTTTAAATTGTTAACTCTTAAACATTTTTACTTTAAATGTAATATTTTTTATATAAAAAATTTTAAAGAAGTTATAATAGCACATATAAATATTATTAGTGTAACTAAAAAATTAATAGATAATATATCTTATTTGTTATAAAAATAAGAGCAATCATTCACTGACGAGAAGATTTAGTAAAATTCAAGATTTTTTCAATAAAATTGCAGATAAAAAGCATGAGATTAAAGCGTCAGAACTTATAGATTATGTATTATATGATTTAAGAATTCCTTTGGACGAAATAGGACTCGCCAAAGTAATTCAACAATGTAGAGGTATAAAAAAAATAATTATAATACGACAAAAAGAAAAATTGTGTGGGAGTTTTTATAATGTACAATAATGTATATTTATCATAAAAAAATTAATATGGTTCACTAAAATTAATTCATATGAAGAGCGTGTGAATTAATATTCTTCAATGTTCAGCGTGTAGAATTGTTTTACTAAATGAATAATTTAACAGTTTATTAGTTTACAAGTTCATTACAGTGTTGGGTTTTATCTAAATATGTCCGGGCACGGCTGTTTTATCGAGTACTCTCACGGTATTTGTAATGCAGTCGCGATAATGCTCTGCATAGAATCAACCGAAGGTCTTTGAAAAAAGCAGCTACACCGCCCGGACCTGACGCGGTAGTTTATGCCAACATCTTAGGTGAGAGTATGTGTTTTTATGTTTTGTGAGTTATTAAGCTTCACAAAGTCTTGCTCCCAACTATAGACCCGACTTTTGGGTCCAGCTAACGGGGCAGGCCACGCTGTGTCGTGACTTAGCTCTTGATTAATTTCAAAGTCACCGCACGGTGGTATGATTTATAGAGACAGCGTGGGATGGCTTGAAGTATTGCCTAAAGGCAGTTCCGGGCGATCCACATGATGCTGATCAAAAAAAAAGTTTATCTGAAAATATATCTTTAAATAAATATTTCAAGTTTATCTAGATGCTATAGCATTATTAAATCTTCAAATCATAGAAACTTTTCATTTTTAACTACTTTAATCATAGTTCTTCGTTTTAAATATTTTTGTGATGGGGCAACAGTTTTAAATTACAGCAATTTAATCATGTGTACTATATTATAATAAATAAATCTGATGAATATATTTTTAGAAACAAATGTTCTTACGTTTAAAATATTCTATGACATTATGGACTCAATTGTTCCTAATGCTCGAAAAAATGATAAAGATACTGAGCAAGATTTTATGCTACAAATGAACAATTTTGAATCCAAAGGATATGAATTTATTTATAAATTGACATTGGATAAAATGCTTAAAGATATATTTCAAATATCAGTTAATAATGAAGTACTAGATGAAATATTAATAGAATCTGGGGCTAATAATTCTGAAGTTCTAGACTTTAAAAGTAAGATTGTGTATTAATTTCTTTAAATAATATGAGTATTTAACTTTAAATCATTTTCAGTAATTAAATTTAATAAATAATTTATTTTTTTACTCAATAGAAACTATTTTTATCTAACTTTATTACTTAGACAAGGTTACGTATATTATTATATTCCAGTAAGGTGAGGTGAGTGCTTATACTTTTATTTTAATTAAATGGTCATAAAATGATCTGAGAGAGAAAAACTTTGTTGTTGAAAATCAAGTGGCGGTCGCATTTAAATAAAATGTAATATTATAACTTTGTTCTTCCGATGGGAAAAATATAAAAAAGGTTTGATTTAAAAACACTATTTGACAACTTGAAACGTGAAGTCTTACAATTAAAAAATCACAAAAGTTAATTATATCAATATTCATAATTTTAGATTTGAAAAATGTTTTAACCTTCAAAAATTTTTTTAAAATAATCAATACCAAAGTTGATCGAGAGTATATGAAAATCATGTATAAGTTAGATTCAAAAGGTACAGGATTCATTTCTAGATCAACCATACGTCGAATATTAGAAAATGCATACGAGTGTCAAATTCATGATGACAAGTTGGATAGAATGTTAAAAAAATCTGGTGCCAATATAAATGGTATATCAGATTTTCAAAGTAAGTGTACGAACCTTGACAAAAAAATTGTTTCAATTAAATTTAATAATAATAGAGTGATTTACTAGTTTTTGATAAATCTAATAACTTTTAGTCCACTAAATGTTTGTTATGCATAACTTTATAAAATTATTATTACACTTTAGGGTTATGAATGTCATTAGAAATAATACATTTTTTAATTTATTAAAAAAATGATTTGTTTATATTTGAGAAAAAAGTAAAAAAAACCAAGATACTATGTCATTTTTTATAGTACAATTTTAGAAAATTTTGGTAAAAAAAATATTTTCATATGTTCATTAGCCAATTTTCATTAATATTTTAATATTTGCAAAAATTTTAATTTTCATGTGTTTATGTTACGGTATAAAAATTTGAAATATGGATGTGTTAAAGCTTTTATAGATTGCTGTAATATTTAAAATTTTTTCTAATACAGTAGTCACCGCTTCTTGGACTTATGATTCATTTAATTATTCGTCTAATAGACTTAAGTTTCGATTAACTCCTATACTAGTATACAGAAAAATATTTGTTTATTAGGCTCATTACGTTGGTTAATGAATTTATATAACAATAAGATAAATAACAAAAATATAACAAACTTTCTAGTTAACCCAAGTTCACGGTATCAGAATTTTGTTGTTGATATGAAGATGAGCTTAATTATTTTTTTCACGATAAGCTAAGAGAACGTTGGCTGCTTGAAATAATCAAAAATATTATAAAAGACGGGAAAAACTCAATTGGTCTAGTCCCTAAGTGATTCATATAAATAGTGACTACTATATTGAATTTTTAGTAAAGACACGGGTTTTTATTGTTCTTATTATTTGTTATGTGTCAGACAATAATAGAGTTTTTAGGAAATTTTATATTTTTCGAAGTTTGTAAATTAGAGTAATCAGTAAATCAGTTTTGTCGGTATTTACATATTTAAAATCTGGTTAGGGTTACTTTTGTTGGAGTTAATAATTTCATTTGTGGTTCTTTATTATAATGTTATAGACTTTTAAAATGAATTAAATAAAATAATTGTTTTCTATACTATGTTATATATTAAAAAAGAGTAACCAAATCATTTTTTTGTTTGAAATAATGATTTTTTTTTTAAAAATGAATTGAATAAAAATTTTTTTTAAATAAATCTAAATAATTATCATGTTTATTGAAAAAAAACTATTCTCTAACGTTGTTTTAAATAATACATTTTGAAAATTAAATAGGCACTTATAATTATATTTATACAACTTAATAGAAAATTAACTAAATAACATTTGCCTAGTCTATATAATCTTTGTTATATTAGACTTATTATAATTATTAAGTATATGTGAGATAGGTGTATAATATTTCAGTATTCTTATTTGTGCGTTATGGTAAAAATAAAACATTGCTGAACATTTCCTCATACATCACCCCATATTCAAATATTTAAAAACTAATATCTCAAAAAATAATTACTCAAAACTAGTTATTGATTAATTCAAATTTTGTTTAGAAAATTGTCCCTTTAATTTTACAAAAAAAATATACAAGTGTTTATTTTACTTTAACCGCTGAATTTCTCCTAAAATAATTTTGAAAACATTTTTTTTATTCTGTTTATGAATATTATTGAGTTATCATATAGTTCTTTGTCTACCTCTTTTATTTAAAAAGGTAACAATACTGTTCTTTTTAATTGCAACATAGAGAAATAAATTTGGCAATATAATTCTTTTATAAATAACGCTGTACCTATATTTTTTATTATTTATTTGTTTATTTATTATATTAAAATTGATGAAATTATTTATATTGTGTTGCAGGCTTCCAAACATTTTTGAACATAAACTTTGAAAATTATTTGTAAAATCATTTAATAATACATTTTATCAAATAATTTATAATATTTGTTTTTTATATATTAATAACATTACATTAATAATTCCGTTAAAATTTAAACCTTAGCTAATATCCTAGAACAGTTAAGACATCGTGTGGTTGAAGTTGACATAAATTAAAAAAGAACTGTCAATGATAAAAAGTAACATAAAACTCGATGCAAATTAAAGTTATATCTCATTTTTCGAGACAGGGCTCACTTAATAAGCTTGTTCTATAAACGAAACTTCATTTAAAAGATAAAATAATAATAATTAAGATAATAAGAATTGATCAATTGTAGCTATTATTATTTAAAATACTCATTTTGGCCATTTTTATCAAAAATCATATTATGTGCAATAATATTACAGGCTAAAGTGTGCAGTTTTTGACACATTTTAATCAATTTTATCAATAAATATAGTGGATTTATGGTTTGTTTTTTATTTTTTTTTTAATGAACCAAACTTTTGTTTCATATTTTTGCCAAAAATTTTATTTATACTTATCTGTGGAAAGTACTATAATCATTTTAAAAAGGGTGCCAATAAATGAGGGTCAACACATGTCTGATGTGAACAATAACTTTTTAGAAAAAAATAAATATGCCAATAACTGTGTATCATTAACATTATTTAAAAATCTATTTTAAAAAAAGTATTAAACTTACTCGAATTCTAAAAACATAATTTAAATTCTAAAGACATTTTTTACCTAAAATAATTTAGTAAGAATAATTTAACTTATGTAACTTAATAAAGACATTGATTATAATCAAGGTCATTTTCTTGAGATGTCAATACTATACTTTACTCTATATCCATTTTATCAAATATTGATGATTTTTAATTAAAGCTAAAATAATGAATACCATAACTCATGAAAAAATAGTTACAACGAATAAATGAACAATGTAGCAGATTTTAAGTTTTTTTATATATATATGTAATGAATTGAATAATCTTGTTATTGAATATAGGCCTAAAATTATATTACATTTATTATTCTTTGAATTTTATTTTTAACTACAAAATATAGCATTAATGAGAATAGTTATTTTGAAATATTTTCAAAAATAAAAAAAAACTAGCATAATGGAGACATAGCATAATTGAATATTGCATACTATAAATAATAACATCACTATCATAAATAACGCTTAGCAGCGTACCTGTTAATTTTGAAGCTTCGATGCCAAGCTGAGAAGCTATTAATTTTACTATGATGTGTTACTTTTTTTTTTATGTCTGTTGCCGCCACTTTTTCTTAACTCTGATTTCTTTCAACCATACGTCAAAATATAACAAATTGTATTTAGTTGAAGACATTGTCCTTAAAAATTGGAAAAATTTTCTTTATTCCTATATTTGTAAATGGAAAAAACTCCCAAAATTACTATTTTTAAAATTAGTAAATTTCAATATATTTTTTTTTTAAACTGCCATAACTTTTTGAAAAATTAAATTAAAATAATTTATTTTTATAAAGAAACCTCAGGTATCCTCTCATTTGATATAAATTTTTTGAAAATCTGAGCTTTTATATTTTATGAAAACATTGTCACAATATTTTTTTTATAATATTTTAGAAATGTACCTTTAAAATATTGTGAGAATATAATATTCGCTGCCAAAGTATATTCTGAGAACATTGTGAGAATATTTCAAAATATTCTGGTTATATTCTAGAAATATTTCATTGCTATGTGGGATAGATAAACAGAATTAGTCTTATGAGAGCTGAGAATTTTCATGGACGGTTACAAAAATAAAAAAACATCATAATAAATGGAATACATTCTCAGCTTTGCATAAAACTTTTATTTTATTAAAAAAACAAAATATATGTATTTTTGGGGAGTATTTTGAAGGTATTAATTTCTGCATAATTAGAAAATAAAGACAGGAGACTTCTTCTTAAAAAAATATGCTACAGTTACCAATGGCTTATGGTAAATTATGTTTTCAATTAGTAATGAAAATTGTTTTAAGTAAATTTAAATAATGTAATATTTTAGTCTATAATGGTTTTGTTATGCTGCAATTTCACTGTGTCGTGTCCCGACTGTATTATATTTTTCAAATTATTATTTAATGAAAAAAACATTCTTTTATAAAACTGAAAAATAAATAATTTATTATCATCTTTTTATAGATAATAATTTACGTCACGTACAAAGAACAATTTTATTAAACATATTGATCGATTAATTTCAACGACATTATTCAAGATTTAAAGTAATTTTTATTTCGGTTTTGAACTTTACTATTATTTGCATAACAATAAAAATATGAATAAAATATAACTATAATCCTCATTTAAATTTTAAATTTTTATAGTTATTAGTTATTAATTTATTTGGAAATTGTAATTTTGTTTATAATTCAATATTTAATGTGTAAAGTTAATTTATAAGTTGTATAAAAAAAAATTACAATCAAAAAAACAATTCACTGTTTTTTAGTTTTAACTTTTTTGTTGAATTTACTGAAGTGAAGATGTACTCTCAAAATATTATTACATTGATAGCTCTTTGTTGTATTATACTAACATTGGGTTTGCATTTGAAAAATAAAAATGATGCTAACTTGTCATCGGTATTTTTTATTTTTCTTAAGTATAAGTAAATTTACTTTAAAAAATTTCAATATTAATTCGATTAAGATTTAGTAAACTAATGTAACATAATAGGAAAGAGGTTCTATTTAATTAAAAATAGAAATTTATTTAAGATGAAAGTTGATAAAAAAGGGAAAATTTTACTGTTAACTATCTCGATAGTTTTACTTATATTTTTTTTTTTTCTTAATATACAAATTATACATTATATTCGTACATAAATTTAACGCCTAATTTTACCCATTTTTTTGTATTATTTACATTTGAATATTTTAGAATGAACTAGCATCAATAAATGAATATTCTGAATTTAAACATTTATTTGAATTAGCCATTGCTGGTACAGATGATGAGAATATTAAAGATGTATTACTAATTGGTATACTGGTACTTCTTGATGATGTTACAATGAAAAGCATAATTCAGGATTGTAAAGGTAATAACATAAAATTAAAATTCTTGAAAAATTTGAATTAAACTGTTGTTATTCAGGTCATGATAATATTAGAAGTATATTTTTTGAAATTATACTAAAAATATACAATCATAAAAAAACAAACTGCATAATATAAAACATGTGATACATTTTATAAAGAAGTCAACCAATAGTGACACTTAAATAAATAAAATAATAATTTTAAAACAAAAAAAAATAATTTTTGGTATGTTCTACATCTACAATCTGTCATTGCTTTATTTAATAAACTTATTTAGAAGTTTATATAATTAACTTCTATGTAAAATCAAATTATTTATGCAAAACATTCGAAATTTTCATTTTATTATATGGCGTAATAATAAACAAAAGGCTTATAAATTAAATTCATTCATCAGTTGATAAGAGTTTATTGATAATTCAATTTATCAAGTCTCTGTACTTCTAAGCCAATTTGATTTTTGTCCTCAAATTTCTGAGATATGCAGTGATATAAAATTTTACCCTTAATTACTTTGTTTGTAAATCAGATCATTTTTTTTTAATAGAGACTTTTTATTACAATAATGGTATATGGATGTGAACGTTGTAAAATAATATTTCCGTCATTACTATTTAAAACAGTAATTACAAACACTTTAGATATCATAGGGTCTTTTCTTACATTTTATGTACATGGGAATTTAACTTAGTAATTAAAGTTTTCAATTATGTTTATAATGACACTGGCCATTTCAAGTATGTTTCACCATATACGCAAATAGCATTCATGTGTTTTTATAAACATGTAATATGTTTTTGATAGTATTTATGAAACTGTTTATATTTATTCAAACATTTTGTTTGAACAGCTTTTAAGGAAATCAAGTTAGATAATTTTGTTCTGAGAATATATTTTAATGTAGAAATATTGATAATAATAGATAAAATACAAATAGCCATTAATTTAAAATATGGCAAAGGTTTGGTAATTGCAAATATAATAAAGTTGGAAATAATTATTATTCAGACCATTCAATTTTTAATTACTGTTCTAATAGATTGTTTGTAAATATTTTAATAACTTTTAGATATAAATTAACATTGAGACATCAATCCCTCACAAACCTTTTTTTGAAGTTGGATAACTGCTCTAATGAATCTTTACTAATCAGTTCTACTGAAATTAGATATCTATCTTGATTTATGAAATAATAATTACTTTAAAAATCCTTTCCTTTTTTCATTTAAAAGTACCAACATATTTTTTAATACTTTTTTTTAGCATTGATGAGAAGCTGAGAAGCTATTGGTTTTACTATGATGTGTTTTTTTTTTATGTCTGTTACCACTTTTTCTCAGCTCTCATCGAACCGATTTCTTCTAACGATACGTCAAAAGATCACAAATCGTATCTAGTCGAAGACATTCCCTCTAAAATAGAGAAAATTTCTCTCGTTCCCCGTAAATGGGGAATCCTCCAAAAAATTACAAGTTTAAAAATCGCTAATTTTCGAAATTTTAAATTTTTTTACTTAAAACTGCTATGATTTTTTCAAAAATGAACAAATCAATATATTTTTTTTTTTTATAGGTGCTTGATGTCTTTAACTATCATATAGCATATTTTTTTTATAAATTTGACCCTTTAACTGCATACAGGGGGGGATTTAAAATGACAACTTTTTCACAAAAAATTTACTTTTTCAATTTATCTTTTGAAAGTGTTCCAGAAAGTCTGACTCTTTTATATATATCTTAAATTAAATCTAATGTAATGTACTTTATTATGAAAAATAAAACTTCGGACTTCATTTTGTCTTCTTGGTAAAAATTGCAACCGAATGCTATTATTGTGTGAAAATTCTCTTTAATAATTGTTCAACGCTTGTTAGGAATAATAGGGTTCGTGGTTCATCTTCTTTTCTTCTTCTTCTTCGCCTTAATCTCATCTACTTGGGGTCAGCCACCCTTATCCCATACTTCCATTTGACACTATATCACACATCATTTACGCTCACGTCAACTGTCCTCATATCGCATTGAATAGCATCCCTCTTATCTCTTTTTTAGTCTTCCTCTACCTCTTTTTCCTTCAAAATTCATTTCTATAACTGTTCTTACAGCTATTAAGTCTATTTTCTCTCGCCTTATTCACAATTGACGCTATACCTACACTCCCTCTTATATGCTCGTTCCTTATTCTATCTTTTTAGTCACTCTACTTATCCATTTAAGCATTCTCATCTCTGCTCTACTTTCTTATCAACCGCCCAACACTCTGAACCATATATCATAGCTGGCCTTATTACAGTCTTGTAGAATTTACCTTTCAGCCTCATTGGAATTCTTTTATATAAGACGACAGACGCTTCTCTCCACTTTAACCACCGGCACTTAATTCTGTGTCTTACATCCTCGTCAATACCACCGCTCTTTTGCACAACTGACCCTAAATACTTAAAACTCTCTACCTCTCCAATCACGTCCTAGCTTATTGTCACTGGTCTCCTTATTTCACCTACCTCGTGTTCTCCTTTATCAAACTCGTACTCTATATATTCTGTTTTACTTTTACTTATTCTTAAGCCCTTTTCTTCAATAGCTGATTTCTACACCTCTAGCCTTTGATTGATTTCCTCCCTATTTTCTCCTATTAACACTATATCGTCAGTAAACAACATGCACCACAGCACCTCTCCTTGTATTTCTCTAGGAATTTCATCCATCACTATAGAGAATAGTTCTTTCGTTGGGTACACGGGTCAGCCCAAATCTCTTCGATTAGTATGACACTAAAGGAGCAATTTTTAGACTCATTAGCATATTCTAGTTCAAAAGTAGCAGACTGAAGGGTGGCTCCTCGTGAGTCACCATCACAACTACCTTTTTACTATACCTACTAATGGTTAAGTTCAAAAACTAGTCAGTATGCACACTAATAGTTATGACCGACTAAAGGACCAGCAGTCTAATCTTGACATTAGCCGCACACACACACACTCAATTTAAACAAGGCGAATATAAAGTATTTACACTAAATGGTTTCGAACAGTTATTTTTTATTTACTGAACTTACAAAACACAAAATCAAAATATAATACAATAATGTAACAAAATATAAATTAATCATCTTCGAAATACAAAGTTACACGTACTTAAACGTTCTGATTTGTCACAAAACATTTTTTATTAAAAACGTCAATCTCCCTGTTACTTTTCTCGTTTCTCTTTCTATATTCTTGTTCCCACCATTATTAACTTGCTTAACCTACATTTTCCTTTTGTATGACATTATTATTTTACTTAAGAATTTAAAATTGCTTACTACAGTGTTAAAATCCATATATTATAATAACGTGAAAGTTATTTGATATATTTTCAGCTACTTACTACAAAATAAAATAAAATAAGGAGTAATATTATAATATATTATATTAAATATTTCCAAAAATAATATGATAACATTTTATATTTTTTATTGATTTAATTTTTAACATTATTTATTTATTTTTATTATCATTTTCAGATAAATAAAATATTTATGACAAAGAAAAATTTATCAAATTGATAAACAATCATATAACTAACGACAAAGTTCAAGACTATAAAAACAAGAAACCTGAATTAATAAAAAGTTTATTTTTATTTTATTCTGAAGGAAACAAGTTTTTGACCATATCAAAATTACAAGATGTTTTTCATTCTTATAAAATTGAATTAAATAAAAATGACTTAATATTACTGAATAATTCTAGCAAATATAATAATAATCAGTTAAATTTTGAAAGTAACTATCAAAGAACATTATATAAATAACCTTTAATTATGTTAACGAAAAAATTTAAATATTTAAAATTTGTTAATAACTTTATTACATTATATTGTATTGATAATACATTATTTAAGATCTTATATTTTAAATAATATATCTAAATAGAACAAGTTCATAAATTCATTGCAATATGTTTAATAGACGATAGTGTGACGTTTTATATGATTATTTTGAAAATAGATGGCCATCTCCAAATAACATGAATATTAATATCAACAATAATTCATTCAATTATTTGTTAAAATTATACATGGTGATTCATTAAATATGCCTCATGAAGTATTTTTGAAAATATTAGAGCAAACTATTATTTTATTTTTTTAATATCAATAGTTCTTTGTTAAGTATCTTTACATGGAAAATTATTTTTCTGGAATATCCTTTACACCCTAATTCCGTATCAACTTTCAAATTCAAATGGTAACCACAATTTTTTTTATACAATCAGAATTATTTAATTTAACAAAGATATTTGTTTAATTTTTTTAATATTTTTCGATATTAGATAATCATACTTATTTTTAAAAGACAGCAACAAATCATGTCATAGAAATTATAAACTATACAACCTAACTTGGTGTTATGAACCAGTAGCATTTTTCAATTTACGACCCAATAAAGATCTTTTAAATATAAGTATAGTTTTAGCTTCGATGTGAAGCTGAGAAGGTATTGGTTTTACTAAGATGTGTTTTTTTTTTATTTTTTTATTTTTTTGTGTCTGTTACCACTTTTTCTCAGCTCTCACCGAACGGATTTCTTTCAACGATACGTCAAAAGATCACAAATCGTATCTAGTCGAAGACATTCACTAAAAATTAAAAAAATTTCCCTCGTTCCTTGTAAATAGGGGAATCTTCCAAAAAAATTACAAATTTAAAAATCGCTAATTTTCGAAATTAAAATTTTTTTTTTACTTAAAATTGCCAAAACTTTTTCAAAAATGAACAAATTAATATATATATATTTTTTATAGATGCTTGATGTCTTTAACTATCATATAGCATATTTTTTTATAAATCTGACCCTTTAACTGCCTACAGGGATTCAAAATGACAACTTTTTCACAAAAAATTTACTTTTTCAACTTATATTTTGAAAGTGTTCCAGAAAGTCTGACTCTTTTATACATATCTTAAAATAAAGCTAATGTAATATACTTTATTATGAAAAAAAAAAAATTTTGGACTTTATTTTGTCTTCACGGTGAAAATGGCTACCAAATGCTATTTTTGTGTGAAAATTCACGATTTAATTTTTTTAATTTTAACTTTATGCTTTATGCTATAACTTATTGAAAAGTGTATGGATTAACACAATTTTTTTATGAGAAATAATATTTTTTAATAATCCCTCTTTCATTCGACATACTTAATCTTTATCAGTATATGAATAAGGAACTAGCAGATCATGTAGCTTTCGGAATAATCCACCAATTTTTTTAAAATTAAATACTATCTAAAGATTTACATCGAAGCGTTTTTTTTTATAGTGATTTTAATCACTGTCAGATATCATTATACTTGATCCAACTATACCACGTAACCACTGTGCCACGACCCCCCTGTGCTGGGTTTTTTTTTTTAAGTGCATTTAATTCTAATTTATGATAAACAAGTAATAAAATCAGTAAAATGTAATAAATATAATTTTCTATACAAATTTTATTAAATTTTCATTTTTATAAAAAAATTTAACCTGCAGCACTAGTTGCATTGTTTATTAACTATTATTAATTTTTTATTTCAAAATATTATTCTCTTTCAGAATCGAGAAATGATTCGGATGTAAATGAATGTAATTTTGAAATATTTGAAAATTTGTATTCTGTTATTGAATTTTCATAAATGCTAAAAAAAGAAGATTGTTTTAAGAATATATTTAAGTTTTATTCTGAAGGATCTCAATTTTTGTCTATTTAAGTTTATCATGATGTAATGGTAACATAAGTATCGTAGTGAATAAAGAACAGTTAATTATGTTAATGAATTTCAAAGCGATCTATAAAGTTCAATTGGACTTACACGGTACAAATTAGAATAAAATTCAGTTTAGGTTATAGTAATATATTTTTCACTTATATTGCATTAGATGTATTTGAAATCAAAATGAATTAAAATTCAACTAATCACATTTCAGAATTTTCTACACTAATGAAACCAAATTTAGAAGAATATTGTAAAATTGTGAAATAATAATTTAATAAAATGTAAATGAAAATATAGTCATAATTTTAATTGTATGTTAATTTATTTATTTTAATGGAAAAATTATTCACTTACAAATCACACATAAAGCCTAAATTTTTCTAAATTATAAACTACAATAATAAAATTAAAAAATCGTATAACTATATTTAAATTAGAACTAAATTATTTTATATTAATGAATATAACCTTCATTATTATTGATTTTCATATTATAAAATGTATACTATACTTCAATTTGCAAACACTAACTTAAATTTAATAAAATACTAAGTTTTTTTTATAAGCTATCAACAAACTATTTAGATTTCATATTTTCAAAGAAAATCAGAGATAAACGATTTTTAGAAATTTTAATGTACTTTTAAAATTAAGTATTATTTAATTAATACATCATAAATAATTTCAATCAGTGGCGTATTGAAAGATCTTATTTTTGGTCATCACTTACTTTTTAGCAAAAAAAAATTCTCTAGTATGCTTACTAAATGAAAAAATAAGTCACTCTTCCTAAAATGAGTTGTTTACACGCCCCTAATTTGTACCTTAATATTTGTCTACTTTCAACTAACAAGTTAAATTTTTATAGTTAAATCAAAATACCAATCATTTTTCATAATAATAAAAAAAATGTAATATTTTTATTTTGTCAAATATCTTAGGTAGAACAAATTTATCTTTAAAAATTAATAAACAAAATTGACAGATGTTTATATTTAATTATAATTTTTTTAATTTATAGTATTATTCATTAATATATTGATTAGTCAGTTGTTTAATTTTGGCTTCAAACATAAATCAATTTTCATAAAAATATAGCTACCAGCAAATATTTTATATATTTCTCGATGTTTAATCAAAGTGTTTTTTTTATACACTATCCCTTTGTCGGTATCCTGAGTAAATTTCTACTCCCAGACTGAACTTATTTGTCCGATGATTGATAATAGCACTTAAACCTACTGTAAGAAGAGGCATAAGTTTCTTTTGACAATGGGTTATGACATTGCAATCCGTGTCTACAAGACCTCGCAGTACAAAATCGCCTAATACTATTCGGTGTATCCAAGATGTTCGCGCTGTCACTGCGATCCAATTGATCGATGTTTCTACACCAGTGGACAGTCTTTGGTTAATTGTCTTCTGATAATATGCTGATAACCCAACACTTCCAACCGTTATAACTATAGTGTTTTTTTTTGACCCTACATATCGAATCAAACCACTCTTCATGATTGACCAATTTTGTATCATATCAGAGTTATTTATTAAAAATTCGGTGCCTAAAGACCACTTATCGTTTAACCGCATCATATTTTGTAAAACAACTGATCTTAATCCTTCGGTCGACCATCCACTGGTTACCGATAAGTTAAAATTGTCACCTCCATATTCAATTACGAAGTCGAGTTTACCAAACCCATATCCAGATTGATATTCTCCTGTAGAGTTAATAAAATATTTTTTGCCAATTATATGCTGAAACATTCCTGTTAGGTGACCGCTCGCATTTGATTCTATGTAACAATATGGCATTCTGACATAATATAATATTTGAAAAATTATAATGGTAAACATAAATAATATAATATTTTACATTAAAATTACCGATCTTTTGTAACCCTTTTATGCCCAGTGAAAGAAGTTCCAAATCTAAATCCGTTATTGAAAATTGAGCCTATTGATAATTTTGTGGTAAAACCCAAAGTTCCACTAGTAGAAGAACCTATAATTTTACTACAATCATAACCCATGTTAGCATTGAATCCGCTTAATGTTTCTGGTATTAAAAAGTCATTCATTCTCACAGCGTTATTGAAACTAATGCATTTAGCAATAAGCTTACTACATATGATATTCTTCGGCTTATTGTTTACGCTGCAAACCGATGAAGCTATCAAGAAGGCCAAAACAATTGTTTAAAGTACAAAAATCGTATTAAATCTGTACCAATATTTTATTGATATTGGAGATGTTACACAAAGAAAAAATTAATACAATTAGTAGTAATGTGAGCAAAGTTCTCCTAAAGTTTTTATTAACGACTTATGTGGTAATTTATATCCCTATTAGAATATTTTAATAGGATCTACAAGCTTGAAAAAAACTAAAATTTTAAAATTACAATTTAGGTTCAGATACCTTATTTTTTAGTTAGGTTTTGCGTAAATTTACGTAAAAATTGATTTTTGTTATTAGTTATGTAGTTATTTATTGATAACTAACCTCTTTATTCTATTGCCTATAGAAAATTAATTCGATAAAATTATTATTTAAATATCAAAAACATGAAGTAGTTAGATAAAAAACAATAAACTGCAACTATTGTACTTATCGTATATATATAATGTAAATAGTAAAACTTATTTAGTTTTATTAATTAAATAAAAAAATAAAAATAAATAATGGCTTACCTACAGTTATTTCAGGTTTATTTAATATTGTGTCCTTTACGAGTTCATTCTCATAAGATTTCGGTTTGCTTGTCATTTTTGGATTAAATTTAAAGTTGTAAAAAATAGAATTAACATCACATTACTATAATAAAGACACAGAAATCAAAACACATCTATAATTTATCTATGTAAAATGTATTAAATTTAATGTAATTTATTCATATATAATTGAAATATTTGTTATATTTTTATCAGATATGTTTCTATAGAAAAATTGTGTATAAATTAAAATTAATCAAATCTAAAAATGTAATAATTAGATAGGCGTTAATAAAATAAAATTTTCCTGTTTACAAATATTTTTTAAATTAATATAACAATTTATAAAAAATATGAAACTAAAAATGAACCTATTACTGCTTAGAAGTTCATTCACACATGGTGCTGGTCACAAACGTTACTTAAGCTGATCATAAATGTGCTGATAGATTAAAAGTTAACATATTATTTTTAACATTGTTAAGGTATTTTAATCTTACGTTTACATAATTTTAATTAAATTCTTATTTATTAATCAAACGACAGATTAATATATGTTATTAGTATTTTTTTAAGTACCTCTTTTATAAAAATTTTTTATGAAAATTACGTCGAAAAATATTATATTGTAAAAAAAACTTTAGTAGTTAACGGGAAAACTATATTTAGCTTCTAAAAATTTGCCTACTTTTAATGAGTTACATATCTTCATTAACATTCCAAGCTTTAAATTTATCAATTATTTTATATTTTACGTGCTAAAAATATATAAAGGAAAAAATAGTAGAACAACAATACAATGAAACATTAATTATATTATTGTGTAAAATATTTAAATATATATACACCTGTATATATATTTTTTAAGGCTATAAAATGCTTTAGAAATCAATTGTAAAAGCTCTTTAATATAGTACAGGAAATTTATTTAGCAATAAGTATAAATGTAATCAGTGACGGTTATAACTGACTTTAGGAAGAAGCGAAAATAACTAAAAAATAAAAAACAGTCAATAATACATTTATGTTTAGATTTAATAATTAATATAATATTTCAGAACTTTTTATTTATTCTTTATACCTAATAAGGGTATCAACTTTAATATTTCAAATGGCTTTACACATAATAAACTGGTTGATAGAAGCTTTTGAGCCATTATTTCAAAAGTCATTAACATTTTTTTCCATAGACAGGAATAGGAGTGAAGCTGAAAAACGTCTAGTAATAAAAATAACATTCACGTTTCACCTTTTACTATCATTACAGTTAAGATATGATAAAAATGTTTATCTTATCTGTGCTGTCACAATAAAATGTTAGTAACTTCTGAAATAGTGGTTTAAAAGTTATTCATTCTTAATTAGATAATGCAAATCAAGTTGACAACCTTATAAGTTATAAAGGATAAAAATAATCTACTTAGAGTAGATTTTTTGTTTTCATTATCTTGTGATTTGCTTGTTTATTGGCTTTGGATTAAATATTCTAACTCTTATTTGTTCATTAATAATAACTTAATACTACTTCCCACATAGCAATGAAATATTTCTAGAATATAACCAAAATATTTTGAAATGTTCTCAGAATATACTCTGGCAGCGTATATTACATTTTCACAATATTTTAAAGGTATATTTTTTAAATATTATAAAAAAAATATTTTGACAATATTTTGCAAAATGTTTTATGAATACATTAAAAAAAAATGCAAGTAATAAATGCGCTTCATGGAATTCGAATCTCGTATTTCAAATGCTATAGACATACGCGTTACCAACTGACCTACAGGTTACAACGACTGAGAGATGATAAAAAAGGTTATTTAAGATAGTTCAAATTTTTAAAGTCATTTTTCCCGTTTAAAAAAATTCAAAGTAAATGCAACTTTATATTCAATTTAGATTAGATTCATATAATATTTTTGAAAATCGGCCATCCCATCACCGTGAACTCTCCTTGTAAGTCAGAAATTGATCTATATTGTTATTATATATGTACATATAATACATAGTATTATAATACATCCAAGGGTGTAACCAAAGGGAGACAATGGGATGGTCTTAATAGTTAATTCCTTTTTTTAATACTAATAATCAGCATTAACCTCGTCGCTCTTATTGGGATAGAATATTGAATTAAAAATAATTTTCCAACTTACTCCTAACATTCATGAAAAGTGAATAACTTTGTATAATAATAAAGAACAATAATGTTTTGAAGGATACATGAGTAAACGGAATGTTTTTCCTTTGATACCCATTAACCAGTTAGTGAATTAATTTGAGTACATTTATCCTGAAAAATAAATACCGTTAGATAAATAATGAATCAAAAACTTGTTAAAATATTTGGAGTAAAGAGTTGGAGTTATTAAATGACTCTATAAACTATTTTATAATTTTATTCTATTTTACTAAATATTTTAATGAATTATTATTTTACAATTAATTGAATGATTAAGTAAAAAAGTTATGTTTATAAAAAATATTACAACCTTAAATAAGATTAATATAGTATCAATTTGATTTAATCTATCTTTTTTTAAATTATATTTAATATATACAAAGATTACTCAAAAATAAACTATTCTAGGTAATAATTATTTATTTTTTTATAATAATTGCTTCGGAAATTTAGGTTTAAAGTTTAAATGAATTAATTTGTGTTTTTTTAATTTTATACAAAATTACAGTTATAATATAATTTATAATTAGATAAATAAAAATAATCACCCTATTATCACCAAATACAAATTTTAAATGTATATTTAGAGATCAAAACACGATTGCAATTTAAAAAAATTATGACTTGAATCTTGATGCTCTTGTAAAAAGACGTATTCTCGATAATTTCTTTATGTACAAATTATTATACGACCAAATCTCATTTCCTCTGCTCCTGTCCTCGTTTCAATCCATGTGCTCCAATATCTGCCACACTCTTGTCCAACATTTTCTGTTTCATATCATAGAACATCAAATACTTTTAACACAACACTAAAAAGAATATTTTTGGAAATTAATAAAATTTACTTATTTTATTTGACATTTTAAGCCTGATAATCTTGTAACCCTAAATTTATATGTTGTAAAATATTTTTGTAATTATTATTTTTAATGATTTAGTTTTATATTCTATATGTGATTCATAATTTGTATTAATTACATTTCACTTGAGTCGTTTGACGTATTTTATATACAAATAAAAAAACGGTAGCACAGTGGGGTCGCGGCATAGTGAAGACATTGCATAGTAGGGTCCAGTATAGATTTAATCTGACAGTGATTAAAATCACTATCATAAGAAACGCTTCGATGCAAATCTATAGATAGTGTTTAATTTTAAAAAATTGATGGATAATTGCAAAAGCAACATCAACTTCTATTAAAATAAAATACAAAACCCATAATTATCATACAAAAATAGTATATTTTTCAATATGGTAGCCATTTGCGTATAGAAGATAGATCGTCGGGACAAATTTTTTTTTTTCATTTTGTAGTACATAAAATAAGCTTTAATTTTATATATGTTTAAAGGACGCAGTATTTCCGGAACATTTTCAAAAATTAAGTTGAAAAAGTTATTTTTTGTAAAAAAGTTACTATTTTAAATCCTCCCAGTGAGCAGAATAAGTGTTAGATTTTCAAAAAAAATTATATCAAATGAAAGGGAAATATCTAAGGTTTCAATACAAAAAAATATTATTTTTATTTGTTCATTTTTGAAAAAGTTATGGCAGTTTTAAGTACAAAAAACATCCCGATAAAATGTAATTTTTATCGCAAACATTACATTTTTTTTTAAATTTTCGACAGCCATTTGCACATAGAAGATAAGATGTCGGGACAAATTTTTTTTTTTCATTTGATAGTATATAACATAACCTTTGATTTGATATATGTTTAAAGGACGCAGTATTTCCGGAACATTTTCAAAAGTTCAGTTGAAAAAGATCTATGTTTTTTACAATATTTTAAGTTTTGAACGCCCCCTATATAAGGGGAAATTGTCCAATTTTAATAAAAAGTATGTCAAATGAAAGATGTACTTATAATGTATTTAGAAAAAAAAAATTTGTGCTGATATATACATTTTTCAAAAAGTTATAGCATTTTTAAGTTGAAAATTTAAAATCGAAAATCGAAAATTTTAACACAAAAATAGTGTTTTTTTAACTACGGCAGCCGTTTAAATGTAGAAAAAAAAGTGTCGGGACAAATTTTTTTTTTTCATTTTGTAGTACATAAAATAAGCTTTAATTTGATATATGTTTAAAGGACGCAGTCTTTCCGGAACATTTTCAAAAATTAAGTTGAAAAAATTAATTTTTGTAAAAAAGTTGCCATTTTAAATCCCCCCCAATGAGCAGGTTAAGTGATAGATTTTCAAAAAAATGATATCAAATGAAAGGTAAATATCTAAGGTTTTAGTATAAAAAAAAATTATGTTGATTTGTTGATTTTTCAAAAAGTTATGGAAGTTTTAAGAAAAAAAAGTGAAAAAATTTCGAAAATTAGCGATTTTTAAATTTGTAATTTTTTTGGATATTTCCCCCATTTGCGGGGAACGAGGGAATTTTTTTCAATTTTTAAGGGTAATGTCTTCAACTAGATACGATTTGTGATCTTTTGACGTATTTTTGAAAGAAATCGGTCCAGTGAGAGCTGAGAAAAAGTGGCAACAGACATAAAAAAAAAAAAAAACACATCATAGTAAAATTAATACCTTCTCCGCTTCGCATCGAAGCTAAAATAATGTTGTAAAATATTATAATAACATTATTTAAAATAAAATTATATTAGGGAAAGCTCCCTTAAAAATATCCGTGAAAAATAATTTAAAATAAAAGATAAGCTGATATGCTGTTTAATACGAGGGTTTTAATTTAACTGTAGAATATATTACAATATCAACCCTTCATTCTATTTGTGTGGAATTTATTGAAACTAGAAAATAACGCGTGATCAATTAAATTATTATCTTTTTGAAATGCTATATAATTTACACAATATTTCTTGGTACGTTTTATTTTGTAGTATTTAATGAAATTACATCGCTTTGTTAGCGTGTATGCGTGTATATTTTAAGTGTTTTATGAAAAAAAAAGTTCACTTAAAGAATGTGATTAAAATTTGTTTCAAATTAAAGTTTTATAGTACCATATTCGACAATATTTATAAATAAATGTTCATAAGAATTAAAATAATTATATAGTCAACTTTTAGGATAGTCTTTAAAATAAAAAATATATTCAAAATATTAAATTAAAACTAAAAAATATTTAACTCAAAACTTCGCTTATATGTATTTCATGAAAAATGCAATAATTATCTTCGCTAAAAATATCCTTAAATATCCTTATATACAATAATTATGACCGACTAACATTTGCAGTGGTATCACTATATTAACCTTATCAAAGGCCGAAGGGCTTTATTTTTTTTTAAGGTTAATATATAGAACATATACTTTTAGTTAAGTTTAATTTTTTTTTTTTTTTTTTTATGAAAAGGCTTCGACAACTTATGGACATTAGCCTACAGTTTTTTTTTTTTTTTTCATGATTATTATTTGTACATTAATTAAAGTTATAAGTTGACAATCAATTGATTTAAACTATATACACATATTTATCATTAAATTTTATACAATAATGTTATGAATTTACATTAAATTTACAAGTCTTGCGGTTTCATAGAATCTGTAAATGGCATCCATGTTTGCTTCGCCCAGAGCTTCCTCCATGTTGTTGGGGTGACCTAGTATACTCCGTTCATAATTGTATGTGGGACAGTGGAGTGTTAAGTGTTCAATGGTCAATGGTACTTCACATGTAGAGCAATACGGTTGTTCCTCTTTGTTGAAAATGTGTGAGTGTGTGAGTCTTGTATGCCCTATTCTGACTTTGGTGATAAGGGTATCTACTACGCGAGCTGGGTTGATAGGCGAACGCCATTTATGGACAGTTTTTTTAATGTTTTTTAATTTGTTATTGGTAGTACCATCCCATTGGGTTTGCCACTGTTGAACGGAAATTCGGTTGATTATTTTTAAAATATCTTTATATGGTAGTGACATTATTTTTGATGAGAAAGTAGAAGATATGGCTTGGTTAGCCAATGTGTCAACTTTTTCATTACCATTGATTCCAATATGTGATGGGACCCACATAAATTCAAAAATTTTATCAGAGTTATTAATGATGTTGCATATTTGGAGGGATAGTTCATTTGACGGGTTATTTGATGATAATGAAGTCAGGGCACTGTAGGAGTCACTTATGATTAGTACTTTATTCATCAGGGAGGATTCAGTGTAGGTAATTGCTTCTTTAATAGCAAAGATTTCAGCCGTGAAAATGCTTGCATCTGAGGGTAGTTTGTAAAGTCTATTTATATTGCCTGAAATGAATGCGCATCCTGTGCCATTTGTATTTTTGGAGGCATCAGTATAAATTAATTCATAGTCGTGAAAGTCGGATTTTATATTTTCATTAAAAATTGAGACAATTGTTAAGTGGGGAGTAATGTTTTTGTTCAAATGGGATAGTTGGGTGTGGATTTTGGGGTGGTACTGCCAGAATGGAGTTGTTAAAAAAGGAAATGATGTCTCAATTTTGAACTCACAGTTGTATTCCTTGCATATACGAATATAAGTGTCCATAATTGATGTTGGTCCTTTGTGTTTTCTTATTTGGGCAGGATATTTGAATAGTTGATATGGTGTTTGGTATGGGAAGGCAAGTTTTTTGGTCACGTATTTTAAGATGTTTTTATTTCTTCTGGTCTGTAGTGGGGGTTCTCCTGATATGCATAGGATACTGTCTATAGGGCTTGTACGGTAAGCACCTATAGCAAGTCGAATTGCCTGGTTATGTATTGGATTGAGGATTTGTTTTGTGTTAGATTGAGCTGAGTTATAGATGATTGAGCCGTACTCTATTCTAGATAATATTAGTGCTTTATAGATAAGGAGGAGACTGTTTTTGTCAGCTCCCCATTTGAAATGAGATAGTGTTTTAATGATTTTTATTTTACTATTGCAATTTATTTTTAGTTTTTTTAGATGAGTGCTCCATGCAAATTTAGCGTCAAAAATCATTCCAAGTATACGAGTATTTTCTTTATATTCGATTGCTATGTTATTGATGTGAATTCGGTGTAGCATATCAGTTTTCTTTTTATTGAAAATTATGCATTGGCTTTTTGATGGTAAGAATTTAAAGCCAGTTTTAGATGACCATTGTAATAGTGAGTTGATAGAAGTTTGTAACAGGTCTACAGTAGTTTTGGTGTTGATTCCGCTACAGTAGATATTACAATCATCAGCGAATAACGAGTACTTAACAGGTTTCTGTATGTTGCTAAAAATGTCATTGATGGCAACTAAAAATAGTGTGACACTTAATACCGATCCTTGGGGTAGTCCATTCTCTGTTTTTGTATGATCAGAAAGTACATTGTCGAGTTTAACTTGTGTTGTGCGGTCGGTAAGAAAGTTATATAAGAACATTAACATATGGCCATCTATGGACCAGCTAGATAGGATATCGATAACTCTATTTTTCCAAACCATATCATACGCTTTTTCCAGGTCAAGAGACACAAGGATAGTATGGTTTTTTTTTTTTTTTGATGGATTCGCATATGTCTGTGTGTAGAGTAGCTAAAACATCTAATGTTGAATGTTTTTGTTGAAAGCCATATTGTTGTTTGATAAATTTATGGTTCGTTTCAAGGTACCAAACTAGGCGTCTGTTTACAATTTTTTCAAGTAGTTTGCTACAGGTGAGAGATATTGGTCGGTAGCTAGTAATATAAAATTTATTTTTTTCAGGCTTTAAAATTGGTTTCACAATTGCTTCACGCCATTTACTTGGTAGTATACCATATGTCCAGATAAGGTTATAGATTGCAAGGATGTGGTTAAGTGCATATTCTGATAGGTTTTTGATGAAGGCATACGGTATATCATCAGGTCCAGGACTTTTACTTGAGCATTTAGTTAATTCATAGTGTAGTTCTTTAATTGTAAGAGGGAGGTTGTACTCATAATCATTATTGTGAATATATGCATTTATGTCGAAGGATTCGTCTTTGGTGTTTTTGTGGGTGATAAAATTATTTTCGAAGTTTGAGTTGCTGCTGTTATTTTGGAAATGTGTAGCAAATGAAGTTTAATTTTGTTTTTGGTGATATATATAATATTTAAAAGAATTTATATATATATATATATATATAAATGAGCAGTGGTAAATAAATAAATAAATGAACATGTAACTTTTGTGTCTTGTTGGTGATGGCGGTCACATTACCTATTCAATATGGATAGGTCTGGCCAAAAGTGAGTCATGCAAATCAATAATCTAACCAACCACCACAATTGAAATCAACATATCATCACACCAACAAAATGATACCATGGAAAGTAAAGAAGTAAAATAAAAAAATATATGTACAAATAAAAAATTTCAACAACCGTGTCAATTAATATATACAGGATGATTTTTTTTATCATAACCCATTTAATTACTAACAGAATAATAATAATTTAAAAATTTTTATTATTACTATCTTTAGTTACACATTATTCTTGAATTATTAACTATTTAATACTTTTTAAGTTCATCCCTTATGCCTGGTAAGGGTGTCAACTTTGTTTTTATTAATGGGAACACATATTTTGAATTTAATAAAATGTTTGAGTTTTAAATTTAATAGTAAATGGCATTTGAATTTTTAATATAACTTTATTCGTTTATTAGATATAAACATTTAAAGTTTCAAATTTTTGAGTTAATATATAGGTATAATACAAATACAGGTAGCTAATTGATTTTTTATGACATCGATATTAGCAGGTACACAGCATTGTTATTATCAATAGTAGTAAGGCACATTGTTGTGAGTTAATAAATACACTAACTGACAATACAAAAAGTATATATATTGATAGTCATAATTGATGATAAACAATCCGTGACTGTGACAGCAATGTTATAAAAATCTAATTAGCTTTCTTTATTTATAATCCCTTGTGTATTATACACATATATTAACTCAAAAATTTCAAACTTTAAATGTTTATATCTAATAAACGAATTAAGTTTCATTAAAAATTCAAATGCCATTTATTATTGAATTAAAAACTCAAACATTTTATTAAATTAAAAATATGTGTTACCGTTTAAAAAAACAAAGTTAACACCCTTACCAGGCATAAGGGATGAACTTAAAAAGTATTACATAGTTAATAATTCAAGAATAATGTGTAACTAAAGATAGTAATAAAAAAAAATTTTTAAATTATAATTATTCTGTAAGTAATTAAATGGGTTATGATAAAAAAATCACCCTGTATACATACAACTGTGAGTAATAATTTTATAAAATAAAAGCAATGTATAATAAATACACCAATAAACAACAATGCATGTATTTATTACCTGAGTTTCATAAAATCGTATCAAAGAATATGGACCATTGCCCTAGCAACAATGGTGGTGCCCGGAAAAATAATAACCAAGGGCCAAGTGCAATTAAAATAACGTTGCACATTGTAACAGTTAAAATTTATCCACCGGAATTTTAGCTGGAAGATAATCCTGTATCTAATAATTATTAATTTGGCAACGATTACATTTATTATTAATATAAAAAGACTATTTCAAAATTACGATTTATTTTAATTTACTATTTAATAGAGTCAGTAAAAAATATATTGATTTTCAAAATTATAATTTTTACTACTAAGTTTTTTATGTAGCTCAATTGGCGATATATAGTATATGGCATCGATTCCGTTGTTATGTAAGTTTTCGTATAAACTTTATCATAAGCTATTAAAAATTAACGTCACACTTAAATATAAATTTTTACCTACCTTATAAGATTGAATAATATTTGAGATAATATTATAGATATACCTTGAATATTTTACTCAATAAAACTTTTGATTTAGTTAACATTTGTCCTCTAGGTTAATACTTTATTGCATAGCATTTAAGTCGTTAAGAGTAGAGTTACATGGAAATGATAATATTCATTTTTATTTTTCTAAATCAATTTTTTATTTTACCTTAAATTATACAATAAAATTTTTTTATGACAAATGTTGTTTTATCAACATTTGCGTTATTTCAAATATTAGGTTTAGTTGGGTTTGCATTTAAATCTCCAAATTTATCCAATGTTTTATCTCTTGTATATTTATAATATTGCAGTAAAACTCAAAATTTCAAACTTTCAACACAATTTTACTGTGATTTTTAATGGCCATACCAAAATTTTATCGTGACTCACTTAGCTCAGTCGAAAAAGCTTAGTTACTTGGTACGTAAGTACCGATTTCTATTCCATTGCGCTGGACTAAATAGGTTTTTCCGTCCTCTCTAACACATACGTACAGCTTTTAAGAGAGAATGTTAAAAATATATACAGTAATAATTATAATAATAAATCGGTATTTATACAACTTAAACATTTATATTGTAAAATCTCTAAAAATTAGACTACTTCGTGAATCATATTTCGTTATTTTATAATACTTCTTAAATATTTCATCTGTTTTGGCACTATTTGATAAGTACCTATAGAAATTAATTGTTTTTTTAATAATTTGACTTGATCCAACAAAGTATTTGTCATATGAGGGTGTTTTTCTAATAAACTTGTTTTCAAAAATTCAGTATAATCTTTGAGAATAGTGTGAAGATTTAATTTTAGTTTTTTTAATAATTGACATTTTTCTTTTAACAAATTTTCGACTGCAATGATCTGCATATAATGAGAGTTTAGAGCGTCTTCTGTCTTTATTGTTAGGAGTGAATCGTCAGGAGAGTTCAGTGAACTTATAACACCATGATCTGATACAGACGTCTTATTGGCAATCAAATTACAATAATCAATATCATGTAAATTTTCCACATGTTCTGCCTCCAAAGTGACTAAAATTCTTTTCAACTCAACTTTACTCGCTTCAATTAATTGTTCTTGTTTTTTAGTCGACATTTCTATAATTGTGTTCAATTTTTCTATAAAATATTCTCGTTGCGCACTTTGAGCCCACTTAAAGTTACATTTAAAGTGTGCTTCTAACTCTTCCTCTCTTTGATTTTCCCATGCTTTGAATCGTTTAGTCATTTGTTCAGTAACTCTACTTTCAACATGAGCTAATTGTACCTTACATTCTTCTTGAACTCGACGTTCGGTTTCTTTGGCTGCTTCCTAAAAACCATAAAAACTATATGGCACACTTATTTTATTCAAATGTCCCAATAAGCGTAATATGACGATTTTATTTACCATAATAGTAGTATAATGTAAATGCAATGCAAGAAAAAAAGTTATAATAAATTTTTATTTATAAAAACACTTCGTTGAAGTACCTCACAGCATCTGTATCTGTGAGACTGAGAAAATTATTCAACGAGTAATTTATTTAATCCATTAACGAATAAAATAACGCTTGTGCTTACAATAAAAGCTTGATTAACATATTTGAGTAAGGAACTCTTCTTTTCGTCACAAGCCGCTTGCATTTCACGATAGACCTCATTTAGTTGTTCTCGGGCTAAATGTTCATGGTGTCGCTTAACACTTTCAATTTCTTCTTCTAATATTTGTTTATAGTGCTCTTTGTGTCTATCAAGTACGATTTTTTCTAAATCTTGACCAACACCTGCATTACATGAAAATAAAATTTATTTTCTGTAAACGAATAGCTTAAAATTGAATATCAATGTATGAAAATCCTTATTACTTGAAACTAACTTAATATTGCGTTAGAAGTCAAGGCCTGTTTTTCAACATCATGTGGCACAGTTAAAACAATATGTTCATTAAACGTATTTTTAGGTGATAACCCAAACTCGACTGGTACTAAATTTCCACTTGTATATTCTGTCCATAACCGAGCTACCAGTCCTTTATCCAAATAGTCTACCACAATACTTCCTAGTTGATTACCTAGACTGTGTTTGAATGTGGTAGGATGAGGTAGCTTTTTATATTTGACGGCTTTTAATTTTTTTAAAGCATTTTCAGTTTTGCCTGATTTTAAATTAATTTGTATTTATGATTTAAATATTATATATTCTTATTATTATTACTATAAAAGAAAAAAAATTTGATTGGGTTCAATCAATGCATAAAAGTATTTTAAATATTATTTTAATGACAAATAACAAGAGGAAATGATATGAAAATCAAACCCTTTCTCCAACAATTCTTATTTATTCATTTGTTATAAAATTTTCTACTTGTCAGAATGTTGTAAGACAAGAAGATATTTTACAAAGTATTATACGAAGTATAAATATTTTATTTCTTCTTTAAAATAAATCTTTATATTGTAAACTAATTATTTATTAATGTTTGATATTTCTTCGTTTAATTACATTATTACGTTCACAAAAATAATAAAATAAGAATAACTTTTCAATTTATAGGCTTATTTTTTCCCAAGCTATAGATTTTAGGCCTAATTAATATTAATTTAATATACTTTATAGTGAACTAGATAATAGATGACAATTCAGTATAACATTAAGGTTGTTTAATAACATACATAAATTAAAACTATACAAGTTTAGTGCAAAAATATGTTAAATAAATATATTTTTTTTTTTTAAGAAAGCCATATCAATTATTTTTAACTATTTTGTATTATGTAATATTACTGTTTTAATGCAACCAAATAATCAAATACTAAGTTTTTACTTTGCAAATTGGTACCTACATAATATATTTTGCTTGAATATTAATACATTTACGCAGCTAGTTCATTTTTGTTAAAAATTAATTTAATACACTTTTGCACTAAGCCATCAACATATTCATTAACTTTGTATTAGTGGCATATAATGTCTCAATTTTTTAAATGATGAAATCTGACTAATAAACCTATAAATAAAACTAATTATTTGAGATTTACCTACATTCATTTAAAGAAATTTTATATTGCCTATCAATTCTATTATTAAAAGATTCACTGCAATTTTTATACATTCTTTGCGATTAATTTTTTTCCTACCAAATTCAACTAATATACAAATCCACGGTAACTATTTTAACAGATATAGTGAGTTATTTTAGAAACTTTTCTAATGAAAATCTACTAAAACTTAAAATTTATTTTCAAGCCAATTAATTACTATCTATTTTCGTATATAAATTAAGAAACAAAATGCATATATTATTTGGAATACGAGGTGTGTTCAATAAATACCCAAACAAAATTTATTAAAAATTATATTTCAAACTTACAATTAATTTAAATGGATCATCTTCAAAATAGTGTCCTTTAGCTTCAATACAATGCTCCCAACGGTATTGCCACTTTTTGAATCACCTTTGTATGTCCTACATAGTAATAGCTTTTAGCTCTTATGTTGCGTTCTGGATAGTTTCGTTGACGTCCTTGAGTCTTTGGCCTTTGAGGGTACTTTATAGTCTTGGAAACAAAAAATAATCACAGGGAGATAAGTCAGGTAAATATGATGAGTGAGGTATCACTGATATATTTTTAGATGCCAAGTAAATATTATATAATTTTTATAATTAATTCTTTTCGAATTATAATTGATTTTTATTTTTATTATATTAAAAGTAATCATTTCTAATCTACTTTTTTCGTCCTTTAAAGTGAAAGTTTATAATAATAAAAAAAAAAAATGAATTTTTACCATAACTTTTAGCTTATCTTACAAGTTTGAAATTGACATTATTAAATAGAAAAAAAGGAATTGTTAAGATTAATATGCAGTCAGCAAATTTTACAATTACTTTTTACAGTCAATTTATCAGAAAAGCTCTATTTTTTTGCATTTTTATCGTAATAGATCACTTAAAAATAAATCATAGGAGTCATTCATAATTAACTTTTGGTGTTTTAAAAGACTCTACAATTGAAATATACAGAACTGAATTAATTTTAATGATTTACTTTAACTAAAAAAACCAATAAAAAAAAGTTGTTAAAAAGATCTACCCAATTGAGCGTACTATAAAATTTGATTATAATTGTAAAAATTAATTGTTAAATTTAGGTGAAACTAAAAATCATTTTTGTTTTATATAGCATGTGTTACCAAAAAATTTGGAATTAAACTGTTATTAACACACACAAATAGAGTTAAAAAATTAATAAATTACAAAGTAAAATTATAGAATAAGAAATTTCTTCTCACGAGGGGAGACTACAGTGATGGGATGATGTGTGTTTGTGGGGG